CCTTTTTTGTAGGGCTGTAGGAGGGAAACAATACTACTGAGTCTACTGGTTTGTGACGCATTCTTAGCTCGTTGTCAGTTGTATTATATTCACATCGTTGTAGAATTTTTTCTTCTGGATGTCATTGGCCATTAAAGGTTCCATTCATTTGGACGTAGCCCTGGTGTAATGGTTAGCACACTGGACTGGGAGTATGCCAAGGTTCACCGGGTCGATCTCTGGAGCGACATTTTATACCATGGGGGGGCGAGTTTCCTAATTCCCTCCACCTCCTCATCCCACACCACTTCTTTGCACCCAGTGGCGTAAATCAGAATATAAATGGATACACAACAGTTAATTGACCAGCAGCTTGTGTGTGGTGGGGTAAATTCTGGGGTATTTCCACCTCTTCTAAGACATCTGTTCAGCGTGGAAGAGTAGGCCAAATGCACTCTCGAGAGGCTCTCAGTAGCTCCCTCTTGTAGAGGTCTTTCTGCTAGCAGTGGCACGAGCAAGCGATTTCAGGGCTTCGCCTTGCCCTTGTACCTGTTATTGCTCATTGTGTTCAGAACATTGACGTTTGCTGCGGCAGTGGGCGAGTCGATACATCGTCTACCCTTTTCCTATGCACGTTGAGCATTGTGTGTGGGTGACCATATAGACGTGAATGCACGCACTCCTCTTACTTCGTGAAATGTGTCCTGCTCAAGCAAGCGGAACATCTGGCGGCAATGCTCCTGCGCATTTTTGGGGCCCAGCTTAGGGCTCAAATTGGCAGGCTCAGCTCATTCAAGCTACGTGTTGTAAGAATTCTGAAGATGGTAACAACAATTCATTCGCGATGCCGATAGAAACCTATTAATATTACCTAACTGCATGTAACTAGTTTCTTCATTTACTTGACATGGATACTCTTCCAATAATATCCAGGTAATATGGATTCAAAATGTAGCACTTTAAACACTTTATGTGGTAGCAGTTATAACCATGAGAATTAGAAACGTGCTGTATTATAGTCAAACTATGCTTGTAATGTAGAAGTCTCTGCACTTAATATGATATAAGATGTAATATAATTCAACGACTGCTTTTCTTGGAACTCAGGAGCATATATATAAGGATTTATATGGTGATGCTCCACATCACTCTCTTTAAATTTTAAAACCTATAATACATTTCTGCACCTTACATTATCCATGCCATGGGGTTGGAGTAGTAGTGCAGCGATTAGTGCGCTGCACAATGAACCCAGCAACCGAACTTTGATTCCCGGACACGGCTCTTTGGTTCCTTCGGTAAAATAAAAAAAATAAAGAATAAAAATAACTAAATTAAATCACGACGTTTCGGAGGCAACACAAGCTTCTGTCAGTAATACCATTGCTGAGCTGACCCCTCTGGGTCAGTAATCCACACTGACCAGCGTGGTGAGGTATGAACAAACAGACCACATGACCAACATGGTGAAGAGGCCTTCATCCACCAGTGGATTCACTAAAGGCTATAAACATGACGAGTTTATTATCCCCCCGTGCTTTACCCATACATGATAGCGCCACTACTACTCTGCATACCGCTTTTCCATAAAATATTTAATACATTATAAGTATTGTTATGAAAGATAATTTTAGCAATTGTAATATCATTTAAATGTTGAGCATTCTCTCATAATTAAACTATAGTAATAAAAACAAACTTTCCCGAGTCCCCAAAGGATTTAATTTAGGCTCCGTTTGGTATATTCTGAAGGGATTAACACATAACATATGTCCACCACCTCAATCATCTCTACCACATCCTTGCTTGGGCTCTCCATCATTCCCCTCTATCCGTCGGATTCCTAATTTTCCATCATCTCTTTTACTTCCAGAACTTTCGTTTTGGTCCTATGTAGCTTAGTAAAAATGTTTTTGTATCTACCAAATCTAACAGTGCATTTTTGTGCAAAAAAGGAAGCGCCGATTTAACTTGATGTGTACCTCTAGTCTAGTTTACAAATATTTTTAAAAAATTAATGGAGGATAGTTTTTTATGGCATTTGCAGATTTTGGAAATCAGTAACCCACGTGTAAACATTGGTATTCACACTGTTTACTGTTTTTTTTTTATCGGCTGAAGGCAGCCAGAAGTTTTACCACTGCAGTGGAATGTTACATTATAGTCAGTCACTTACACAGAGATTGCAAGCTCATGTTTCAAGTATGCGGCACTCGTTCTCGCATTCATTAAATACAATACAATCCTGTATTGTTGTACAGCCGTTTATTCAGCCATTGTTAGATGGAGGCCTCTCCTTTCGGTGATGGGGGTTGTGAGACCATACTTCACCACGTGGGTCAGTGCAGGTTGGTGATGCAGGGGAACCACAAACCAGTTGAGATATCACCCATCACTGATGCAAGCCATCACCAGGAATAAAACTCAGGTGGCCGGGTTCATAGTGCAGTGCGTTAACTCCCTGCACTGCAGCTCACAACACTGTAAAAGTGTTCAATTATAGAAGTAGGAAACCGGGTTCCTTCTTGAGCTTAGGAAGTCCGTGTGTCTAGACCGTGTTATATTTATCTCGCACTAAGTGATGGCTGCCAGTGGAATATTGGCACGAGCCGGGTACATTCCTTCTTAATGCAATTGAGATGAGAGTGAAGCAGAAAACCTGATGAGAGTTTCCAGTCGCTGATGCCCTCCCGTTACTCGGCATGCCATGTGAGCTCACGTGCGCAGCCTCCCCCATTGTGAAATAAGTGTGCACGATAACTATAGACCGAGGCTGTCCCAGGGTTCACTTGGCTTTGAGCTCAACGCATTCCACAGTATTAGCCGAGCTCTGCCTTGTAAATACCAATTCGTATATGTTTATAAGGAGCGGCAAAGATTAAAAGAAAATTGGCAACTGGCAAAGTAACCTTCTGCATAGTAATGTGAGTAGGTATTTTGTGTGCCTTTGTATGTGTGCGAGGTGCCATAGTTGGGCTGCTTGTTAATAATAGTGGCCTGAGGTTGGAGAGAGGGGGGGAACTCTGTAGACAGTGATGTATGTGTCACGTTGATGAGAAGTAGCGGAGAGAATACCCGAGGTAACTTCATCTTGAGCAATTTTTCGTTTGAACACTGTGTGCTTCCCTTCGTCACCATCAGCTATTGTCAATCCACTGCTGGATGAAAGCCTCCCCAGGTCCTCGCCACTTCTCACGTTGCTCTCATGTAAGAATCCATCCGGCACACGGGCCGATATCATCACGGCATTTGCTCATCGACGTACTCTCGGCCACGTTCCTTGAAAAACGAATGTTGGCACAAGGTTCTGTGTTTGTATTGACAAATAAAATTATGGGAATAGGAAGTTATTTGTACGATACTGGAGTAAATTGCTGTGGTTTTCACACCTGATGATGATTGCTTGTGTTGCAATCGAAACGTCGTGAGAATTTTAGTGTTGAATTATTTTATTATTTCCCTTCTACGTGACTTTACCGCAAGAACCAAGAATATGATACTGGAGTAGTTCACTTTTTGCACCTCTTGCAGGTGTGTTCACATGGTGCTGTGAATTGATAAACATACGACTTTGACATGTTGGTTATTTAGAGACGATGATTTGGCTGATGAATTACATTTTTTACGAGTGCATGTAAAGCAAAGTTTTATCTTGGACGCAGTCGATACAAACCGTGGCATGAGCCCCACGTTCAACGATCTATCCAGACAGTGCATCGTGTCAGTGAGCATGTAGCAGGTTATATCACCCTTGTGGATTGCAGAAATGTGGCTCAGTAACACGAGGGTACACACATTTGGGACATGTTAAAGGATGCAAACAACAGTATGGTACAATACATATTTTACAGAGAGCCCAGTCTGCTAATTAATGTGTCAAAACTAATAAATGTAACTACGGAACCATACTTTGTCAAGTATACATTTGTAATGAAGTATTCATTTTTTCGCATAATTAACTGTGAATATGCATGCATAATATATGCCCGCTGCTTCTAGTTAATATTTCATTCAATTAAAGTTCAGCGTGCTAGTGTGAGTTGCGTTGCGTCTATTTAATGGGGTGTCGATATGAACAGTTAATGCGGGCACATTTTACTGCAGCGTCTGTGCGCACTACACTTCATACACTTTCCTGGCATCTGCTTGAGTAACTTCAAGTGTCGTGTTGCAAGATATATTTATCCGTGTTTCCTCAAGTGTCTCGCCTGGTAGTAACTGTCATTTCTGTCAAGTTTGTACTTTGGCTAATGGATCTCAGCCTATATACTGTGTGATGGGGTGCCATGTTGGCGAGATGTTAACTCCCTCACCTGGTACGCAGGAGGTCGTGGGTTTGATCCCGACCCTGACACCTATATATTTGGAGTTTGCATGTTCTCCCCTTGATCGCGTGCATTTTTCTCCGTGTTTTTACCTCCACATTTAGAATCAACATGTGTTTAGAGTTTTTGACTGCTACGCATTTCCACATTCCACTTCGTTGAGCTATCATTTGTGGCCAGGTCGCTTCTGAAAAAGAGCGAAATAGCTCAGTAGGCCTGGTTAAAAAAAAATCGTAAAGATAAAGGTGCAGCCCTGCGATTACTTGATAATGCCACTGCTGGCCTAAGAACCTTCACTCGAGGAAGATTTAGAAAGCTCCCTCTAGAGGGTGTTCACCCGGCTCTTCCACATTCGCAAGACGTCTGGGAAGAAATGTGAATACCCACACTTTACCCCACCACACATGACCTGCCGATCAACCAATTGTACTCAATTATGCTGCTGGGTGGACACAGGTGGGGGAACTTTAGAAATGTGCCCATTGTTGGCATCCTGTGAACTTGCAATGCAGAGGGCACCGGGTCGATCGAGCATCCGAGTAAGGCAATTGAAACAATGATTTCAATCGGAGTGCCTAATTGCTTGGTATGCGTGCGCTTACAAATTAGTCTTTGTGGTATTAAGTGATGGTAATTGCCATTGATGATATCAGTAAATGGCCTGAAGGTGACATGCCATCTTCTCTAACCTTGCAGTGACACCTGTGCTGTGGTCGGAACACGGAACAAGAGAACACTCACTATGAGCTCACAAGCTGGTAAGTCATTTGATGAACAGCCTAAGCTGCACCCACGAAGTCAATTCTACGAAGTGGCCACTACACAACAGTCTGCGGTGCTGAAACACAAATCACGGTTTGAAATCAGCAGGGGGAAACCTAAGGAAGTAAACGGTAACATTTCTCCTCTTGGCATCTGCTCAGGGTCACCCGTTGGGTTGGTAGAAACGTTGTACGTGCCGTCCTAATGAATGGTAGGAACACATTAATTGCATTATTGCTGCCACATGCAGAGTAGTTCCCAGAGAATCGTTCTTTAATGAATGGCTGTGCTGTTTAACGGGGCAATTCAGTAGCTGCTGTCACTGGCCATTGCGAACACATTGGAGCATATGACTCGCAAGCCTCTGGAATGGCAAACTCTCAAACTACTGTGTAATGTTATTTTCTTTTTTAGCAATCGGCAATAAAGTAGGATTGCGGTAAATTAAGTAGAGCTTATTTAGCTGTTTGAATATAAAAGTAGTAGTAATTTCATTTTATATCGTGTCATTCATGCACTTATATTCCACAACGCTGCACATCAATTATCCAGTTCCATACACGTATAATTAATATAAAAACAAAACCCCACTACTTAGCAAATACAAAACTGAATACATAAATTACGAGAGAAAAAACCACGTCACAAAAAAGTCATGAGCATGCCAATGTCTTCCAAAAGGTAATCAGTATAAGCATGGTAGATATTGTGAGTTATGTATTTTATGTATGACTCATATTTGTGAATCTCAATACCAAATCTCTACAAGACAGAACTTTATGTATAATGATTGCGTTTGTTATTAATGTACAACCAACGTCTGTGGCCATAGTGTTAGCCTCAAAGATTCTGCAATGTGCTTCATAAGCGTGGGACTTTATGTGCCTGCATCATCATCGTCAGCCTTGGTCAATCCACTGCTGAATGATGTAATAATCCACACAGCAGCTGCACGCAAACTCCGTTCATTGCTCCATCTCATTGGTGGCCGTCTCTGATGCGTTCCATTACTTGGCTGGCACTCCATCATTATTCTTGACTGTCAGCCATAAATCCTTTTCATGATGCATCCCTGACCATGCCCACTTACGTTTCATAACTAGCGTCTGAAAAATCATAATGTCTCTTCCTGCACACTTGTTTTGGTGAAGAGCCTCTGTGCCGAGTTAAGCAGGATTTAATTTGGCCATTCCACCTATCGGTGGATTATGGAAGTAATAATCATAAAGTAAATGCATGTGGTGTTTTGACATTTCTGTACCGTATACAAGTAACTTAAAAAAATGTCCAACAGTCTGAATTGTATATTTCAGTAATGTTTACTTGCAAACAACCAAGATTATTGTAATCTAAAGTGGACCAGAACACTTAATTTTGTATTCTGTTTGGAGTACTTCACTGTGACGTGGAAGTTACATTTTGACATTCTTGAAATGCTGCTCACTAGAAAAAGAAACTCGAAAGGAATTATGTTTCCTGAATGTCCCAATTGTGTCTAGCCACTGAGCTGATTGCAGCGTTTGAGTCCTCTACCAGTAACCAGTGAAATATTCAATCCCTTCTGTATTAATGCATGACCAGCGAGGCCTTTCCTCGGGCTATGCTACAACATTATGGGAACTCTTTCAATGTGATTTATGTGCTCCAACGTCATTGGAACAAACTAGCTGAATAAATGAATAACTAATTAAGCACCATGAATACTAATATAACTGGCAAACCCCTTTCTCAATTAAATTAACAAGCAATTGGCTGCATTGCAGTCATTGCTGTGATGGGTACAAATATAAAACATTAAACTTGATATATATTAAAATGAATTGTGATTAAAGTTATGTTTGACTCATAATTAAAGCAATAATGTTCAGTCCTCTGTCAATCCACTGCTGTATGAAGGCCTTACTGTATAATATTGGTTGTGGGGTTGTTTTGACCATACTTCACTACGCTAGTCAGTGTGGATTGGTGAGGGGGTGGTGGATGCAGGAGATATTACTCGCCACTGATGTTAGCCATGGCTGGAGATTGAACTCACTGCTCAAACTCATATTTGACTGGAGTACTGTAAATGGTAAACTAGATTGTGATCGTTTAGCTTTGCATTAATGCATTGTGTAGATAATTATTACAAATGCATTGGCTACTGAAATATGTTTATGATCATGATGAGAGATGAACAACGCACATCTGTGGTATCAGCATATTTGACTCAACGAATGGACATTGTTCACCTCATTCATGATATAGAACGAATGTGAACTCTGTCCAGCATTGATAATTACTTATTAAATTAAAATGCAAAAAAAAAATCTCATTCATTTCTTGCAGAGTGCATGGCTTTTACTTGTATGCTCTTGATGATTATGTTCATTGTTATATATATATATTTTTTAGGAATGGCTTTTGCATCACCAGTGAATAACTGAAGGTTAAGTTGGCATTTGAAGTCTCTTTTAGCTACAACAGAAGAGACTTGGTGATAAATTAAGAAAAGCTCTAGCCGATCATTCATTAAATCTCTCAAATCATCGTGTTGGGGTATTACTCAAAATATCTGTGCGCCGTTTTTGAAAATGTAAAAGTCCTATATTGTTGACTTTTTTTAGCACAACACATCTCTGTCAACCACAATACATTGGAGGAGTTGAAAGAAAATGGAAAACCATCCGTGGAGGAAGGTATGACGTTCCCACAGGCAGACAAAAGCACTCTCGCAATTGACACGAGGGCCCCCTTTGACACAGTCTCGCCCGCGTGGAAGCTTTGCAGACTCATTCCAAAAACATATTCCACATCTTTAAGTTTGACCTGATAATTGTACTTTGTAATCGGTCGGGTTTGTTGCATCTATGTGTGTTTAATTATAAAATATCACCGCACATTTGACAATTAAATAACGTTACCTGCAGTAGATTCTTGTTATTTTCCCATTAGCTATGGATCCACGTGAGCTGTGTACATTTCTCGCTTCTCTGCGCTCCTCGCGGGGGGGCGTGTGCTGATGCTCTTGCTGCTCTTTGGCCCTCGCTCTGCGGCGCTGCTCTTGTGGTCGTGGTGCTGCTGCTGTGGCTTCCTGCGGGGACGTTCCCCCAGCGTGGAGCGCGCATGCCTCCGCACGGTCGTTGCACGCCCGCATGCGCCTCGTGTTTTGTGTCCTCAGACTCCGCACGGACCTCTCGCAGACGTGTTATTTCCACCGTCACTATTTCTCACATGAAGAAAGCGCAGAGCTCTCCTGACATTCCGTGGTTAACAGGTATCAGGGTTCGATTTCAGCTCAACACTGTACGATGTACCTAGCGCTAGCGTTTTTTTATTTGAGTCGCCACTCTCGTTTTGTGTCTGCTTAACAGGTGATTGCCAGTTTGGGGAGCGTTGCGCAACATTTAATGACATTTTCAGGGTGTCCTTTAATGCAAGAGTTTGTCAATATCCAGATAAACAAATTTTACATTTCTTTGTAAAGTTTAAATTTGATTATGGGTTTCAACTCCATCCTTATGTGTCAGGAAATATTGATCGACCAAACATAAATCTCCCGATGCGTTTTCCCTCTGGTACACAGACTGGGTACAGCAATTGATTGATTCTGTGTACACGCCGACCAATGTAGGCTCCCTGTTGTGACATCCGAAGATCTTGGCAGTAGAGAATACCAACTTAAAGGCAGCCTTATAAATGCATCGGTGGGACTTTAGACAGAATGTTGGCAATAACAATGTACTGGACGTAATATTGTATTTCTTAGATAAAAAAATGCAGTTTTACGTGACCAAATGTTTAACACAATGCATTTGTAATGTGTTGTCTACGTGAATTGGTATAGTACTATTTCTGCAGTCGTTTTGAATAGATTACTTGTTACTTTCACATTTCGTAGTTAATTTTAGCAACAGATTGTTTGAGCTCTTTAAATTTCCCAAAATCTATTTTATTTCGATAACTTCCAACCAAAATAAAATATTTCATACCACTGTGATGTGTTTGGTGCAGTGGTACATGGTTTATTATGCTTATAGTGGAAACACGATCAAGTGAAACCAACCGGATGGTTTGAGAATAAAAAAAACTGTAGGCTAGATGGCCACCAATGTGTTGTACTGTACCATTGACATACGCATATTAACGATAGACCTTTCAATCCCCGTTGTTTTTAATGCAATATGCTTATAGCAAATGTGCAGTATATGAAGCACTAATGCAAATCTCTTGCTTGTGCTTTTAGGATGCTGCTGTCAATGCTAAAACAAAGCATTGTTTCTCGATGTTTTGCATGACTTATTTTTCCCAGTTTATGGCTGTGCGAGGAATCCATATGTTCTGCAACCGGTCTCCTTGCCCTCCTTCTGCATGCTTGGTGTGCTGCTGTCTCCTCCCTCTCTCTCCCCGTTGCTCTCTCTCTCTCGTTTGCTCTGCCATTCTCTGTCTTTGGCGTGCCGCCGGGGTTGCATGCAGAAACAGACGCTTCCAGATTTAGCACAGGAAGGGGCTCGGTTTTGCTTGCCTGTTCGACCCGGGCTCATCACACCAAACACAGCACTGCCCACATATACACCGCCGCCGGTAAGTTGCCACGTCATCGTGCCCTTTCACGTATCCAGGATTTCCTGTGTTCGAAAAAAGAAGGGCAGAATCATTATTTTTTCGGACGAGTTTGCATCGTCATACAAATGCTATTTGCCTCCATTGGGTTTGTTATTGATGCATTATGCTACTGCGCAGGTCTTTCGTGGCTGTGTTGTATGGCACTCCGGAGTGTTTTTGTGGGTTGTAATACGCATTGTTTGGGTATCACATCTGACATTCGTTCCACGTGCCGGGAGCTTCGTCAGAAATGTAATTAGATGAGAAGCTCCGAGTACCTGGAACAAAATTTCAGACATCCCCAATAACATGTGATATCAACTGAAAACACATCGGAGGGATTTTAATGCAGTAATATTGTCAATAATAATCTTGTTTTAGATGGAGACATTCTCACTTTTTTGACTGTTATTGCGCAACAAAATGTTGGTGGAGATAGAATGCCTCCATTATTAAGTAACCCACCAGCTTGTAGATTTTAAGAATGCATGTGTATTCAACTACACATTAAATAAGTAACATAATCACGAAACAATGTGAGGGAAAAAAAGTAACTGGACACTGCTGCAGCTGATGGTAATGTTTTTTTTATGTTTTCTTGCACAGGAATTTGAGATGCATGTGTTATCTATACAATAATGGGATTAATCCGTAAATGGATCTGCTGATATTATCATGAGACCATCTGTTAGCATTCAGCCTGTGTAAACAGACTGTCTTGGAGGCAGTCTGATGAAAGGAAATACTATTAAGCTAAGTAGACCTCCAATTTGAAAAACAATGCTAATGAGGTGGATCAATTGGGCATGTTTTAAGTCTCAAACTTCATGTGGTTCATTCGGGCATTACTTGCTGATTATACCGCAAGAGTGTCGAGTCCGAGTTTGGAGGCCTGATGAAAACATCTGTCGTGGGCGTCGAGTAAAGAGAAGGCCCAAACAAGTGCCACACAATGGAGGCAACCACGTGAACGTTATCGTCTTGCCAGTGAACTTCATCGGGGCGTCACACGGTAGAAGCGGCTATCTCCGACGCCAATGGACAATTAAGAATAGTTCACAGTGGGATTTCTGTCTCCAATCTCAAACCATGGAGTACACAGTCCGGCATTGCCCACTTTGCACAATTCGCTGACAGCAGTTCAGATGTTCACCAGACTAGTCCTGAAGCCCCATCATTCGCCAACCTGTACATATATTTTCATGAAATGCATTAGCCTTTAATTTCACCTGTTATGACCATATAGTAAACCACTGTAGTCTGCGCTCTTTCAACGTATGAACGGCAAAACTACATGAACACTCTCCTGAAGCCCTCTCGTGGCTAGCTGATCTTGATATTGGCTTTAGCTCCTGAACATATTGCCATACTCATGAATTAGAATAGAATGTATTAAATCAATTTGTTACAATGGTTAAGTGTGAAGGGAAGTGGTTAGACTGATCGCCTACATGCGTCCAATACATTTTCTCATTATGCAGTCACTTTCCCTGCCATCCTACCACGGCTGCAACCAGCAATTGTGAATGTGTTGATTGTCACGTCCACTGATTTGACTGTTGACAACACTGGCAACAAGCAGCGACTATGTGAATAGGCTAATCCTCTGCTGAAATTAAACTTAACGCTAATTTCAGTGTGTCAAAAACTAACTTTTTTTACGTGTGTTTTTCAAAGAATTCCGATTGTGCTATTGGCATCGCGTCATGAGACTGAGGAAGCCATTCATAAATCTCGCCAAGCTGTGTGCCCCGCGTGTCTGAGAATGGATGCAGAAGAGATTTTTTCCCAGGGATCTCTCCTTCAAAATCTTCCCAATTGGCAAAATGCCATCCTACATATGCGCATGGCTGTGTAGACAGCCTTTCCGGTGCAGGAATAAGGAGAAGTAGTAATTTACTTATTAGAGCAGTGGTAACCTGATTACAATTACCTTACAAAGAGATATTTCCTTTGACCCGTCGTAGCATTCGCCATTCATGAAGGGGCACTTGCTCCGATTGGATATGCAAATTAGGGAGTGCTTATGCAAATGGTTTTGTTAGAGGATTTTATTTTAAATTTAAACATAGATTTTTTAAAAATATGCTCCAATAGCATTGCTGTTGTATTTATTAATGTACACTGTTAAAACATTTTTGTAAGTTTATAAAACAAAATATTCTTGTAATTTGATGCTAAGAATTAAAAATGGCATTTTTATTAAAAAGTTTGGTCCACCATTATCATGTGATTTAAAACAAGGATTATACAGTTTTTTTCTTATCCAATACTATTTATGCATTCCTTAACCACGGGATTATGAAACTATGACACATGAATGAATGAAACAACAGGCTGAATGCAGTTCACGTAAAGGACATCTACACTGTATTCTTATTTTATATAGCATAATAATTATTCTGCTGTTATGCCTTTACAAAAGTAACTAACATGTTGAATATGCTTATATCTTTGCTTTTAATATTTTCAACCTTTCATGTCCATAGAAGCAACATGAAAATTAGATGTTTTACTCTTAACTTATGATTGTAATATACATTGTATTATTGATGGGAGTTAAAATATTTGATAGCCTATATAAAATTACAAACCTCCATAAATGCAGCGTTAATTTTGGTATTGCTAACGCACAGTCACTGTGAGTAATATTCTTGGAATTGGTGATTGCTTAAGTGTCTAGAGAAGGAAACATTTCAATTGGTACATATAAGCTGCTGTGACAAATGGATCAGAAATATGGACGCTGCAAAGTAAAATAGCGAAGGAAAAAAAAATCTGAAATGCATGCAAAGACGCATATTGTGAATTATACTGAGAGACACAGACAGGTGGATAAGAAAACAAATATGACTCTGAAAAGTAAGTGGGTTTGGACAGGGCACACAGATTGCTATAAATGTTGATGGCCGATGGACGCTACTGGTGATAGAGTAGCAGGCCAGGGAGGTGTTGCAGCCAAGAGGATGACCAGATAGGGAGCGACGATGATAAAGGGGAGGCCTTCATCCAGGTGTGGATAGAACATGGCGAATGATGACGATGATGAATTGTGCTTAACTCATAGTAATCTCGAAAGAGGCAGTTGCTTTTGATTTATGTTCAGTCTTATTTAATCATGCATTGCAAGCTTTATTTAGGTGGAAAGGGTAATCTTTTTCGGACAAAAACTGGAGATGACATCAACATCGTGGCATTATTGGTTCTCGTTGGTGTCAGGGAATGGTTTCAGAGAACAATGCCGGATCATTCATATTATTTATATTTCCGTGATTGGAGTCGGATTTGGGAGAGAACAGGTAAACTGGGCATTATGGGTATCCGGGTGACTCGAACTGTCGGTTAGCCTGTGATTCCAAGGTTAATTTGTTCTTATGCATAAATCCTTCCCAGTGGAATTTCTGTGGTGTCCACGATATAAAATATGTTCGCCCCTACTGGGACCATAAATCTTGCTTTCACGTTATTGTATGTATTAATAAAAAAATGATCCAATAACATTTTGTATCAAAATAAGCAAATGTGTTTTGTTATCAAGGGTGACTCTGATATTCCTCTTGTCAAGGACATAATTGCGACGTACAAGTTTGCGCTACATATGAGGTTAACACAATGCGCAAGTAAATGGAGTAACATGTTGTGGACAACATTGTATGAGAAATATAGTGGAAATTTGATGCGTGATGTATTGCTGTGCACGTGTTAAATTATCAACAATTTATATTTTAAAGATGTATTCGCCTCTTGTTTAGAAGTGTAACTAAACATCAAAATGTGTTTGTATATTCACAGCTGGTGCAGATGATCATATAGAACATGAAGGTAATAAACACATTACATTCACCACCACTGCCGCTTATCCCTTAAGCATTTAAACCATCCCTTGACAGACTTTAATCCTTGGCAGTGGACAGATTTTTTCCTAAAGAGTACAATACCCACTTATACACGAAACTGCATGTGGATGCATCATTGCTTGCCGCAGTAAATACTTGTGCCCGTTTACATATTTCCAAACATTTTCTGATTCACTTCCAACTGCGGTGTTTACAATGTGTTCGTGAGCGTTACCCCTGTTTCCATTGTGGCAGTACTGTAGCAAATGTATCGTGGCCTCCACCATCAGTGCTCTCCTTGGCTCAGCCCGCAGGGGAGATGCCGTGCATCTCACCCCTGAACGGAATAGAACATTCCAGAGTAGATGTCCCACACCTGTGCCTGCACATTAGCCACTGTGTCGTTATGCACAGGTGGGACGTTTGCTGTGGAATGTAGTATTTTGTGTGGGGATCCAAAACCGTCTATGCTCATAAACATTTACGAAAATATAAATATTTGCTGAAAGGTTCAGTAGGTGACACCACTGGCGGAGCGGGGGAGGGGGGTGGGGTGGCACGTGCCCCCCCAATGATCCGATCGAAATCCCTAATTTCGATCGGATCATTGGGGTTTATTAGTAATAAATCGGCATTTTGCGACCCTCACTGCCACTGTGCAGGATATTTTTATGTGCCAGGGACTCTATGAGATGATAGGACAATAGTCTGAGTCCATAATTTGAAATAAGTAACGGCAAAGCAGTTATAAGTGACTCAGAATTGTGCGCAGTTGCGTATACAGTACACGACTTCCTTGAAGGCATTGATCTTCAGCGAGCGTGATGCCGATCGCACAACGCGGTTCGAATTCGACCCACACGTGTCGAATAAAAAGCAAGGGACAAGTCCTTACTTACTAACAACTCCTATCTTTTTTCATTGCTGGAGGGCTTGCCCCCCCCCTACCTGAAAATCCTGGCTCCGCCATTGGGTGACACGTGTGTGGTGTGTGTATCAAGGTAGTGTAGTTAGCACACCACACTGATTCCAGTGGCTCGGGTTGTCATCTCCTGGCTTGTGCATCAGTTGCAACTGGTGTTTGAACCTGGCCCAAGGCTCGGTTCAAACACCAGTTGCCACTGTATGTTATGGTTACTTGGTACAATACGTTATTGTTAACGCAGAGAATAGAAATTGTGGTCAGGCTGGCTTCATCGCCCACCTTGTGCTGTCATGTCCCTGTAAAGGCACTCACTTATAGCACTGACTCCAACAGTTGTGTGTTGTTTATGCATGTGTGTATGTATGTGTACATGCCTGGGAAGCGGTAGTGTAGTGGTTAGCGCGCTGCGCTATGAACCTGGCGACCCGGGTTCGATTCCCGCTCACGGCCAACACCAGTGACGATTATCTGAACCGGTCCTGGGCCTCCCCTAGGTCGACTCAGCCTGAAATTAGTACCTGGTGCGGTGTGTAAACATCGCCACTGGGGAGACGAAGGCGATTGGACGTGGTGCTGGCCACCCACCCCCTCGTGTACCGTTCCGGCCTTCATAGGTGCTCGCTAACAGCACTTGCCTCTACGGGGGATCTTTGTCTTTGTACATGCGTACACTGTGGAGAGCGGCGTTGCAGTGGATTTTGCACACTGTGCTACAAAACCAGCCATCCAAGTACATTACCCAGACATGGCGAACATCGGAACTCATCCTGGACCTCCCCGAATTGAATTCACACTTAAATGAATACCTTCTGCAGTGTGCGAAACTCCAGGGTTTGGGATGCAAAGGTGGCTGGCTGGGTATGGTGCTGACTGTGCCTCTCCCGTAAGCCGTTCATTCCTTAATAGTCCTCGTTGGCAGCACTTGTCTTCACGTCTGTATCGGGGGAACTTTATCTTTATGTATGTATGTAGAACTTCTTTCGCACCGTACGTAGCCAACCGCGCTAACCGGAGGTGCGGGGGAAGGACGACACACTAACCACAAAAAACTGTTCTAAAGAAATTAGTTTTCAATCTAGATTTTAAAGGGCCATCGCTCCATCGGGTTCCTAATATTGGAAGGAAGAGCTTTCCAGACGGCCGCGAAAGGGCATCTGAAAGCATGTGATGCGGTGACCGTCTTGGTTCGATGGACAAGCCAAAAGCCGCTTCGAGGATGACCGGAGTTTGCGTACGTGTATGTGCACACAGTATCTGAGGCTGCATCATCCCCACCGGGTGAGAATGCTGACATCGGCCCCGTCAATGGAGACACATCTTCATCGCCCTTGGTGTCCAAGGGATTCCGCAGTGTGAAACCCAGCCTCGTCACGACCGAGAAAAAACACACGCAGGTACAGAGGGCACGCACGCCTTAACATTGCTTGACCGACATGGTGAAGTCCCGTTAATTTACCTCTCCAGTAACCTGGGAGGCATGGAGAAGCCCTCATCAAGCGGCGGATTGACACGAGGGATGTGCATATACAATTTTGTGCGAGGGTGGGTTTGCTTTTTTTAACTAAGAAAAGCTCATTTGTTGCAAAGACACATATGGTTCTCGGAATGTACTCTTGAGAATGGGTGTTTACGTGAGCACACGTAAGTATTTGTATATGTCTATTTTGTGTTCCCTTGTACCATAAACCATATTTATGATTGTCACATGAAACACGGCACATCTGCCGTGTATGTGATAAGTCGGAAAATATGTCCAACCACAGGTGTGCCAAATTAAACCTGAGCTATTCCAAACAGAGGTGAATCTGTCAGTGGAAACCCTTTGACATATTATGTACGGATATGACCGTTGAAACATGTTTTGTTTTAAACAAATACCAGTGCCGTTTCTTTCGCACTCTGTTTTTGGTTTCGGATACACAGCTACACCATTTCAGGCCCGATGAATTCTTAACAGTTGAAATTGAAAAATAGTTTCACAACAACATTTCACATTCGCTTTTGTATTTTGAGTAATATAAGGTGAACATTTGAACTCTGAAACTTGCATAAAAAGGTCAAGAATTACTTAGATAATTATCTACGAAAACGTTTTCAACTAAATGGTGAAGTCTTGTAACTTAAATTTTTTTTCAAAAGAAACTATACGTGTCAATGCTGTTGGATTTTTGTTTATGCTTTGCGGCTGTGATTGGATCTGCATTCCTCCATTGTATTATGGCATTTAGGATAATCAGTTTGCGATGAGTGCGATGTTTAATGAGATACTCCCTGGGATACAAGTAGGATAAACAGGAAATCTCAGTGGAAGGAAAGGACCACTAATTAAGCCAATAGGAAGCAATTAAAGGACGAGGTCTCCCTAAGAGCCACTGGATCTTAGCCGCTTGTGCACGGTCTTTTTGTTTTGAATGCAGCTTGTTCCGCTCACGCATTGAAGTCTTAAGAACAAAGTGTGCAAATGAACGGTGCTCGGTAAAGCATACAACATCTTAGTGGGATGATGAAGTATTGTAAGATAAAATCAATGTGTACCGAACGACACAAGGCCATAAATCGTAACATTCTAGTTACTCTTCTTGGTTCTTTCGGTAAAGTCACGTAGAAGGGAAGTAATAAAATAATAAAAATAAAACATAATAAAATAATTCTCACGACGTTTCGGCCACAACGCAAGCAGCCGTCCTCAGGTGAAGAACATGTCTGTCGATAAGACAGAGTCTAAATGACACGTCTTAGGCTTGGAGTGTCTATTTAAGCTGTCAACGCTCTCTTCCTCCTCCCTCACAGCTTAAATAGACACTCCAAGCCTAAGACGTGTCATTTAGACTCTGTCTTATCGACAGACATGTTCTTCACCTGAGGACGGCTGCTTGCGTTGTGGCCGAAACGTCGTGAGAATTATTTTATTATGTTTTATTTTTATTATTTTATTACTTCCCTTCTACGTGACTTTACCGACAGAACCAAGAAGATGAATCCCTGCAGTCACGAAAGCTTTAAATCGAAATTCTAGTTACTGTTAATTCCGGAATACTGTACACTACTTGTAGAGCAGTGCATTGTTAAATCTTGACTTAAAGCTTTTCATGACTGCAGGAATTCATATTCTTTGGGTCTTTCGGAAAAGTCAAGAACATGTCTACGTAAAGTCACGTGACTTTGCCGAAAGACCCAAAGAATACAGTGCTTTGTTAGTGTAGAAATGATCAACTGTTCTAAAGTGTTTCAACAAAGTGGAAACTTGTTTCACTTTGTTCAATGCATACATGCCTCGGTTTCATGTGATTGCCAAACTATCAACAGCAGTGATTTAGATCGATAAGTAAACCTGTTTTTTCTTAATAATTGAATGCCCCAAATTGTACAAAAAATATAATGCATTATATAAAGACTTATTCAAGGTGAAAGAGAGAGTGGTGGCTGTTTCTAAGAGGTGATGTAGATGTCACGACATTTAGCCTGTTGTACCTTATACTTAAGATGCACTCTCTTAATTTCGTATACAAATGGACAAAAAGATGCTAAATATTATTTCTACTTTATGTTGAGTTTGGTAATCCATTCGAAAGTATCGGGAGTTGCATTGCAGAGAGGGTTTCGCAGCTTCTGTATAAGCACGTGGTCGGTCATGTGATGAACAGGTTGCTTTTCACTTTCACAATGGGGGGGTGGCTCTTATCTGTCTGATTCAGAGTTGTTTTCGAGCTCTGTTGTTGAAATCAAAATAGTCCACTTTGTTTTCGCTCTCGCTCACAAACCCGACACCCAACTTTGAAAAGGGGGTGGAATTTGGAGTCATCCAACACCAAATAATAAATTGCATACTTGAACGAAGCAAATGTACCAAACATTTGTAATTTCTAAGGAATGTCAGTGAGGCAATGCTTTAAAACTGGGATGGAACGACAGCAATTTGTGTCTCTGCCAGTGAAATATCGCTCTGTTTACTCAATTTGAAATGTTAAAGATCATGTTTTCAATTTGAAAATACATTTTTGTACATTTCTGTATAAATTCGCATGCATCCATGCAGGGACATTTGGGGATGTTATGAAATTTCATAACTCAAGGATACTGTATTTGCATTTAAGTTCACATTTGTATGGAAATAGGATAACACTGCTCAACACACCTGGCATGTACACAATTGAATGTGTTTTTAGGGCTTGAGTTATATTTTACATTCTAGTTGTGATGTTAAAAAACAGAGATATGTGTGTTTTGAGAGGTCTGGCCTCGATATGTATGTATTATGAAAGAGGGATGTTGCCTGAATCGTCACCTATTATATACCTTGCCTTGTAAGGCAGCATTATTGACGATTGTGTTATAGGAAATGTATGAGGGAAAGTGGAATGCTAAGTTGTGGAATTTCCACCACTAAGAGAGTTTGGAATGTTTATTCGGGAGTCGGAACACAACAGTAAGTGGAGTATAGATTAATGTTATTTTAAAATATATCCCATGCATTATTAATATAACATAATTTGTAAAGAACAGCACTGTTCATTAAGAAATCACAAATTGAAGATACAGTAGTAAGACTGGACTTATAAAGGACATTTAAAAGAAACAAATTGTGCATGATTAAATGTTCTTGTTCCTTCATGATATGAACCATCACAAATCTGCATCGCTTAATTTGCTTAAGTACTGTGCTGCTATTTGGTGAAGGCTGTCAGTATACTTTCCTAATATTTACAATAGACGAAGTCCTTGTGATAATAAGACCCAGATTGCTCTAACCCATTGCAGGCATGCTAACTCGCAGGAGCTGTGTTTATCCTTTTTAATGGGTTCCACAGCCTGAAGATGGATCCTGCCTGAGCACAGATGCCACACATGACCCAGGCAGCGCTTTTGAGCAAACCTATAGCTCAGAGCACACAGCATCTGAGGAAATGGAGTCAGCTGGCAATCCTTCACCAGCGCTGCCCATCACAGAAAACATGTCTGACCTTCAGCCGCAAGATTTGAATTTTCCGAACCTCAATTACTTCATCCCCGTTCATTTGCCAAGAGACGGAAAGCCAGAACATTCATCTGCAGAGCCACCTGAGTTGGAGATGCACCCCGCTCGCCTTCAGCCTGGAGCCGTGGAGCGGGATGACGTCCTTGCGGAACAAAGCCAGTCCTGCAAGACTGTGCAAGACGATCAAGCCTCCAGCAGACCAGACATCGACCAGGCAACAACCCCAGACGAATGTGAAGAGTTGCTCACAACATCTTCGGATGTAATTATGAAAAGTTTACGGAACTACTTTATTTATCTAAAACACCGCTTGAAAAAAGATGGGATGCATGTTTAAGCAGCTTTGAGGCTGGCATGTCTGATTCATGATCTCCACATTTTCCTTTGAACGTGCATTATTTGGAAACTATTTTTTTCCTTTTTTCTCCTGAAAGACATTCCGTTTATGCTTTTGTATATGCTTGTTGTCCACTGCAGTATTGCTTTTATGTTTGAATATTGTTTTTTCTCATTTCTTTCTGTGGATTGATTTCATGTTCTAATTTAAATGCCATGCGCATGTCCTCATCAGTCATATCCTTGCGAACGGTGGGCATTAAAGTAACGTTCCCCTATTTAAGTTGTCACATTCGCAAGAATGATCACTCAAGGTTCTGGCAAAAATAATTATTGAAATCTGTGCCTTGCGAAGAGTCATGGCAAAACTCAGCCATTTAAAGTGCACAATAGCTGCAAGCACTTGCATTTTCATAGCAATAGCGCATGATTGACGTTTTGTCAACGGTAGCAGCTTTGCTGCCTGACTGGAGTGTTCTGTGATGATGACTAATGCCGCCGAGATGTAGTTACGGTGATCCGATTGTAACTCTTGCACGATAATGGCAGGCTCGATCAATGTGATGTTTTCTTTTGTGACTGAAAATTATTCACAAATATTTAAATACATGCAAAATCTACTTGTGGGCATTATTTGATTTCGTCACATAATATTTACATCAAATCAAATGATCTAGCTTGTGAATTCACAATACAGATGGGAGTCGTAGCGCTCACAAAAGGATATAACTGTTTTAAAGCCAAGCAATGCAAATTAAAACGCGGATGCAGATGTGGCATCACGCAGCATTGCTGGTAATATATTGTAATTAAAATCCATCCCGCATAGCATCCTTAATGTCATTATGGTAATATTAGAGCCATTTTTTCGCGGCACCAGTCATTCATATCAAAGGGCCTGTGACATCTTTCACATTTGGCAAAGTATTCATATCTTCCTTCGAGTGTTATTGTGCTGATTTACATCCTTGTGAATATTTATGTTCACGTCTTTTTTTTCCTGCATGGGACTTTTCATAGGTCCGTCAGTAATGTGGCTGTTTTACATGAAGATATTTCATTCTTAAATGAGTTAAAATTATGTCAAAATTAAGCAAATTAAGTACTTATTTCTGCATGGCATTACCATTTTCAAGCATTCTTCATTTCTGTTTGCAGAACACTACCTCACATTAAACTGTACTAGTCACCGCATGAGGCATACAGTATATAATCACATATTTCTATCACATACATTCAAATAAGTCAATTTATTATAGGATGAAATTGAATCGCTCAATGCAGATTTATTCCTCTCAAAGGTTTTAGTAAATTAGTTAACCGCCACTGCTTGGGTTTTAACACTTGTGCTTTGGTAACTCTCTTGACATATTTTCTGGGTTCTACCGTGTGCCGTACAACACACGAGCACAAGATGAACCCGAGAACACGTCAAAGAGTTTGACCTTAGCACCAATCCAGACCTCGTAATTGGACGCGAGACTCAACCGCTGTCCTACCCGCGCGCACTGCGCTCAACGTATTGGGCGGTTTCCACCACAGCGGGCCGATTGAAAGCGTTTTAAAGTGCAGCTGTGCCTCGTCGGTGCCCGGCAGACCGTCGTCAACGGCAGCGTGGGATCGTCCTCGGGACCCGATGGAGCCTCCGCGACGGACGGCGACCCGACCGGCACGCTCTCCGCGGGGCATCCCCCAGGCTCCGACAGCGACTCGCAGCGCTCCTTCTCGCCGACGGGCCGCGCTTCTGCCTACCCGTCCACCATGGCCGTCAACCCCACCATCGTGCTGCTGCAGCACAATCGCCTGATGGGAGGTGCGTATGGGAGGGATGGGTCGCGGGAATTGCCTCGCGAGGGGGGGGGGCCTGGATGCGGAGGAATGCCGACGTTTGTTGAATTTGCTTGACACTTTTTTTGCGATGCATGAAAGGCTTGCAAGGAGTTAACGGGGATGTGTGCCAGCGTCACGGTCTAAATGTTCAAATTATTTGCAAATTACCTAATTAGTTAAAACCGCATAGCAACGTTGCCCCCTAATATTAAAACTACTCCAGACTATACACATTTTTTAGACTTAGGCCCATGCCTTTTGTATTTCTTTTGGAATAATATATAACAATTACAACATATCACTATTTTGCGACTCATGCTTCTACACAACACCCTCTTAGAAATAGCAAGATCTTTTATTCTGTCAAAGTGGCTGCATAGATTAGATAATATTTAAATAATTAGTTTTACATATGCAATATATATATGTGCATGTGGTTGTTTACAAAATCTGTTCCTCTTATGTTATAAGTGAATAATGTGATTTGTGGTCGAGGACTGTCCTCTTATTTTCAAGATTGCGTACATCATTGGGCCTCATTGTTGAGCGCAAACTCTGTACATAAAGGACTGCGTAGCATTACGCTTCATGTAGGGTAAATGTACATTTAGTGTATAGCCCATATCATCATTCACCGCTGAATGACTTGAATATACAGCAGTACAAGAGAAGGACTGTGGATACTGCACAAAGCAACTGTATATACCATCGAGTGGAGTGAAACCCTAACCCTAGTTTAAAATAAACCATCTGTCATGGGTTTTGGTATTCGCATGTGTATTGCTAGGATGAACGTCTGACACGCAGTTACTCTTAAGGCCATGTGCCATCACAGTTGGCACAGATAGTGCATGATCAAGACACTGCACAAGAATGAAGTAATGCGGCAGTAAATGTCGCTTTCGGTACTGTGTTCTTCGGACATTCACACATAGCAGAGGTGTATACAGTTCATGCAATCGGTTACAATCAATAATAAGCAGGTTTAACGATCAAATGTGAACATGTCCGATAGTTGTTTAATCAGCAAATATATTTAATTAAAATATTTTCAAAAACAGTATAAACAGTGTTAAAATATATTATTTGGATCTTTCGGTGAAGTCACGTAGATGGGTTCAAAGAAAATAAAAGACTTGCATGGCTTCACAGTTCATGAAAGACGCATTGATTTTTGTGAACGTTGGTGCAGTATATTACTCTATTTAATGCATGATAAAAAAAACAAGTCAATATTTGGCACTAAAGCAAATTTTCAATTGCATTAGTTGCTCATTTACTACAGTATTCTCCCAATGTATTTTCTCATAGCATTTATTTTCACGTGGAAACGTACCACATTGAATTAACTGTTGTTACGTTTGCCTGTTGTATCTCAACTAACGACGTTATTTTGTCCCCTGTGCGTTTTGTGTTTCACTCTTGAACTTTGCTTTCACGCCCAGAGCAGCAAAAACGGCTGAGTAGGCTGTCAGGTAGGCCCAGGCTGGTAAGGCCATCCCTTGGCAAAGAGGTTATCGCTCCTGCGTGAAATCCCTGACCTGGATCAGGCCTCCCAGAATCCACTGGTATATACGCTAATTGTGAAGCTAAGTTATAATGGGGATTTGGGTTTAATGTTTGTACCACTTATGTTTCTTAATCCAATTTTTGTAGAAGTCTATTAATGTGTGTGGTAGGGTTGCCACCTCTACTGGTATCCCCAGGAAAATCCAAATTTTCTCGTGTATGTATGTTGAGCTTCTTTCGCACCATACGTAGCCAACCGTGCTAATCTGAGGTGCGGGGGAAGGACAACTTAAAGTAAACCGGTAGCTGTCCTGGTAAATCAGTAATTATAATTCCCATTTCTTTTTTTTTTATTCAATGATATGTCCTGGTTATTGTATACCTCAAAGGTGACAACCCTACCGTGTGGCCTGGGAGACCTGCTACGGTGGATTCTGTCGATCCATGGGGTCATTTCTTCCCAGGAGAGTTCCAGTCTTATTCCTTAACCCTGCAGTTCCCCGCATGCTTGCTGTGCAGCTACACAGAGGGTTGCTTTCAGAGTGTGGTGCACTTTTAGCCACTTGACCTGCACACGTGTATAATGCCAGTTTAATGACGGAATGGCTGAATGCCATGTTAGTTTCTTTGAAACAAACGATTGTTCAGTTAAATTGGAATACTTCATTTCTTATTTTGTCATTTTGCACTGAGAAACTGTGTAAATGAACATAACATAATTTAAAATCCATACTAAGTTGTTTTGTTCATTATATAAGTTAATGTAATGTTAATGCTTGGGATGTTTAGCATTCTGAATGCTTTATATATTTGGTACATTACATCTGGCAATTGTTCTTTTGTAAAGTAGATTAGTGATGATGATATTGCACTCCATCGGCCTTCAAGTTGAGGCTTAAAAACACTCAATTATAAAAACAGTAGCTCAAATGTTCCACCTTGAGGTGCCTTTAGATGCTCTCAGAAGCTGTGTTCAACAGACAGGTACAGTGGCATTTTGGAATGACGCAGTAATACGTTATGCCTGCTTCATTCTACTTGCACCAGGCAAACCACACCTATTTTTAGAGATGCCAAAAGGACATCAGTGTTATGCAGGATCTTTTAGCCTTGAGAATGTGCCCTTTCATTGTTCTCTTTGAACATGGGATAGTTGGGTGGAGGGGGGCATTGCTTGACTGAGCGGTACCAAAGCATCCCACGGTTAGTGGTGTTCCGTGGCTCGCGCTTGAGAAAAAGCAACAACATCTGCCGAGGGTTCTCCAGTGTCAGGTTATAACATGTGTGCAGGTGGATTCAATATGAAAGTGAATTGCGTTGGCAGTGGCTTCACCGCCACTTTCTCCACCAGACGGGTGCATGCAGCCCATGGTGTTTCCCAGGAGCTCGGTGCTGGTGCTTTATCACCACACTCTGCCCTGATGTTCCAATCATCAATTAGTCTACTTGCACGTGACAAGAAAACCCGAGGTGGACTTTGTTGTTTTCTCCTCAACCTGGAGGCAGGAGTTGCTACTGGATCTGTCCCTTTTTCTTTCCTCGTGGCACTACTTTCCTTCTTGCCGTGTGAGCACATGGTTTGGTCACTTCAAATACCCTCGCTCAAAGCTGGATGTCTCCATTGAGAACATTTGTCTTAAAATATTTATGGTGATCAATCCAAGTTGTGTGCTGACTGAAATGCGTTTTCACATGTATTTTGTGTGACAACTAATGTGTTCTTCATTGCAGCTTGTGGTTGTTGTTGTTGTTGCATTTTCCTCGTGTTATGTAAATAAATAGCGTTGAATGCATTTTATTTCCCAAAAACTAGATACTTTAAAAGCAAATTCATGAGACACATTTGACAATTAATATTCTAATGTAATTCATGTTAATTATCAGCCATCCATTGCTGGATGAAGGCCTGCTCGTGCATATTTACTATTACAAAACATCTATATAACAGAGTTACATAAAAGCTTGTACGGTTTTTAACATTTCAGAAAAGGGGAAGGTTTCTGTTGTGTAACTCTTGCAAGTAGCTTGCCTGTTATCTCGTACATCGACAGTGTAGATATTAATTTATTAAATTGAAACACAAGTACATACAGAGTAGTTACAATCATTAACTAAGAAAGTAACAGATCAAAGTTAACTGATTCATTTCAGCACATGTTTCCAAGGCCAATGACGCCCAGTGGGGATTTGGCTCCGTTGTTTCGTGGTTATCCTCTATATAAATCATGCAAACTCACTTAATATTTGCCAACTCTGCCAATTTAATCAGTCGTCTGCCTGTTTTCGAACGCCCGTTTACTGGATATAAATTTTTAAAATAAAAATCTCTCAACTTCTACTTTTAAAATTAGAAAAATCTGCACAGCTACAAAATACATCGTATGCAGTAAAAGGATTAGAAATTGGGATCCAACCGCTTACACTGGTTGTCTTGGCAGGTATATAATGCTGTACATCGTATGAGGCCCGAGTCCTTTTCCATAACGCATATTTCCATGTCACAGTTTCAAATGTGCCTATTAACTCAAGTGGCCTATTCACTTTTAGTATATTTTTTATATTATTGAAATATATACCTGTCAACTCCTTACCAGTGCCAATCTTATTACAGATCAATTCAGACCTTATTGGTCACCCCGTACCCTTATAAATGTCAACATTCTTCCTACAAAGTCCCATCACAAGGGAGAAACACAAACAAAATAGAGAAAAAATGTTGTTGCCCGTATCGCAACGGCTGTGCACCATATGGACCTGAAAACTGAATTTCCCTGCACAAGAATATGGGTAAACCGAATGGGTTGACAGGCATGCAAATAGCAAACTTAAAATTGATCATGGTTAAGCTGCCTGTTGTCATGGTTAAGCTGCCTGTTGCCACCTCACCACAAGATCCTAGCTCAAAATAAAAAGCTACACAGCAAATATTCCACACTTGTTGCCTCATTTAGTGTCAGCTCAACTATTGTACAACATCTCTTAATATCTGCGTACCTCTCACCCCGACTCCCATTATGCATGGGAGTTATAGGGCCCACAAAATACTCCTATTTACGTAACCTTATTCCTCATACGATTATCCGCATTTTCTTCCCCCCTGGTGGATAAGTGGAGCAAGATCGTGGCTATAGGATCTGCAATATTAGTTCATCGCATCAGCACAGATCAGAGGCGTTATGTTTTCAAACATACTTAGTCTCTGTGACCGAAAGTTCCGGAGTAAAACGTGCCAGCAGCGTGTGACGAGTCACAGTTAACTTAGTCTGTGCGCACAGCTGCACCGTTCGGAGGCACCTTGCTGTGGAGTGTTGAGTGCTGCGCGCGCATGTGCCCGAGTCTCCCCGCGGTGGGCGGCTTGTGTTGATGGAAGCCGCGCATTTTTTCCGACGCAGACGCGTCCTCCCCTACTCCCACGCCTTCACCCGTGCCGGACGCGGCGGGTCAGACGGGAGAGCGGGCGGGCGAGCACCCGCACGACCGCCGTGCCTACGAGCGCTACGCGGACGGGGAGCGCTGGGTGGCCGACGGCCGGCCCTCGGTGCGCGTCATCCGGCCGCCGGACTTCCCCGGCATTGGCGGCGTGGACGAGGCCGGCATTCCTCTCACTGTGAGGGCCGTGGCTGTGGCCGTGGGCACGCACAACGCCGGTTCGATCGTTGGCTTGCGAACATGTTTCTATTCAAGTTAGCGGCGGCGTCGTCGTCGTCGTCGTGACCGTTGCTTGAATATTGCTTGCTTATCCGTTCGCCATCAAGGGAGCGCTTCTGCTTACGTTTACACGCCCGCACTTGTGTAGTATATTTTTTGATGGCATCGTCATTATTGCTTGCTTATTCTGTATTGGCATGCGTGTTTCTGGTTACGTTGTTTGTACACACTTGCGCACCATTACAGATCGCATTATCATCGCCAGTGCTTTTAACAACGTGTTGTTTTCTCGGTTGTGCTGTACACCTATCATTATTTACACTACTTGAATGTATAATTTTGTTGGAGAATAAATTAATCAATAAAGTATACTACTGACATGCCCTTTTGCACTGCTACAATGTTGTCCCTTGCAGAGCACAGACCGGCCAAAGGACTGGTACAAAACTATGTTCAATCAGATCCACAAGGTTAATAAAGGTAAGTGTGATATACAAAATCTCAAATCTTAACTCGATGTGCCTTGGTGCAATGGTTAGCGCACTGAACTTGCAATCCAGAGGTCACCAGTTAATTCTCCATTTGTGTGTCTTTTGAAACAATGGACAAGTTTCTTAAATCTGTCCACCTCGCAGCATGAATGTCTACGCCTCAGTGAGTCGATCAGCAGGTTGTGTGTGGTGGGTTAAGTGCGAGTACTCCCAACTATTCTCAGATACCTGGACAGTGTAGAAGAGTAGGTTAAATATCCTCTAGGGAGACTGTCGCTCTTTCTAGTGGAGGCTCTTCCGCCAGCAGTGGCAAGGGCAAGCAGTTGCAGGCCTACACTTTTACCTTTTACAGTACTGCACAATGTTGACCACTGATGTCATGCTGATATTATAAATTAACAATAGTCAAGATGGCTGTTGTACTACATATCATGTACTATTCTTGGTTCTTTCGGTAAAGTCACGTAGAAGGGAAATAATAAAATACTAGAAAATATTATTTATTTTATCTATTGTTTTATATTTATATTATTTTACATATTGTTTTATATTTATATTATTTTATTATTTCCCTTCTACGTGACTTTACCGAAAGAACCAAGAATATGAATCCCTGCAGTCACGAAAGCTTTAAATCAGAATATCATGTACTCTTAAGCATTTTCATTGACAGGAGATAATACATAATGGTTTACCAAGATACGTTTCAAATTATAACCGTTGCTAACTTTTATCCCATGTTACAGCTGCAACAAGTTGTACGAAGGTCTAACTTACATTGAGACTTTGCATCTTTTGATGACATCTGTGCCAGTGAAATATAACTTTAAAAAACATATCCAGGCTCGACATTTTTTCTTTGACCTGCAGGGGTGTTAGTTGTGGCTTTGAAGTTAATAAACAAAGATAAAACTACATCGGAAGTAATTACGACTTAATGTATATTGGAGTGTTGGAATTTCATAGCCCAAATAATGCACCTTAAGATACTTTTGTTGTTCTCTGATTTCAGTTCACTTTTTAATTGAGTTACATGAATTATCTGCGTGTCATTCTGGCTTTCTTATGCACACTCATTTATCTGAGCAGCATTCCATCAGCTCCGTTCAATTCTCCTTACTCTTAAAGCTGAGTTGCCTGCAAACCAAAATAACTTTCTATGCACTCATCCTATGCCCATGCCGTTCAGTGAGTGACCATTACCACCTTTTTTTTTTGGTTAAAATTTAGAACGGCAAGATGTAGTGTACTTAACATACTACACTTCCACCATGAAAACATTCTCAAGTAGAGGGTAATTAGCTTTTGCTTTTTTACAACTATCCGTGATTTGAAATTATTTCTGTCATTGTCTTGAATCACCTCTATAGTACTTTTAAAAAGCCCTGCAGAGATACGACATTTTGTGCCTGTATAATATGTACCTAGTTGTAATTATGTGTGTCAAACTGTTTCCTAGTTCACATGCTGCATACTGGGCTTATGTAAAGCCATTTGGTTACCCTTTGTAGCCATTTCACTCACCTTTCCCAAACCTTACCTTGCCTTTTAATGGATATTTCCTTGACCTTTTCCATAGTTTTTTTCAGCCCTCTCCAAGCCTTTCTCCTACCTTTCCTCGGTGTTTTCCCTGCCCTTTCCTTGTCCTCTTCATGCCCTCTTTTTTTATTTTCCCCGTCCCCTCTCCCTGCTGTCCTGCTTCTGCTTCCTGGCAGAACCTTCCGACTGCAATCCCTACCTGCCTACCTATCGCTTCCCTGAAGAGAGGGCCCAACACAGTCACTGTCAAGGTACTGGCAGTCATCATGTGTGAAGCCATCTGGCCCTTTCTCGTTGCAGTGAATGGTCCATATCTAAAAGGAATTGAATTTGGTTTGTTTCGCATTTGGGGTGGGGTTTGGCATGTATAAATATATTTACGCAATGTAAGATAATTTCAGACAGCTGGATTGTACTTTATTTTCACAAGCAAGTTTTATTGCCTAAATATGATACTGTGATCGACACTGAAGTTTGGCTGAACACGTGCCAATAATGGAAATTATACATTCTCATGATTACACTTCATAAACTCAAGTATTGTTATTCATTCATACATGCTCGCCATGCTATGGTCATGTAATATCTAATTGACATCATGAATAACAAATAATTTGATTGCAAATAAAAACTATTGCCATGGCAGTTTCACATCTCTTTCTTCAGGTGCATGTGTGCCTGACTGGGCTACAGTGCATTATTCTGTTAATGTAAACAGGCTACCTTTTCTCTTGTTAATCAGCACATTCTATCATCACACGTAATTAACTTTTACCCCGTAACAATACATCGTAAAGTTGTGGAACTTATTCTAAATTGAATGTTGTATGCGACATGATTTGGCTGGTCCATACACACTCCGACTTTGTATAAACTATTAAATAAATAAAAACATCCTCATGATGTTTGAGGCGTAACAATTATTGTTGTTCATACCTCGTGGTTAATGTCCTGGCGATGTTTGTAGTGGCACGTCCAGTGTGCTTTTTTCAGTCTCGTGCCTACGTTGCTGCCTTACTCTTCCCCGCGTGTCCTGCACTCCCACCGACCTGTTTGCTTATTCATTTTCGCTCCCAACTTTCCCTCCCACCCTCCACTATCCCTCCACCCCAACCAAACTGCACTCAATGCCCCCCTCACCGCTTTACCCGCTGTCGTCCATGTCTGCAGAACTAAATGCATACAAACCCACATACATTTTTCCAGAGGGCACAGAAAAGCCTCCTGACCCAGGTACAGCAGCATTTGGCTGGTGTGCAGTAGCAGCAAGGGACCCTTGAAGTCTAACCCTGACCCGGCTCGGTGTGCAAGCAGTGTTCCACTGGGCAAATTCGCAAGTTAAACTGTACGCAGAACTTTTGAATAATACCTTTGTTACTACGTGAGGTGAAGAGATAAAAAAACAATAATGGGATTAATTCTAGATTTGAAGCTTTCGTGACTGCAATGATTCATATTCTTAGGTTTTTTTCGGTAAAGTCACGTGACTTTACCGAAAAAACCTAAGAATAATGGGATTATAAAACAACAAGGTGATTAATTGTCAGGTTCTTGGCAGTATTTAAATGCTCGATTTCAATCAAAAAGCAATGGGGACGATGAATCAGTCTCGTTATACGAGTCTTATCTTAATGACGGAGAGGCAATTTTGGCTCAGAATTAACATTAATATTCTTCGTAAAATTAACATATAAAGTGCTTAGTTTATACTTTTATTGAATTAAAGGTGTCTTACATTTGTTTGCCAACACCATGCTAGGCTGGGTTTCAATGCACCAGGCATGCATCTGAGACTCAGGGTCGTTGGTTTAAATGCCCCGCCTACTTGATTGCGCATTACACAGCACGTTATCCCTGAGCCACATGTCTGCAACTGAACATTAAATCGGCCATTCCACCCTTAGCAACGCTCGTCTATTGTTTTTATTTTGTAAAAGGTGAAATTTACGACGTGTAGTAATGCATGCGTACATCTCCTTTAAATCCTGGTAAATACAGAATGAATAAATACATGTCATTTGGTACAACAGGATTATATCGCAACATATGAAGCTGCTAACCATGATAGTTACAAGTAATCCTAATAAATAGTTGAGATTTTTTGTTTGTTATTACTGTGGTGATAATTTAATTTTTTTGGTTTTTCATTAGTTCTGCCTACAGTTCAATATATTGTGCCCATGTTTAGCTCATTCATGAGCCAAGATACTCATTGCTCAATCATAGTGGCGAGTTGTCACCACTGTAATGTTATAGTGTGTGCTGCTCGTTATCTTCGTATCAGGTATCTTGCCTTTTTATACAGAGTTGGGTAACAGCTCATAATAACAAGACTAGTTCATTGTGTCCCAAATTATATTCTAGGCACTAAAAAAATAACTACAAATATCACAAAATTATACATATCAGACCATATGTGAATAACTCCCAACTGTGGCAAAAGATTGTCCAAACATGCGGAATGCTAAAGTGGAGAAGCATACAAGAGCTTTGAGTATCTTCTGTGAACACATTCTGTGTGTGTTGCCACTAAATGCTTACTAATACAGACAGATCCACAGGTAATTGCATGCTTAATAAACGCGATCTTATTGACGCAAGCCATTGTGCTTTATAAAAAAATAAACTGAAGTTTTTATGCCCATTGAATTATTCTGTACCATCTTCATAAAATGCATATTTAGCTTGCAGAATTATTTTTGTAACGAAATTACCTCTTGCGTAACGTTACTGTATATATTAGTGAATGCGTCCATTTGTTTTTAAAGGTGTATCTTTTTTTAAACCATAGCCTGCGGTTTTGCAAAGTGTTGAGTAACATTTTGTCATGTGACATAATGTGTAGATGTTAATGTACAGTACATGGCACATGTCACAAGACAAATGCCATTATTGTTCTACCACTCCATGCTACAAGCTATGCCTAAGTGATCTGAGAAGACTTGAATTGATGACCTCTTTGGTCTGCCCGTAAGAATAGAAATGTATGCAACATAGTATAAAACCATCATCCCTACTCGCACATAAAAATTGGCTGCATATATTTTAACCTCACGAACAGTTTCCAAATTCCTTACTGTTCTTGGGCATGGCCATAATATGTTATGCTATATAGTACATATAAAATATCTAGCATTTATCTTTTTAACGAAAACATAGGTAATTAACAATTACATATTGCATGGTTTTGTTGACTACCACTCATGAAATGTTATACCATGCAGAGCCACTAATTAGAATAATTTGAGATCTACTGATTGACACTAACACAAACAAAAAGCATGTCATTAATCTGAACCCACTAACTATAAAATTACAGTTTTGGGGTAAGTATGTATATTTTTGATTTACATTGATTTGCTTTTGCACAACTGTATCTCATAGAACATTTGGACAATTTACTTTTCTCGCTTATACATATCAGCATCTGTTTGCTTGCCTATATGTGCATATTCAGGAGTTCATTGTCCATCCTCTGTAGACACACTTGCATAGAATAAGCCCGTGGTTTATTAATCTTATTGTTAAGCATAATGTATTCCAAGTATTCCCTAAAGTTTTCAAAGTATACTTTTAAACATGTTTCAGTAAGTTATGATTAATTATAAAACGAATTCACATTTAAGACGGGCATATTTTGTAAGGTGTTGTGTAATTTGCTTTTTACTTCAGAATAATAAAAATCATGCATTACAATATCATCTTTATATATCTGTGCATTTGAAAGTATATATCCATGGGCGAGCTTTTTATCCTATAGAGATATGAAATTTTCATTTCAACTTTCCAAATCGAATAGCATAGGAATGTCAGTCCCTAATCAGTGGTAAAATAAACTTATTTCACTTATTTTGTTTTACCTTTAGGCAACAAAAAAGTTAGTCTTCGCTTTACCCACGACCTACATCACAATTTACCTGTTTCATATGAATATTATTGACACTGCACGATCTCTGCTGTTTTATTTTGCAATATTTTAGTTTGGCTTTGCAGTCCTTTTTCCACATCCCTTTGTGTTGTCGGCCGCGTTTCCCTGTTTTTCTTCCTTCTCTCCATCCCTCTGCATCCCCCCACCGTCTTGTAGAGGAGAATCCCTACAGACCCACGTATGTCTTCTCTGAATTTGTTTCGCGCCTTAATCCAGAAGGTATCTGTGACATTTGCTTGTTTACTTCTCTTATCAAACCCTGGACTTGCCTTTTTTGTCCATCATTTTACTCACCCCTTGGTCTTTTTGTTTGTTTGTCTTCATTGACTGCTTTCTAAGATTACGCAAAGCACGGTTGTCATTTTTTTTCTCACCGCCTAGACATTTCAGAAAAAAATGTCGTTGCAGAGATATTTGTAATTTTCGTTACATTTCGTGACACAAGAAGAATAAAAATCCCACGGTGTAATCCTTCCTACTGTCAAAAGACGGCGCTGTGACCATTTGCTCTGTTTTTCACCAACGTCCTTTGCTATTGCAAGCATAGCAGTGTGCAATGCTCTTTTAATGGGAGTGGTCTCTGTCACTCGGCATACGGGAAAAATCCAGCGTATCTCGGGGTGGCTGGGTGGTTCGTTATTTTTTAAGGGAAATCTAAAATCTTTCTTCATGTATCACACTGGGGTATGGATTGAGAGAGGGGAAAACCAACCACCGCGTCCCGGAGCACTGATGAACAATGAGGCTCTATGCAGAGGGGGGTCAGCAGCCAGTCACGGGGGGAATATTTTCGACTTGTTTTTTTATATATACAGCCATGAACATGCTGTTGTATGTATTACGTTTGCTCGTTTCATTTTAAATCGCGCGTCATGTTAGGCCATGCGATAAGGCTTCTTTGACGAAATCTACGACTCCCATCCCCAGGGTTGCTGTACGCTTACAATGGTGGAATATGTGACTTGTGCATGTGTCTGAGTCACTGAAAGAGTGAAAGGTTTAAAGTGCAGCCTGGTAATTACTGGATTTGCTCACGCTACTGCTGGTGGAAAGGGTTCACAAGAGAGAGAGAGAGCCTTAGAGGGTATTTATGGCCTACTCTTCCATGCTGAAAATGAGGTTGAGCTTGAGTTGGTAAACAGTGCCATCGTGTGGTAGCGAATGACATAAACCAGGGTTATTTAGCTATGTTTAGGACCACCTTTAGTTGATCGGTATTTGGTTTCATTCAAGACAATTGGCCATACCTGGTGGTACGTCATATTAAATAAGACTATAGTTGCACATCTTTGGCTTGACATTGTTATTTTGTGTGGTGGGGGAGGCGATCAGCATCCTTTATATCTTCACGTCGAGGCTTGCGAGCCGTGAATTCCCAACGCCTGGCAAAATTTACAACTCTGACATATGAGCCTTTACATTGCGTATGCATCGCTGGCTACAATCTCAAGCGAGCCTTACATTTAAATGCTGCACTATATACACAGTAGTACTGGTAGGAACCACCTGGTTCCACCAGCCCACAGGGGATTATTGTGTCCGTCCGTCCGTCGTGCATCCAAAAATGGGAGGGATGGAGCTGGGTGGATAGGGGAGGGTGGGGAGGGGCTGGGTGGAGAGGGTGGGGCTGGGTGGGGGGTGGGAGGGGTGGGGCTGGGTGGGGAGGGGCTGGGTGGGGAAGGTGAGGAGGGGCTGGGTGGGGAGGGTTGGGCTGGGTGGGGGGTGGCAGGGGTGGGGCTGGGTGGGGAGGGGCTGGTCACCCCGTGGTGCCCTTATAAAACTCAACGTTTAACCTACTCACGCCGGCTTGTGCCCGCCCTCACAGTCGGGAATATTTGCGGAATACAGCACGCCGCCATTGGCCCTGGCCATTGACCGAGCAACCCAACGTTCCTACCAGCTCCCTCCGCAGGAATGTGTTTAAATATTCTTCCGAACCCGGCACTTTTCAGGGTCACCTGCTGCATTGGGATCTCCCAAAAGTACAAGAGCTGCCATGACAACCTCCCATTTGGGCCACGAGGGTCTCCTCATGTGGCTTTCTCTTGAGTAGTGCGAGGCACTTTGAGTGTCGAGTCGAGGTCAATTCAAGTGCAGTGTACATTTGTAAAATGTGTAATTTTTTTGGCATTATTTATTCATTTCTTTTGAGAAAGCACAAATAGTGCTGCTGGCAAGAATATATAGTTGTGGGTTGATTCGATTCCATGACGTCTTTGTGCGAAAACATATCTTTGTCCTGCCAAGCTGTGTCGCGTTATTGGTCACAAGAAGAAAGCCATTGTTAAATACGGGGCCCTAATCTGTTTGCAGTGCACCTCCAAAAACTAAGCATTTTTGTTTCTATTGATCACTTGTTATGTTGACGGCCTTTTCTTTGTACGCATAGTTGCCTGCATCCCTGAGATTTCAAAGGCATTGAGATGTGACCCTGACCGGATACCCCAGCACACATTCCTGTGTAGCATTTTGGGTTTGAGGTTGGGCTGTCGTCACTGGGCTAGAGGCAGGAAATAGATTTGTTGTTTCCACAGAGCAACCTGAAGAACACTTTGTCACTGGCTTAAGTGGACGGTAATCTTGCCTTCTCATTAAGACATTGTTGGTTTGTCTAATGCTGTGTGCTGTTATATGGTGATTATCATTTTGCCAGATTATGTTGCTGCGTTACCTTGATGATTATCGCTGAAAAACTCTTTTTCGGTACCAACAACATTCGGGTCCATAACAGCTGTGTAATTTTAAAATCGACTTTCCTCAGCCGTTGCTCACTGCTAATACCTGAAAATAGGATTATGAGGCCGATAGGTTTATAGAATGGATAGGTCTCGCATTGTATTGCGTCTTGCTTGGCATGATATCCGACGTTTCACTCCACATGATGGGAGCTTTCTTTAGGAACGACACTCAGTACAACTTGGAAACACATCAAAGAGTTATAGTAGCCCAGCCATAAAAAAAATCTACACTTTGTTATACAATGGATGTTTATGCAGTATATTTCAAAAATAACCATTTGGTGTTTCCATGTACAAGTAAAGTATGTTTTAGATTATTGGCCTTAGTCTACTGTCCTTCAAGACTCACGTCGTGGCATTTGCTTAAACATCCAAACTATGCACAAGTTTTTCCCTGCTGGCATTTGAACACATGCTGCTTTAAGTCTACAAGGAGAATACAGTAGTTGATAGACTATTAGATACTTTGTTTCTGATGTGGCGATACAGAACAGAAGGTGCTCTATTTGATTATTTTTCTACCCAGAGAGCTGTACTGCCCTGTAGAGTTTATTTAAGTTAAAACAGTTTAAACGAGACATGAGAATGAGTAGTGCATGGGAAGTAGACAAACCCACCCTTTTAACAAAACGCGTACAGCTACGTGAAAAAGTAGCCTCTGCATAGTATACTTTTGCTTTACAAGAAAACACCTCTGAGAAAGTAAATTCATGTTTATAAAGTGCTTGGCTAAAGCTGTAACCCTTAAATCCAAAGAATTTTCCTGCTGCTGTATGTCACTCTGAGTAGCGTTACATTTGCTGAGTGCAATACATTGCATGGGTATCTCAATATTTTACAACGCACGGCTGTGTTTGATGTGCACATAAATATTGTTCTAGGATGTCTCACTTTTAATGCGTTGTAAATCCAGCTGCTGGTATTTCATCCACCATTTGGGTCGCAAATTACAAGTACGGTAACAGCCCCAGGTGCGTACAAATAATTGTGTTGGGCTGGACATGCGCTCAATAATACTGGCACATAGCCACGCTCTCACCCAAATACGGGAAGATCACCGGTGCTAACAGTCGTGCCCTCCACTACAATACTGATATGAATTAATGGTGTGTTTTTTTTTATTGTTTTTAATAACAACTGAATGTGAGCCCGGTACAAAGCGCCGATCACAGAACGGAGGGGGAACAAAAATCACGCAAAAAATAGCCCAAGTTTGTCCCGATGGGGCATAATGAAGGGGACAGAATTGGGCTCGGTACCCCACCCAGATACGGGCCACTCACGAAGGCTTGAATGTGGAGGGACAATTCGTGGTGTTTTCATTCTTGTTGCTATTTTCACGGTTTATGTGATTTTTGTTGTTACAGAAGATGATGAAGTAGATGGTACCTTCACACCTCGGTCAGATGGTACGTCTGGTGGGTTTTAACCTGCATAAATATATTTTTGCATATGCCTTAATTACAGTATGTTTTACGTATTCCCTTAGGTATAATTGATTGTATTTTTTTTTACAAATGGAGACGTGAACATTATTAAATACGCGAAATTCATATACACGTAAAAAACAGGTGAAAGTGAAAAAATAATCAATGTGTTAATATAATTAATTAGTTTGTACGTTACAGTGGATAATTAATTTTGCCTGGTGCAGTTGCCTGCTTCATTTAACGATTATCCTGTTGAACATTGTGCAGCTAATGCATCGTTATATATCCCAAAACTTCATTTTCTTGCTGTCAATGTAATGTAATTAAAATATTATATTCTTATGTATTTGCTCATTTGCATATATTAGTGCGACATTTTCAATATCTATGCAAATGTAGATAATTTGCAATTCTACCTTTGGTGCTGACAGTGATATTGAGAATATGTTTCTGACCATGTGGCATGCGTGGAATTTGCTGCATATGTGGCACTTCTGTGATAGCTAAGCATGTGACAAGAGAGAGCTCAGGATGGATGTATTGTATGCATTTACAGATCACGATAATATTTTCAAACTTACCACTAACACCTTTTTATCCCATAGTGATACAAAAAAAATTTAATTTTGCAGAACACTTAGGTATTGGCCTGAACTGTGCTCTGCACGTTTCTTTATCGGCTGTCACATAGCAACTGTACCAGAAGGCTTGCCTTTACGGTCGATTGCTTGCAAATGCGCATCTGTCACCAGCCATTTTAAATGTGCCACATTTTGTTAATTTTCACTACTTTCACAAATGTAGGCCACTTTCCAATTTGTCACGCTTCAGCTCCTACATTTTAAATTTACTCAAAACTTAGCCGCGATGAGTTAAAAAAAAAGTGTGTATTGCTCTGTTGCGAAATCTCAGGTGTTATTTTGGTCCTGTGCAGGGAATTATTGTTTGAATGTGTGGAAAATAGAAATATTCTTACGTGTTTCATTTTCATAGTATCTACCTTATAAGCAGCTCAGATGTATGTGTGTACATTTGTCCAGAAAACTTCTCCTGGACCACTTCACCAAATACAATAAATCTGGAGTAATTTTAAAGGAAGTAAGGAGTAGGGGGTGACAGAAACCAGGTGGATAGGTGACGTAAAATATCGAGGACAGAAAGGATTGGGACTGAACTAAGCCGTAATGCTGGCTAAAGAAAGAAAGCCATGGCAGAAATTTGTTGAGTTTCATTGTCGCTTATGAGCCAACAGAAGGGATTATATATGATGATGATGCTCACCATACTCTATATTAATTCTGCATGTACTTGTTTGCAATAACAATCAAAACGGAGCTCGACTCTCCAGGACAACAAAGTACGTGTGTGTCCACTGAACGTGTAGAGGCTCTAGCAGAGCTGTCGATGCATCATCGTTCTGTCATTTGGCGGCGTGTTTATCCTCCTCGCAGTGTTGCGCGAGATTAGCAGTCACGTTGCTCTTCGCATGCCTGCAGATCACTCGGTGCCGCGCTCCAAGAGTTTGTCGGACGGCCCGGATTTTGACGCGCAGCAGCAGCAGAGATCTGCCACGCTGCCTGCGCGCATCTGCCTCCGCTCGGCGGCCCAGCGGTAAGCTGCCACTTTTTGCTTAAAACAGGCACACGTAACAGATGTGCTTTTTCCCCCAGTTTATACTGAACAGCTGGATAATGGAGATTACAATTCGGATAAATCAGCGATAAGTACAAGGGGAGTGTTTTTTTTTTTATAATCACGTTGCCAGTATTGTAGTGAAAATCTAATTCAGAACAAAGTGGACCTGATCCACAATTTCAGTATTGATCAGACTTCATAAATTCAGTCTGGCCTGATTTTCATATTGCATTATTTGCATATCGTACGGCTTCACATAGCTTCACTAACTCGAATTGATTCATCGTTACATGTAGATTGTGAAAAAGGGAGAATTACACAGAGTCGGAACAAATGAGATTGTAAAAACAAGATGAAACAGAACCGATGCCTGAATTAACTCGTGATGATGGTGCATCATTGCATGTTTAGTCATCTTTTAAGAATATACAGTTGCACTGTTCTGCAAGCCAGAGCAAAATGTTATTTTTGCTATTGCTGGTAGGAACCTCCTGGTTACACCAACCCACAGGGGATTATTATGTCCGTCCGTCGTGCATCCAAAAATGGGAGGGGTGGGGCTGGGTGGAGAGGGGAGGGTGGAGAGGGAAGGGTGGGGAGGGGCTGGGTGGGGAGGGTGGAAAGGGGCTGGGTGGGGAGGGTGGAAAGGGGCTGGGTGGGGAGGGGCTGGGTGGGGAGGGTGGGGTTGAGTGGGGACGGGCTGGTCACCCCGTGGTGCCCTTATAAAACTCAACGTTTAACCTACTCACGCCGACTTGTGCCTGCCCTCACAGTCGGCCATATTTGCGGAATACACCACGCCGTCGTTGATTCTGGCCATTGACCGAGCAACCCAACGTTCCTACCAGCTCCCTCCGCAGGAATGTGTTCTATATTGGCTGTTTAGTGTACATGTATGACATGATATTTGTTACAATTATTTTTTATTTATATGATTTCCAACAATGTAAAGTAAGTGTGGCACTCCACTGCGGGATTAGAGCCTCCTCGCTTGATAACCGTCATGGGTGTTGCTTATCCATATTTGGCCATGCTGCTCAGTTTGGGTTGGTGAAGGTGGGAGACAATGTTGCCCCGCATAGGTCTACAATGCCTGGTTAATGCGTGGTTGTCACCCATTCAAGAGCTATCCAGGCGTTAACCCGCTTAGCATCTGATCGTAGGCATTTTGACTGTTTGGCACTGGTAATGTTTTTAACATGTTCATTGTGATTGATTGCCATTTCACGTTATCAAGTTTCTGCTTCAGCGAACTTATATGTTCAATAAGTTGTAAAGAAAAAACACTTTATATATACTGTATACTGTTAGAAGTAGCCTTATTTGTGAAATTAATTTTAGATTGTGGCAATCTTCAGCCTATCTTCTGAACAAGCTGGTCGGATGGCTCCGGATTGTGCACTTTGGAATGATGACCAACACGTTGATGATACACCCATAGAGGGTGACGACAATGACATTCTACTCATCAGACTTTCTCCATGAAACATCCCACCTAACTTTATAAGTTTAGAAATATGCGTTTGGAATATTTGGCCGCTTTAACTTTCTACGTGATAAGGCACTTCGTTGAGCTATCATTTGTGGCCAGGCCACTTCTGAAAAAGGGCTATATAGCTCAGTGGGCCTTACCTGGTAAAACAAGTTTAATAGTGTAGTTTTATTTACTAATATTGCACGGGTTTGATGGAAAGACCAGTGGTTCACCGCGTGCCATGTACCATTGGTGGACATTTTCATGCCAGAATAATAATGATAATGTAACAATGCGTCGGTTTTATGATGGAGTTTTCGAAATTATTTTGAGAAAAGAAAAACAAATGGGAGGAATAGCTATATAAATATCTTCTTGGTTCTTTCAGTAAAGCTACGTAGAAGGGAAATAATAAAATTATACAACATAATCAAGTAAAATTCTCACGACGTTTCGGCCACAACACAAGCAGCCGTCCTCAGGTGAAGAACAGAGCTGTCTGAAAAAATAGCGTCGTAATGAACACCGAAATATATCAAATATGTCCACCCCTCTATTATGTCCAAACACAAAAAGAGTTAATGCTTGTCTTATCCACACTCCTACTGCATCAAACCTCACTCTGCCTGCTGTGTATTTACAGTGCAGGGTTGTGCTTAATTCGTAACAGATGGTAAGGCTTACTGTGTTTACTTCCATTTGTACATACTTCTTGTTTGTGTAACACATCAGGGATATAGTCACGTGTCTGCTTAAAATATAGATTTTCTTGACCGATTTGATCGGACTTGAAATCGGTCTTCTCTGTTCTGTTGTGGCGAATGTTGCACAGAACCATAATAATGACAGCATGAATGAAGTGCATAATTGAATAAAAAGGAATATATATTAATCACGTATGTGAAACACACTTCGTAAACCTATGCATAGCAGTGTCGTGCTCTGACGTTACATGTGTTATATGTTTATATTTTAGAGCGGTGTGAGGCCTTCTCGATTGCAATTAGGATAGAGGAACACAGGCTACAGTTGTAGTGTGGATGGGCTGGTAACGCTGTGTGCAATGGGGAGGGTATGTTTACTTTTGCCCAGGGACGGGAAGTTGCATTTAACTCTGGTGCAGTTTAGGAGCCAGGAAAAGAAAATCTTGCGAGCCATTTCCTGACTCTTTAAACTTTTCTCTGCGTGACCTTTATTTCATTGCAGTCGCGCAAGAGAATTGTAAGCGAAACGTCATTTAACAGAATTGTCGCGAACAAACATCACGAGCACGAAGAGTTTTCATCGCCGTCCTTCTGTGCCTTGTATTTCAACAACATTGCCAATAGTTTGTATTCCAGCAACAATAAGCCATTAGTTTGTTTTACACGTGAGAGCATTTTCTTGTGGTGGTGTCACGTGGCGTGACTGTAGGAAATCTACCCCCCCCCCTCTCCTCCAACCACACACCACCACCACCCCAGACTGAGAGAGAATTGTGGAAAGCCGCGTGATAGTCCCAGCGGACCCTGTAGGGTATAATAATGCTGCTTCAGTTGTGAATTCACACTGTGCGGTGTGCCTCAACCCTAACAACAGGCATCATGGACTCCGTAATTCTCGCCCCAGTGGCGTGCAAGTAAGTTAACTTCAAACATTTCCCCCATGTTGCTGCATCACCATTTTTTCATCATCATCATCATCACCAACAACACAACCGTTTAACATACTTGAGTTTTTAAGCAAGGAGGATTTTTTTCTTCCAAAGTTATTCGAAGGTTCCCTTAAAAACGTTGACAGATGTATTTTGTTTGGGGTAATGTTTATCCCAAATATATGTCTTGTGTTTTTCGGTTTGTATTATTTTGAGAATATTGCTTTTATGGCTTTACTTGTATATCGGCAGAGTGTTCGTGCACGTGTAGTATCATATACTGCATTATAATAACAACAAAAAACATTATTCGGCTGGATGACCTGGGTGGATTCCTGTCTGGCTTGACTGCCGCGCTCCCCAGTGCGCGTGCGTGGTGGTGACGTCACAGGGCATATCTGCGTGACGACGTCACCCCCCCCTACACTCCAGGGAGCGGTGGTGTAGTGGTTAGCGCTACGCTGCGCTACGAACCCGACGACCCGAGCTCGATTTACCGCTCACGTCCAACACCAGTGACGATTATCTTTATCTGTCTTGGGTCTCTCCTGGGTCTCTCCTGGGTCGACTCAGCCTAAAACAAAATGAGTACCTGGTGCGGTGTGTAAACATCGCCACTTGGGAGACAAAGGCGGTCGGGTGCGGTGCTGGCCATTCACCCACTCGTGTGCCGTGCCGGCCTTCATAGGTGCTCGTTAACAGCACTTGCCCCAACAGTCTGTTAAGGCTATACGAGGGGGATCTTTGTCTTTGTTCTGTCCACCCTCCACTCCGGACGTGTCTCCAGTGCAATTGCCCGGCCATTGCTGTCACATCTTGTGTTTCATACCGCCATAACTTCATAGAGGAGGGAGGTGAGCGACAGAGACAGAGGAGAGAGATGAGGATGGGAGATAGAGGAGGGGAGGAAGACACGGTGTGGGGGGGGGGGGCAGATAGTGAAAGGGCATGAAACGGGAGAGAGCAAAACGGAAAGAGCACAGCGAGGGAACGCGACGGGCTGTGGGGAGAGAGAGGATTCGTGAGAGGAGAGGTGAGAGAGATTGAGACGGAATGGGGAGGAGGTGGGAATTTAGGAGGGGAGAGAAGTGAGAGAGAAAAAATTAACCCGTAAAAACAAAGTTTTTCACTATAAATCCTTTATATGCGTGGCGGCTAGAGTCCTCTCGTCCTCTGGTTTGAGATGGCTGCCACCTATGGGTCAGATGATTGCATGCCACTATTAAGCAATTGGTAATTAAATATAATATTTTTGTCCTAAAAAGTGTAACATTTTGGAAAAAATGTTCACGAAAAGTAATTGTCACGCACAACGAGTCTGTGTGGAAAATGTCAGCTCGGTTGGATCACGGGAAGTGGGTTAAAAAACGACCGAAAGATTTGCACGGTCGTAAGCAAGCAAGCAAGAGCGCAAGTGAACTTAATATAAAGGATTTAAAAACAAGGGGAGAGATGGGAGGAGTGGGGGGTGTTGAGATAGCGAATGGAGGAGAGGAGACAAGATTTGAGAAACAGAGACGGCGAGAAATCGAGATAAATTCCGACGGTACTGAGAAGGCAAGAGAAGGTGGAGAGAGAATGGGCTCCATAGGAGAATTAAAGTTTTGCTTCCTGGCTTGGAGGGGCGGACGGTCGCATCCAAAGGATGTGCGGTTTGCTCGTTTATTTAAAAAGTGGGGTTTACATTTTTGTGTGTTGCCACCAGAAGGATTGATAATTATTGCCGTGAGATTGTTATCATTGTAGCTGTGTAATTGCTATTTAAAAAGTAAATACTATTATGTGAGCAGCTCTGCATTGCTTAATATAAATTAATAAATCGGTACTGTCTATCATGTGATGAACTGTGTTTTGAAAAACACTTGATTTAAACGTAATCATTTTAATGACAGGAGTTTGTATGATTGTTTTCACCTTCGGTAGCTTTATAATTGGTTGTCCTTGAGTAAAACTATGCCTTCGGTGTGTGTTTTTATGTATTTTATTAAATAACTTTTTCCTTTTGAATATATCATCCGTGATGAAGATAGTTGGTGTCGCATATGACGGTTCGCTATGAGGCTTCTTCTATGCCATGCGCACTGTGTCGTTGTTGTTGCCACATGACGATGCTGCTGGGAGTTTACAACCAATTGCCTCCCTCCCCACTCTCACTTCCCGCATATCTCTTAAACGCACACCCCTCCCCGTGCACCCACCCCTCCCTCCTTCCCCTCCTGCACCCACCCTCCCCTCCTGCACCCTCCCACCCCTCCTGCACCCTCCCTCCCCTCCTGCACCCTCCCACCCCTCCTGCACCCTCCCTCCCCTCCTGCACCCTCCCTCCCCTCCTGCACCCTCCCTCCCCTCCTGCACCCTCCCTCCCCTCCTGCACCCTCCCTCCCCTCCTGCACCCTCCCTCCCCTCCTGCACCCTCCCTCCCCTCCTGCACCCTCCCTCCCCTCCTGCACCCTCCCACCCCTCCTGCACCCTCCCTCCCCTCCTGCACCCTCCCTCCCCTCCTGCACCCTCCTTCCCCTCCTGCACCCTCCCACCCCTCCTGCACCCTCCCTCCCCTCCTGCACCCTCCCTCCCCTCCTGCATCCTCCCACCCCTCCTGCACCCTCCCACCCCTCCTGCACCCTCCCTCCCCTCCTGCACCCTCCCTCCCCTCCTGCACCCTCCCACCCCTCCTGCACCCTCCCTCCCCTCCTGCACCCTCCCACCCCTCCTGCATCCTCCCTCCCCTCCTGCACCCTCCCTCCCCTCCTGCACCCTCCCTCCCCTCCTGCATCCTCCCACCCCTCCTGCACCCTCCCTCCCCTCCTGCACCCTCCCACCCCTCCTGCACCCTCCCTCCCCTCCTGCATCCTCCCACCCCTCCTGCACCCTCCCTCCCCTCCTGCACCCTCCCTCCCCTCCTGCACCCTCCCTCCCCTCCTGCATCCTCCCACCCCTCCTGCACCCTCCCTCCCCTCCTGCATCCTCCCACCCCTCCTGCACCCTCCCTCCCCTCCTGCACCCTCCCTCCCCTCCCCCTGCACCCACCCCTCCCTCCTTCCCCTCCTGCAACCACCCTCCCCTCCTGCACCCTCCCTCCCCTCCTGCATCGTCCCACCCCTCCTGCACCCTCCCTCCCCTCCTGCACCCTCCCTCCCCTCCTGCACCCTCCCTCCCCTCCTGCACCCTCCCTCCCCTCCTGCACCCTCCCTCCCCTCCTGCATCCTCCCACCCCTCCTGCACCCTCCCTCCCCTCCTGCACCCTCCCTCCCCTCCTGCACCCTCCCTCCCCTCCTGCACCCTCCCTCCCCTCCTGCACCCTCCCTCCCCTCCTGCATCCTCCCACCCCTCCTGCACCCTCCCTCCCCTCCTGCACCCTCCCTCCCCTCCTGCACCCTCCCACCCCTCCTGCACCCTCCCTCCCCTCCTGCACCCACCCTCCCCTCCTGCACCCTCCCTCCCCTCCTGCACCCTCCCTCCCCTCCTGCACCCTCCCTCCCCTCCTGCACCCTCCCTCCCCTCCTGCACCCTCCCTCCCCTCCTGCACCCTCCCTCCCCTCCTGCACCCTCCCACCCCTCCTGCACCCTCCCTCCCCTCCTGCACCCTCCCTCCCCTCCTGCACCCTCCCTCCCCTCCTGCACCCTCCCACCCCTCCTGCACCCCCCTCCCCTCCTGCACCCTCCCACCCCTCCTGCACCCACCCACCCTCCCTCCTGCACCCACCCACCCTCCCCTCCTGCACCCACCCACCCTCCCCTCCTGCACCCACCCACCCTCCCCTCCTGCACCCACCCACCCTCCCCTCCTGCACCCACCCACCCTCCCCTCCTGCACCCACCCACCCTCCCCTCCTGCACCCACCCACCCTCCCCTCCTGCACCCTCCCTCCCCTCCTGCACCCTCCCTCCCCTCCTGCACCCTCCCTCCCCTCCTGCACCCTCCCACCCCTCCTGCACCCTCCCTCCCCTCCTGCACCCTCCCTCCCCTCCTGCACCCTCCCTCCCCTCCTGCACCCTCCCACCCCTCCTGCACCCACCCACCCTCCCCTCCTGCACCCACCCACCCTCCCCTCCTGCACCCACCCACCCTCCCCTCCTGCACCCACCCACCCTCCCCTCCTGCACCCACCCACCCTCCCCTCCTGCACCCACCCACCCTCCCCTCCTGCACCCACCCACCCTCCCCTCCTGCACCCACCCACCCTCCCTCCTGCACCCTCCCACCCTCACTCTCCCTGCACCCACCTATCCTCCCTTTCCTCCCCATGGATCCATCCACCCTCGCCTTCCCCTGCACCCACCCACCCGACAGCGAGTGGGAGCCCCCTGACAAGCGCGTGGACACACGGAGCTATCGTGCGGAGCCCAAGAGTATTTTTGAGTATGAGCCGGGAAGGTCATCCGTTCTAGACAAGGAAGCGCCGGTAAGAGAAGGATGTATGCACTTTGTCTCACCATTCGTTCCTTTTAACTTGGCTTTTCTTTGCAAACACTTAGCAATGTGTGAGTTACTCCTTTACCAAAACAACATTTTCTCATAAGCTTGTGCCCTTTACATATATAACTGCTGTTTGCTGCCTTAAAAAAATGTTGCTCATTATTTATTCCTTATCAACTGAGAAAATATACACATTTGTTTACCCCCATTGTGTGTTAAATTCTTCCAAGGGCTGTGTACAGGGTGTGCCGAGTTCATACCCCACTGGTTGATTCTGGATGCTGTGTCCATGCCGAAGCAGACTGAGCTAGTTGCTTTGGTTGTCACTGAAGGCTCTGCTCGTGTGACTCTTTGCTCTGTCTCGCTGGCTGGGTTGCTGAGATATGCTAGGAGCTGATGATGTGAATCTCGATCCTCCTATTACTCCCGGTGTCTTTGTGTGTGTGTCATCCAAAGGAGGGGGGGGGGGCACAATATGTTCCTGGCAGGCCCTTTGAGTCCAGTGATGGCTGTTGAGTTGTGAAGGAAGTCCACTTAAATTTCTGCATTCTAGAGGGGACGATATGTTTGAATTCCTTATTTTTTAAAGCCCTTTGTTAACTGCTGGGTGAGGGTTGTCCCACATTTCAGTCATGGGGGTTGTTTGAGTACAGTCCAGTCTCCATCATATCCATATCGGTCATTGTTTTTTGGTGAAGAAAATAAGGTTGTAGCTGTGACTGGTTCAAATATCAATCGCAGCTTATGTTGCAACGGCCAGATATTTAACCGAGATCGCCAGGTTTATTTCAGTGTGCTAACCACCCGCACCAATGCTACTACCCCCCAGGTTTTTTTTAATTGAGTGTGTTATTTGGACTCTTTAAGTGATTCAGCTTCAAAGTTAATGCTTAGAAATGTTGAATTGTATTCATAAATTCACTTGTGTGACTTTAATGAGAAGGTAAAAATTAAATTTCAAAATAACTTCATAAAAAGTATATATCTTTTATTTTCTGAACATAATTGGGCATAATTGACCTTGTGCCCAGATATTGTTTTCATGAAAAAGCCTGCCTGGCATGACTAATACACAATTTTCCTTTTGTTTTATACAAGAAATAATGTTTTCTGTTTCAGGAGAATAATATTAATTAATGTGTTATCTACTAGCATCAATGTTATTAATGTGCGAATGGGAGTGACATAATTGGAGATAATTTATTACTTAATTGAGTCAATTGGATTTGTTTTTAATTACACCGAGGTGTTTTCCAAGTTTATTAACTGCTCTGACATTTTTATGAGCAGTTGTGAATAACAAAAACTGCTGTGACAGCATCTTCTCCTATGTTCAAACTTTAGGCTGTATTAAAACTTTTCTGGACTGTCATTCGGATATTGATTTCCTTGTTTTTTGTCATTTTACCATTTGTTGATGAAGTAATGGCCCCTATATTAGCTCTATCCATGACGAGTCCAGACAATGGGTGCCAAGATCACAAGTGGCTGATTTTTTATTTATGCATGAAGAGCAGGTGATACCCTTTTGAGTGAAATGACAATTGTGCATTAGTGGGAGCCAAACGCCTGACAGTTAAACAGCTGTTGAGTAGGTACAATTTTTCAACTGCACGGCAAGGCACACGGGACAGGAAAAAAAAGCACAATGTCTCTTCTTTCCGCATGTTGTACCACGTTTGGCCTGATGGTGAAGGAGCCACAAACACTGTGGCAGGAGCTCCCAGTGAAGAAGCCGCAGGCCTATGGAAGGCTGGGTTCAGACGGACGAGCTGAGAACGCAGGCGAGCGAATGAAAACAGGGCCTGAAGCAGTGGGTACAAGAAAGATTGTGCAGGAGGAGGAGGAACAGGTGGAGAGACAGAATGGAAGGGAAACAGGAATGACACGCAGAGTAAGTTTACTTCCTGAATAAACTGCTGGGTGACCAGAAAAGTTGATTCCTTAAACCCATGTGAATTGTGTACATTGCGGGCTAGTTCTTTTGCATTATATCACAAAGTACTGTGAATTTGAAATTGTGTAAAACTGTTGTCTGGAAGTATACCTAATATTTAGATATCTCACTGAAAGGAAATTAATCTACTTTGTTTTATTTTAGTGTTCACTCTTCTCATTTGTTTTTGGCAGTTCTTCCCTATAGAGATTCTGAATTATGGTGGTCCTCTCTGTCCAATGGCAATGTTGTATCAGGATTTTAATTTTCCTTTTTCCTTCTCTTGTTTGAAAAATTTCCCTCCTGTGTCATGCTTGTTTCTCACTTGTGCATCCTCTAGCCGAGCTATGTAAGTATGGAGGAGATAGACGTTCAGAACGAGGAGTGGTATAAGTTCTTTGCCGAACTGGAGTTTGGCCAAAGGCCGGTAAGTGGGTGTCTTGAGCTGAATCATGGGCCTGCTCTGATCACGGCAACCATCTCACGCTACTAGTGGCAAATCAGCACCGTGTGATCTCATGTGGCTCAGCTTTGTCTTCATCTAATGTGGCTCAGTCCTTCCCATTATCGGTCTAACCGCTGTGTGGAAAATCATTCCATGGGTGATTTTATTTCCTCACGCAGCTATATTCGAAGGCCGCGGTGTGAAATGAATCCTTTTTTTTCAAAATAATTTTAAATCGCACTCATTTAATTTCTACTTTTTTTTTTACTGAGATCATATCACTGTGAGAAATTTAAAAATGCCGCTTGGTGTGATAAAAATCGACAATTTAAATATACACGGCACTGGCTTTATCAGGCTTCGTTTTTTAAAAGTGATTTCATGATTTTACATAATGTTGTTGAACATTGAAACAATGTTTTCCTTGACAACAAACTTATTGATTGTCTGATGAGATACCTGCATAATAAATATTTTACTATTTGCATTTATTAAATCAGAAAAAACTTCTGTTTATATGCAATTGGTTGATTGGCTGAGACATTAAAAATAATCTCATGGGTATGTTGGAAATTCTATAGGATGTGTTCTTTGCAGTCAGGGCAAAATTGATATTTAGAAATTGTGAGGCTGCACAAATCCATATGAATCGACTTGGTAACAGTGTTGTGGGTAGTTCACTGTGCTCCCGTTGCTGTGGCTTGCAATTGATTATATCCATTGTGCTCTTTGAGGGCCATGCCAGGTCAGGACAACCTGAATTGAGTACGTGTTGTTGCAGGCTCTGGGAAAAAAAACGAATAAAGGCCTTTACACCCCCTCACCTCCACACTTACGTATGCTGGGTCAGGAAAACAAATGGTCCTGCGTAGCACATGTTCGCAATGCCCCCGGCATGACCATCTTGTACTCGAGTACTCAGTCCTGGCAACTTCACATGCGAATGGTTAACCTGAATCATGATGCTGCTTCCATGTCCACAGCTGGGCAGTGGGCACATGATATTGTATTACTTCCGACAACCCATCATTGAAATATGTATTAATTTTATGACCCTACTATAATTGCCGAAGCTGTTCACATTCTCCTACAGCAGTTGAGGAACCTCGCTGAGAATATGAATTTAAGACTAATTTAAAATTCATTTTCGATATTTTAGAAGAATTTGTTATTAGATATTTTAATAGGCATTTGGGATGGTGTATTTATATTTTTATGAGAGCTATGATACTGTGTTTACCATAGCTTAAACATTAAATTAATTTGGTTTTGATCATTGATCATGGTCATTTTTGCTTTTGTAATCATTAGGAAGTGTTTTGAAAGTATGTCTGCAATACGGGGAGGTACATCATTAACTAATACTACAGTGTTTACTGAGTCTATGATTATTACAGCTGCAAAAAACAGTATCCTGTGCATCTGCAGAACTGTCAGCAAAATGACAGGTTCATTTCACAATGACATTTATTTTCATTGGGCATGAGCTTGATGATTGTAATGCCAATTTTCATATAATCCTCGCTCACGAGAAAATCTCATTTTAAAAAAAATATATAGTCGGATAAATACTAATATTTCAAAAAAAACATTTGTATTTGCCAGTACAATATAGATGACATATTTTACAACAAAAAAACACTCATACTTCACTAATATTTTCTTCATGATACGGATATTTAAATTGTACATTTAAACAATAAATATCCTGTATTATTTAAATGTAATTTGTAAAAATCATCATGAATATTATCTTTTGGAATCATCAATTATCATTTCCTTTAGGCTTATACATATATCAATAAGATGCCTAGAACTGTCTATTGTTTAAAATAGATTTTGTTTTTCAATCACGATCTATATGTTTTATCTCAGTGTGCCTGCTAAATGTGTACACGTATTTTATTCTACAGTGACACATTTGCACTGTAACTCCATTTCATCTCATTAGCTGGTTGCAAATGCAAAATTCACCAGTGAAGCCTGGATGGCTCCTTTCGTCCACACAGCCACCCTGGTATATTCTCAGATTTATGGATTTTTCCCAGTCTCTTCTGTCTCCCAGCATGACGCTTCTGTTACTAATGCCTCCTCGTATTGCATGTCTTATCTTAGTACCTCTATTCCTTTCCAACTCTCATCTCATCTGTCCTTTCCTCCTCATAAGTTTCGCAGAAAGATCTGGGAATACACGCCAGGCAACTGTTCCATTCTGCCTCCCCAGGAAAAGCAGGTAATATATATATCCACCCTGGGTCACCTACTACCCTCAATCTTGTTGAACCTGTGTAGTATTTTTCAGCGTAGACCCATGATCTATTTTAAAGCGATTTCAGTCTTTAAAAATAATATTTATAGGCGCATAAATATATTCACAATGTACATAAACTTACAAATAAAGTCAGAATACATTTATAATGCTATTGAACTGGGCTTTTTTCTCTCCCTCTCTACTAAAGCCTGATTTTAGATTTTAAAAAAAGATAAATACTTGTAAAAATGTATGTCCACTTGTAATATAATTCTCAATTTGGAAATATTAAAGTCAAAAGCATATGGACCGATATTTAAAGACAATACAAATATGAACACAAGATGGCAATTATTTTATTCTTGAATTCTACATTTGTACGTGTACAGTATATACACAATATCCATAATAAAACCAAATCTAATATACACCAATAAGCGCTTTGCTAAAATAAGATTGAACAGCGGCTAGTAACCTATCAAATATGTAACATTGCGTAATGGCCCGTTCTATTGGACTTTATTAATTAATACGTCGCAAAAGAGACAGTGCAGCGATACACTACCATACTCAGCTACTCCTGACGCGGTTATCTGGCTTGACCACCTAAACGTGAAATTCTAGTTGTTGTTGCTTTGCGTCTACACCAGCCATACGAAAGGTACGAAAGAAGAAAAAGAAGACGAAGAATACGTAGCAATACCACATCAAAATTCTCGTAAAATTGTATTCGATTGACCAAGGCTCTTGTCAGGGAAGATTATCTTCATTAGCCCGCGTCATATTAACAACAGCAGTCGGACACAGTCAAACTATGTGCACTTGGTGTTCTAATGCTTAATATCATTCGTAGTTTTGTTTCTCTTTTCGCTGCTGCTGCTGCTTTGTATGCATCGTGGAACCTCACCTGCAGTCTACTCATTGCTATAGGGCATGCTTCTTGACTCTTTTTGTTGAATAACTGCAAACTACGGAGTATCGTTCTTTGCCAAACCATCGTGTAAACAGAATGTTTCCGTTCCATTTTCTCTCTCGATGTTGAGCACAAATCACAAATATATCTTGACATTCCTCCTGCTGTATTGGTGGACCAATGGATGGACCAATGTGTACGTATATGTAGCTGCGCTATGAACCTAGCGACTAGAGTTTGATTCCCGTTCACGGCCAACACCAGTGACGATTATTGAACCGGTCCTGGGCTGCCCCTAAATCGACTCAAGCTCAAATGAGTATCTGGTGCGGTGTGTAAACATCGCCACTAGGGAGACAAAGGCGGTTGGGTGTGGGGCTGGCCACCCACCCCCTCGTGTGCCGTTCTGGCCTTCATAGATGCTCGCTAACAGCACTTGCCCCAACAGTATCTTAAGCCTATACGGGACAAATTTGTCTTTGGTGTCTTTAACATTCAAATATATTTTTCTATGTATGTGGTGTTAGGGTACCACAACTTATATTTTTTGTAAAAGTAATAAATAGATTATGAATGGATACAAGTTATAATGGTGAATTAACGGATTACTTATAGTATTAATAATGTACCCATCTTTGTAAGCCCACTGCTGAATGAAGGCTTGCCATACCATATTGGTTGTGGGGGTTGTTTGATCATATGTCGTCATTCTGGTCTGTATGGTTTATGAGAGGGGAGGGCCCATGACTGTTTCAAATATCACTTGCCAAGTATCGAACCAAGGTCATTGGTTCATAGATTAGTGTGCTAATTACTGCGTTATCACAAATCCACCATGTGGTTGTTGCCAATCGGGAAAAAGAAACTGGTTCACGTAGATGTTCTGCAACATCCAAGGTGGCTGTCGTGACAATGGGAAATTAATCAATTGATTGCTGTGACTGGGTCACGTCTCAGTCGCTGTCCAAATATTTATTGGGCTACATTACATCTAAAGTATGAATATGAGAGAGTGTCTATAACTGGCTATGTGTGTGCATAAATGTGGGTTTAAGCACGCCCCTCGTTGCATAACTTGTGAGTGTGTGGTATGTGCATTCATGGAACTTGCGTCTCGGTGTGTTAACAGCTTGTAGATATCTTCAATAACTTATCTGTGGGAAGAACAATGTTTTCAGACCAAACAACTATGATATTGTGTTGAAGCCTAACTTGGGTTGATCAGTCTTTAATTTAATAAAGTATTGCTGCTGACTAAATTGAACAATGGAAGCTGGATAGAAGCGCACCTTATTTAAGCACAGTTCTGATTTAAACAACACATGCTTACGTTATACTTGTTTACGAGTAAACTACCGCACATACAAAGCATAACCTGATCTTGTTCTCATTGGGTGTGCTCATAGCCAGCGTACGCTGTATAAATAATGTTAAATATCTATTAATTAGACAAGTGACGAGCCTGATGGAATCCATCTAGCTTAATGGGCACTAATATAATTTGACATGTGTTCTTTATGTGTTCACAATTACAGATTGTGGTTATGGCTAGAGCCGCTCGCGCTGTTTAATCATGCGTACGATCGGGTCCCCAGCCTGGTGTCTGTTGCCAACTCCCCAGGATCAAATAGTCGCGTGGTGAGCGGTAAACGTGGCAAGTCAATTTAGTACTCGCGGCAGATCAAAGGTAAAAGCAGTTGCGGAGATCTTAAGGTCAGGGCAGCGTGAAGCAGAGGAGTTGTATGCCAGTGGGTGAACTAGGGAGCTTTGTCGATATTATTTGTTTATGTAATTGGCAGTTGAACTTTGCAGAGGGGTAACTTTCAAGTGGATAGAATATAACTGCGGGAAATTGTGCTCGAGTAGAGCAAAATCTGATAGTAGGGTTTCCCCCTTTTTTCTGGCAACAAAACAGGTGCTAAGATGTTAAAACACCAAACTGAAACCTTTTACAAGGAATCATGTCTGCATTAAGCACAATGCTTGTGGTCAGATGCAAACAAAAAATACTCTGATAATATATGCATTGTCCTTGAATCTGATTGGTCCACACCAGAGACAGCTTTCTTTTGAGCCTCGTCTCAAATGGTGTTAGACCAGAGGACGCCAAGAGGCGTACAGACCAAAGACAGTGCACTATCAGAGTAATGAGAGCTCGGGGTGAGCATCTACATCATGGGACCTTCTTTGCCAGTACAGAAATATAATAATAGATTTTTTTCTCTTTTTTTAGCTCAGCTGTCTCTGGTGTGGACCAATCAGTTTCAAAGACAATGCATATATTATCAGTATGTTTTTTGTTTGCATTCTGACCACACGCATTGTGGTTAATGATTCCTTGTGAAAGGTTTCAGTTTGGTGTTTTAACATCTTAACACTTGTTTTGTTGCCAGAAAAAAGGGGAAAAACCTATTATCATATTTTGGTACTGGCAAAGGAGGTCCTATAATGTAGAGCAAAATCGTTCCTTTCGCGAGGCTGTGCGCATGGTTCAGTGATGCCGCTTGCGAAGTGGTCGTCTCTTGAAGGCACTAGATTCCGCACAAATGGGGGTTTGTTGTAACCCTCTTAAAGGTTACAAGTAGAATGTGACTATTCATTCGACACGTGTTGTGACAGTGTCTCTATGGTAATGTTGGGTACAACTGGAATCTCTGTGTAATCTCGGTATGCAGTGATGTCACTTAGTATATTGTCAGTTCCTGCAATACGCAGAGTTCTGATGTACTCGACATTTCCACGTGTTGCATGACATTGTCTCGGCGTATGAGAAGGTGACTGGGAGACAGTAATTCCTCCGTGGTATTATATGACACAGTTAACTGAAGCTCAGCTTGAAACCCAGTCGTGTCTTAAAAATCCTTTTTAACTTCTCAGATTTCTGTTTCTGACCAAGGTCATATCAAGTGTATTATTTATTTATGCATCTACACATTCCTCCACATTTATACTCGTATAAATATATATTCCCTTCATATAAGCTTTTTTTTCAAATAAAATTGATACTGGTGAATTTTCACAAATTACAGTATATCATTCAATGTTATGATCCAATGGTATTATCCACGTTGGGACAAGCAAATTCTTAAACTTTTTTTGTAAAGGAAGGTGTCGCAATATGATGCAGAATGTGGCACGCAGCTTGAAAATGTGACATACACAGGCCAAGAAAAAAATCTGAAGTATTTCCAAAAATTGCATAATTTTTATTCATAGCTAAAAAGAGAACTGCAAATGTTTTCAGCTTTAAATGAGATATTTCACCATCAAAGCTTTCTGTATGAGTGTCCGTGAGAGCTTTTTATCGATCGTGTTGAGTTTATTATGGCAACCAAAAGCTGTTTGGGGGAAAAAATTACGGAAAAATATAAATCAATGGTTTTGGCTTGAAATTGTGATGTTACACTCTTATCCATTGTCCAGAATTTTTTTTATGAAGTGTATTTTTGTGCACTTTTGAAAAAGTGCATTGCACGAGTGAATAACAACACATTGCTTTGGAATTAAAACAAAAGGGTTTTGCATTCCTGATATATTCCCACAAGTAAAAGCCGCCACCGCTGCTTTTGAGGCTAGGGTCGGGGGAGCTGTTGCTCAGTCTTTTTTTGGTGGCATGTTTTCCTGGCCGAGGGATTTCCCTTGTGGGTGCTGCCATTTCCCACCACCTCACCCGTGACAATAGAAATCTGTTTCCTGTTATTACTCCAAGAGAAGCGCATTGCTGACCAGACACATTGGGCGTCTGATGGCTGAGCATGTGGTTGTGGACAACCACATCTGCAGAGTACAGTATACCGCACATGTGATTCAGCTACACTGTTATGGTGTGGCACGTTAAAGCACAGCTGAGTGGCAATATTCTACTCATTGCATGTGTATCTTTATTATCTTCTCAATTCAGTTACCCCCAAAAATGTGGCTTAATTGATCATATTTCAATCATGGTACTGATTATAAAGGGGCTGCCAGTGGTATCATGGATAGCACAATGGACTTGCAATCCAGAAGTCACCCGTCGTGGCGGTTGAAACAATGGGCAAGTTTCTTAAATCCTCCCGCTTCTCTCCACGCAGCCGCGTGAATGGGCACACCACAGTTGATTGGCAGGTCAAGTGTGGTGGGGTAACGTGTGGGGGTATGCCCACCACTTCCTAGACTTCTGACAAATGTGCCAGAGTAGACCAACGTATCATACTCTTTGTTTTTTTCGGTAAAGTCACGTCGATAAAAATTTTAAATAAATTAACTCACAACGTTTCGGAAGCAACACAAGCCTCCGTCATCAGGTGTAACTGCTTCATACGCTACAGCGTTTTTACTGGAGTTAATTTATTTTAATTTTTTACCTATGTGACTTTACCGAAAAAACCAAAGAGTATGATTTCTTGCAGTCACGAAAACTTAAAATCTAGAACCAACGTATGACCTAGAGGGGCTTTCCAGAGCTCCCTCTAGTGGAGGTCCTTCCACAAATAGTGGCGTGAGCAGGCAATTGCAGGGCTGAGTCTTTACCTTTTTACTGAAATTGTGAAAATTTTCTTGCATTCTTACCGTCCCATTTTTTTGTGCATTTGAGTACCAAAATGTGTTTAAACTCGTGCATAATATATGACCAAATACTCGTTAATGTAATTCGTAAATTTACTTCCATTTTAATCTCTTGCACAATAAATTCTAGGTAATGTAATTTCCCTTGGGAGTTGTCAGCCAATTCTTAAGGGCTTTTTAGGAATAAGTATTTACGTGCTATCAAGCTATTTCGTGTGTTAATGTTAGAGATGTTTTTCAAACGTTCAAGGTTGCAGTGAACCAAGCACCATTGCGCTGGTGGGCCTCGTTTAGCATTAATGTCTCCACCCAGGAGTATTGTTAACATGCTTTTTTGCTGTGCTTGCCTGAACCTACATGCACAGAGCCTGGCAATGGTAATGGCAAGATTTGACCAGCCTTCACCGTCTAATGCCAGGCTAACCAAGTGGAAATTAAATATGTTGACTGATCTGCAAATACGACATATTTATCTGAGTAATAACAGGCTGCTTGTACTTTTTTTTACTTGGAGAGGCCTTCTTCCAGCAGTCGATTGGCCATGGCTGAAGATGATGTTGGTTTTGCACTTATTGATGTCTAGATCCTTTCTATAAATTCTGGTAAGCTACTTTGTCTTTTTTTATATATATAAATGGGCTTTAATATAGATGTTTAGGTGCAGCTTCAACGACATTTTTTTTTCTATTTTCAATAGATTTTCGATTCGAATATGGTAAGTTATGTGGAGGAGAAATCTATTGTGTAAAGTTTTGCCTCGTAAGCTTTAATTAGTGCTGATTCATAGCATAAGCCCATCGTAATGTTCTGCGACCGCTTCTTCAGCATTTTGTTATTAAATGCAGTCTCCTCTCATTGTCGGTCAGCATTGGTTTGAGGTCAGACTCGCAAGCATCGCAGATTCATGGATTCATATTGAATTTACAGGTTTTCAAAACAACAGACAGCGTGCAAATCAAACTGATGTACTGTGTTGTGTATATTATAAATTTAAAATAGGGGAAAAAATGCACATTGAAGGTACATGCACACCATTAAAACAGTTATTTTAATCTGGAGTTGTGTTAATTCATAATCTTATGCCAGATGTAATACATTTCAGTTTCCTAAATGTCATAGTTTTTTCCCCTAATTTCAAATTATTCATTTTCCATTTTCCAAATTCGATCACTGTAAGTGGCTCTTTTTTATTTTCAGTAATGTATTAAATGTTTGTCATGTAACATTGATAGGCTAACGCACAAAGTCTAGATGGGAAGCAAAATAACACTGCTGATGCAACCAACACAACTCATCTAATTCAGCTGTTCTTAGGAAGCCTTCATCAGTGCTATGCTATATCAATGTTCAAACTCAACTTGCTTTGAAATCATCTGCTCGACCTCCGAATGAAAAATACAGCACATCATTTCAGCGGTTTGCAATTTATTTTCTTCAAAACCCTCGCTGCGACACGAGACACATTGTAATCGCGTGTCATATCCCCGCTGGAACAAATTCATCAAAAGACGACGCCTTTTTTGTGTTGCTGTCACATTTCGCCCACATTTATGATATGCAATGTTAGGCGTCTTCCCACGTAGCCCCCCCCCCCCCCACCGTGTGCCTGGGCACCACTCTACACACGTGTGGCCGTGATTCACGTACACCCAGGGGCAAGAGGGGGGAGGATATGGGCCAACTGGTGAGGGCGTCTGCAGGGGTTTAGGCGTAAGCTGTCCGATTTTAGGTAGATTATATTGGCTGCCAGCAATGCAACGTTGCAGGTCCAGGTGTTGATGCAGCACAGCTGGTGTCCCCCAGTCGGTTTGCGCTTCTCTTTGCGACCATCCCATTTTTATCGTGGGCGAGAAGAACATTTGAAATCGGTTGAAGGGCTCGTGTGTCACTCTCATTCGACTTGACTCGCCTGCCTTCATTCTTATACTGCTCGGTGGTGGGCGTAGGTTTAACTTAAAGTATTTCCAGGGTTCATATCTGACCGAATATCTTCTGGGTCGCTCTATAGCTACACATTCTGGGAGGGTGGCATGTGACCAAAGCAAGATGTATTTGCCAGGTGTGTTCATATTTTCTGCGTTGCTAGCCAGGATCTGGCTGAAATTAAGCCCCGAGTATTTTGCCCATGGACATTTTGTTTTACTTTAATAAATGGTATTGGTATATATACTCTTTGGTTCTTTCGGTAAAGTCACGTAGGTGAAAAAATAAAATAGAAATAAAATAAAAAATAATGTATGTACAGAACAATGACAACATTTGTTTTTTTACTTAAATAGCTATAGTGTGTTATATTTTATGATAATTATAAATTATTGTACAATTTGTATTATGAGCGATAATTTGAAACACGTCACATTAAATAATTATTTTATTTGTTAACATCACCCGCATATTGGATAGTTGGAGAGCTGGTTTGTAAAGTATGTTATCTTAACAGGAAGCATTAAAGGTTGTTATTGGAAACCTCTGCATTTGATTTTTTTATCAGACAGTATGCATATTGATTGAGTGTGAATCCTTGCAGATAATACATTAAATGTACAAAGTCTATTGTGTTTGTAATTAGAATAATGGTTACATGTGGAATAGACAATTCCAAGTCACATAAATCAAAATTGGAAGTGAAATACAAAGATGGGTAAATATTCATCATTATATAGTGTTATTTTTTTTACAAAAATATCGAGAGAAAAAAACATTGCGTGCCCGGTAGGTGTTGTTATAGCATATACTTGGGAAGAGGCATTACATGTCATGGGGTGGATGAAAAATAGCCGACCCAGAGGTTTCCCCACAATCAAAACGCCGTATAATGCTCAGCGTTGAGCAAGTGACGAGGTTGCCCCACTCAGAGTCCCTTAAATCACCCCCCCCCCCCGTCATCTGAATTCACGGCACAGCAGCCGCTGCTGCCCCCCCAAAGCAGATCACATTGTGTGTGTGTGGAGCACTGTACGGTCGTGCTGCATGCAGTCAACACGAGGGATGAGCTTCGCCGTGCAGTCGGCGTGTGCTTTCGCACGCTCCCATTGTTTTACCCTGCAAGTCGTAGCAGATGATATCATGAATGGGACGAAATGCGCGGTGGTGTTGGTGGTGGTTCGTTAAGAATGGTAAGTTAGTGATCCCTGTGGTGGTGCCTGGAGAGAGAGAGAGAGGAGGGGAGGGGGTGGGCTTTAAAAAAAAGAATGATAAAAAATTGTGCTGCTGCTGCTTAAAGATGCCCAGTTTGTGGGTCTGTAACAAAGGATCTGCGTTACGCGCATTATATTAGGAGACAAAGCCGGCCGGCATTTGTGGTTTTTATCCTGTGCATTGTGTTGTGCCCAGGCTATGGTTTTGTTGGGAAATTATCTGCGTTAAGAAAATGTCAGGTTGCGACGTCGTTAAGCTAATACGATTCGGCGTTTATTGCGTAGTTATTTAGTTTTAATTGTATTTGCATTACATGTAAAATACAATTCATACGTGAACTTCATTGCTTGCTTCGTCATTATTTTTGCTTTTGTTTCTGTCTGTGCATTTTATCATGTGGGTAAGCTTATTCATTCGTCGGCGGGTGTACCAAGATGACTACGTTGCTTTTATTCGAGCATCATTGCTGCAAGTGTCCCCGCCCTGCAATATGTGTATCTTCTGGTTTTTTTTTTATTGAGTTTTAACCCCGGTGCCATTTCTTGTTTCAGATGTCTGCATATAGCACGTCTGCTGAACAGCCCACAGACAAATCAGGCTAGTGAGTATCTTCCATCTACACAACTCACGACGATTATGCCCCAGCCCCCCTTTGCTTCTCTTTGTTGTCTATTATCGGAGGCTTTTGTCTTGCCAACACATTGCATTTGGATGGCATGACACTTTGTTTCATGTATTATATAGTCCATTTGTTTTATAAACTGCTTTTATACGCACACGCTTATTTTCTATTGGAACAAAATTAGCTCCGAAAGCCGTAACCTATGATATTGTGTGATTATATGGTGTACTGTATATTCTTTGCATATACATTTGCTTTAGTAACAATGATAACCAAAATGAGGTGAGGATTTCTGTAAGAATGCATTTATAGTATTACTATTAAGTATCGAAATATTTGTATTCGAGTTTAAATGTTGCATTGGAGTTGTATCGCCTATTTACAAATGGTAGAATAACTGAGATGGTTTAGAAGTGGCATGAACCGTGGAATTTAACCCCGTTGGCCAGATGTCCCATTCAAGGCACGCTACTGCTGTGTGTGTGTGTTGGATTTAACATGGCAGTGTGGAGAAGACAGGTCTAGACAGTCCCATCGCTAATTATGCATAACATTCTCCATGTTACGACGGTAATGCAAAAGGGAGATAAAAAAAATAACGTTGCTTCGTGTGCTGTAACATTTGTATATGTATGTAAGCCTTCCACACGTGAAAAGTGATAAGACTGCATCAATGTGTCCCATCAAACCTGAGCTGTAGTTAATGTGCGTAACGGCAGTGAAATGCCCTATACTTCCAAATGAGCTTAATGAGAAGAGTGAGTCAGATTCTAATTAAAAAGAGTGAGTCAAGTGCTAATTATTTGATCAGCATCAATACTGGATTCTTAAAAGCCACGCGAAACTGTGAGTGCATTTTGTTCTCTCCATATACTGCAATAGGTATGTGTGAAGGTAAAAGGCTTTTGGAGAACAGAGTTCCAAGTATTAAGCATGTTTATAGAATCAGAATCTTTATTTAGGCTGGAGGAACACATTGCATAAAGATAACAGCCTCCATTAAAACATTCCCTGAGGATCTATGGCAATTTAATTGGCTGGTGTAAATAAGACGAGCCGATCTCAACAAGTAAACATGAAAAATGGGCTCCGTGGGAAGAATTGTATCTGTTTTGGAAAGTGCGCAATTCGATTGCAAAGTGCAGCCAATAGGGTATTGCTGTCCATGTGATAATTGCTTGGATTCCAGCCAATTGTCACTTTCGTTGCTTAAAGTAATTGAAAAGAATATTCGAAGGAACCAATGGTGGTCATCAGAATTCCATGCACATGCGTAAAGCTGTTTACAGATTGGTTTTGTTTGTTTTTAAGTGCATTAAGGAAACTACAAAAAAATAATAGGTCATTATAATATCACTTATCATGCAAGTTATAAATTTGTGTCTGGTAATTTTGTCATTAATATTTTAGATTTGTCTTATTTTTGCATTTTTAATAACAATAAAGGCCGTGATATTCATCACTGCTTGTAATTATGTTGATTCGTCGCTTGCATTGATGTGCTCTCACAATAATTATCCCCTTTAAATTATATATTTTTAAACTGAAAAAGAGGTTCAAGGTCTTCCTTTAGCAGCTGAAAGTGTGAGGTGATTTTACTCCCATCTTTTTGATATACTCAAATTAAAAAATTCACACATCACATCAAAAGTTGAATGCTACACATTTTTTCTAAAACGATATTTGGTTTGATTCTGTTAATGCGTGGCTAATGCTATGTTCCCATTGCCACTTTTTTCAATGATCCAGTAGGCCAGACGCTTATTGCTATGGACAGGCCTTAACAGGATGACCAATCCGCTCGCTTCCTTCAATACCCTATTTCCACTGGCACAACCATGCTGCGCCGGGGCTGTGCCAGGCCAAACCATCGTGGATCAGTAAGGAGGGTACGGGCTGTTTCCCTACTGCAGAAAGCCAAGCTATGCCACCGATGTAACACAATGTCGATACGCACGTTTATGACGTGGTGACACCGTATCATTAATACTCCTCAGTGGAGTGACTGATGCCACATGCGATACATGTGTCGTTAGCCCTGCGCATGGTCCTGCTTGGTCCTGCTTGGTCATGAGGTAGATTCGGTTATCTTTTTTAGTCAGTCCAGATTATCACAGTTTGGTCACGGCTCATCACATCAAATTGCTAGTGGGAAACCACGTGTATCGTGACAGCTGCGGCCTAGCTCGGCTCAGTTGTGCCAGTGGAGAAGGATTATCAGAAGCGTGCAATGGGCAAGCATCCGAGCTGCCATTCGATACTGTCAAATCAACAGTAAAGTAATGCATCCCTCGCTTAGGTCAACTTCTGGGTTATGTTTTGTTAAAAATAATACAGTGGCGAATTCATTTATAACACTAAAAAAATAGACCTTAGCCCAGGATGGATAGTGTAAACTCACCCAAAAATATATTAAATCTTATTTAAAAATAAAGTTTACCTGTTCCCTCCACTTATGGATGGACTGCCAAACTTTCAAAGCATTGGGACAATAAATACGCTGTGCTGGGCCATTCCAGCATTAAGCCAGCACGGCTCATTTTCTAATTGTCATGGAAATGGAGCTGTCTGGGTCTCTGTGTGCACGCGGCACTTTTTGTGAATCCACTACTGGGTGAGGGCCCTCCCACGCTGTGCGATCATGGAGGTTTTTTTTTACCGTACTTCACGCTGTGCCGTGTGGGTTGTTGAAGGGTGAGCGTAGATGTGTGAGCATAAAGGTACAGTACAACAATATATTTTGCTGGACCAGCCACTGGTGTATGCAACATACCAACCGTAGCTGCCTATAATACCTGTTCTGTGCACGGTGGTTGTCCATTCAAGTTCTGTCCAAGCTCAAGCCTGCTTAGATTTTTATGATTTGATATCGGCACAATGAAAAACTGTTTTTTGAATTAATGTCAAAGCATTAACCGCTGACGATGTATGTGAAATTATATTCTTTTAATTTCATTGCATATATCTATTTCCAAGTTTTCTTTTTTTAACACTGTCTTTTGACGGTGAGTTTTTCTTCAAATAGATGTCAAAAAATTCAAACATTTCCAGCTGCATCGTATGTTTTTCTCTTTAGGTGGACATATTAAAGCCGCCATACACTTGCCTACATAGCATTCAGACCCTAATGTAGGTTGACAATCGAGGATAAACTGCAGCTATTGTTATCAAGTCATCAATTGCAATCTATTCACGCCTCCACCCTCGAGCTGTTACAGCATTGTATAAATAAAGCGGCTGCCACCAACCGCTGGCACACTTGTATCCTATTGCTATTCTGCAAGCGTCCGTGGCCGGGAGACTTGCACGCGGAGACGAGACGAAAACCGTGTCGTGCGCACGGACAACGGACCAAAAAGCCCTTGTTTTTTGTGTGCTCGTTTCCCCTGTGCACAGCTCCATGGAGCCGGGGTATTACGCCGTGAGAAGGCAGTCGGAGCCGGCAGTGAGCCCCGTGGGGGCCCCCGGCTGTGAGGAGGAAGAGAGGCAGGTGTACAAGGCAGTGCTGGAGGGAGGGGACATCCCCATGCAGGGCCTCAGCAGCGTCATCAAGAGGCCCTCGATCACTTCCGCACCGCTCTCTCCTCGCTCCAAAGGTACGATGGCCGAGCCCTGTCGCGCTGCCTCGCTTCGCGTCATGCACGAGCGCGCAATTCGTGGCGAGTCGACGTTGCTGTAAACGCCTCGTTTCGCTTGTCGCCTTACCGATTCGCCAAACCTACTCACGGAATTTCTACATTGGAGAAAAACATGGCGCGCTCAACGCATTCCGCTCAACTTGTCAACCCATGGATTGGTTTACACAAACATTGCCAACCCCCGAGCCACCGTGGTGACTTGTTGGATCGATGTGTTCAACGGGAGTCCCGTGCGGTTAATGTCAGCAGTGGCACGTGTGTGTGGTTGGCGTGCGCCAGACAGTGGGCATTGCAAATCGGCGCCACTCTGCAAGGCTTAGAGCTAAATTTGTTGCCCCAGATGAAGCGGGTGTGCCCCCTTGTGTGCGTCTCTCTTTCAATACTGGTACACGCCGTGTCGCTCGGCTCACGGCATAATTCGAGGCTAAATTGTTAGGATTACATGTAATTTTGTTTGTCTAGAACGTGTTATGTAGAAACGAATACAAAAGGATTGTTAATACAGTAATCACTTCACTATGTGGTGTTTATGTTGGTTTTGTTTTGCTTGGATTTAGTATTTTTATTCTTCATATTATTTCACCGAAAACAAACTCGTGATACATTGAAACATTATTTTCACCTTTCCAGCCAGTATTTCATTCGGGTGGAAGTGAATGTGTACAATTAAAATCAAGGGAAAATAGTCTTCCTCGATAGCACATATAACGCATAATTTGTTTAATATGTAGAGTAAAACGATCGGCAGGTCGTGTAGGTACTCCCATCTCTCCGAAGATGTCTCGTCTGACCAGCAGGGAAGAATAGGCCAAATACCCTTCAGAAGGACTCGCTGGAGCTCCCTCTAGTGGAGTGCGTTCCGCCAACTTTGATCTGAGCAAGCAATTGCAGGGCTGCACCTTTACCTTTTATGTGCACTTGAATGTTTTTGTTTATTAGTTGATCGTTTTGATTGATAATAGGAAATATCATGTTTCTTCTTTTCATCTTTTCAATATTTCCGATTCTACATGTTAACAAATTAATTTCCTGTCTGCAAATGTTTACTTGTACATAAAATGTTGCCGCAAATGCATTTATAAAATCTAATAATTGAATGACATAAATACATAAATGTAATCAAATTTAATGACATGATTTAATCTTCACATAAAAGAGATGCTCTATCGTAACAAGCATGTGTTGAATGCATTAACATGGATGACCTAACACACACTTTTGCCAATTTGCATGACTCTATCTCTTCAAAAATAATTAATCAACAATTGCAGAGACCTCGTTGTGAAATGTCCCCCTTGTTTGCTGCACTCTCACGTTCTGATCCTGTTCTTAACTCTGCCGTCAACTGCTCTTTTCCTTCTCTTCGTCTCTCCTAACGCTTCCTGTGGATGGTGAAGGTGGGGACTCGGTATCTGCCCTCTTGTTTTCTGACAGTGATGTAGTTTTTAGTAACCCCGGTAGCAGTCAGATTCATCCGTTCCGTAGCGCAGAAGCAGAGGCCCCAGGCGCTTCTCGCTTTACCGTGGCAGATAGGCCAAGCGAGCCGTCAAAATTGACCTGCGACGAAGACGTCGGCGTCGACCAAGGCCTGGCAAAGCGGCGGTCCCACAGCTGCGACGACCTCCTCAACGAGAGCCACAGCGTGGAGACCGAGCAGCCCGTCAAGTCCGAGAGCGCCGAAAACCTCACCACCAAGGAGCGCAACGAATATGCCGAGATCGGCGACATCAACCGCAGGGATCGCGGAAAGAGGAAAAAAGTCAAGCGCAAGGTGCGCGTCACCGACCCGGAGTTTTCCGAGCTGTACAGGACCATGCATCAGATCGATCGGCAGCAAATTACTCCGTCTCCGTCGCTGTGCTGCGTTGGGACCATGGTGAAACGGTACGAGGGCAGCGGTATGGGCCTGCTGCCCAACCAGGGCGGACAAACAGAGGAAGTGCCGAAGGACCTGGTAACCAGCAGGATTACAGAGTTTGAAAAATTCATAAAAAGGACTAAGTCTATGCCAAACCTGAAAATAGCAAATCTTGTTCCATCGCCAGTGGCTGTCATGGTGATGTGTAAAAGCGATACACTTTCCATCAGGCGAATGGGAAATTCGTTTTCCGCTGACTCGCTGCTAGACAGTGAGGTTGCAATGGAAAGCAAGTGGCAATCAACCGAACGAAAACCGAGCGCTGTGCCCAGAAAGAAAACGAGCTTTGCAAGCAGTGATGCGGTCAATCCCAAAAGAAGCGCGGCAGCACCACCACTTGTGGTGAACCAAATCTCATTGGAGAGGGAAAGAGACGACGATGCGGACACCGATGGATTTGCGTCCAAGCTGAGTGAATTTGTTTTGGTGGACAGGACGTCCGTGTGCACGGAGAGTGAACTCGATCGCTTGTCCTTCGCATCGTGCGAGAGTTTAGAGAAGGCACGCAGGCGAACACATAAACACCTCTCTGGGGGCTGCACCGGATACTGCCCGGCATCGTGGGCCCGGTTCACGCTCATGAGTTTGTACGACAAGAATAACTATGACTACTACAGGAGCAGGAGCTCTCCTTTGAACTACAAATCCATGAAAATGGAAAACTACGCGAGAAGCTACCGCACGCAGGCACAGCCAGACCGCTCGAGCTTTGCCAGGGCAGCGTGTCTCATCAACCCAGTTCCTGTCAGACTCAAGAAAAAGAAGAAGTGTTTGACCTCCCCGCTGCAGACTACGAGCAGGCAAGAGCACAGGGCAGAAACGTTGTCATCCGTGCACGAGACGTACCGAGAGAGGATGCGGAGGGAGACCCGGAGACGAAGTTTGCCTGACAACAGACTTCTTCGAGAACTCAAAACCGAGCTCAAACCGTTTGTACCGGAGAGGAAGTCTTCTCGATACATCTGGGAAAATTCCGAAGCCCCTTACCCCTACTTTTCAGAAAACCATTATCCTGGTCATCTGGAGAACATTGAGATGCCCTGTCCTTTTCTTCCAAAGAGACAATATGCAGAATACCTTGTAGATTCATCCTACCCGCTCCTGAAACCCATCTCGCCCGTCCCGCCATCAACTTACCTTCTGGACAGAGACCAGCCCACGTACCTGCCTGCTGCTGTGCGAGGAGCTTATAGCTGCCACGTGGATGGCTTAGAAGGTCGTTCAATGTCACCCCTGTGGTTGCTGGGCAGCAGCCCTCTACCGCTGGAGGCAGCGCTCTACCCTCAGCCGAACCTCAATCACTCTGAGCTCTCGCTCCATAGCCTGGACCCCAGCCACAGAGCCCAGGGAGATTACCATTTTGTCCATCGCCAAGGTGGAAATCTGTTGCCTTGCCTTTCGTCAGTGTCCAGTGATTGGTCATGTATATGTCCTGTGATCGCTGATATCTGTCGGATGTGATGATTGTTTTATCAAATGTGTCCTTAAATTCCATTTCATTATATTTATGTCATGTCATTGCGTATGTCATTTTCCAACCGCAATGAATGTAGTGTCATTTGGATGTATTTTTTCGTAATTTACATCACGCATACACTTTCATGTTCCTTTTTGAAGTGAGGACATTGGGGTTGTTGCAGAGTATTCCAAAGCATTTCTAACTTACCGTTTTTATGCATTTCTTGATGCACTTTCAATCTCTTAGTGGTGGGACTGTCAATGCTATGCAGGTTGAGAACTATTTAAATGAAAGACTTTGGTTTGAGACTAACTAACATTCTAACAACCCCGTGTTCTTTACTGCCTCCTCGTTTGCATTATTTACAAAGCTGCGATACACATTTTATTATACATTCAGCACTAAGCATTGCATACATAGTCATTTGCTACAAACCTTCACGCACTCATTTCCTTTGCTGGAGGCTTACGCTTGAGTTTGGCCTGAATTGAAATTTCTGCAGATGCATTTATAAGAGATAAAAAAATTTGCCACAGAAAATGTACGAATTTGTTTTGAGCATGAAAAAACATAACATCACCAAGGACAATATGTTCGTCAGTAACACCGCTCTGAAGAAGGGACATTGCTCCGAACGTGTCACCTCTTCTGTTGTCTGTTTTCTTTTAGAGTCGTTTTATCGAGGAATTTCTTGAGTTTTTGCTTGGGAGTGAGCCACTACCAACGCGGTATAAAAAAGAAAACTGTTCAAAACACAGTTTATAATCATTCATATTGGTCAATCTGCAGATGCCTTTAAAATGCATTCGTTTACATGATAATGCTTTGAAGAGGCAATGAACAAAAGGAGGCACATTAGCACCACACTTGTGCCAATTGCTTCGTCCTGAGGCAATGAGGCGGTCAAGTAGGGGCGTAGCAAATGGGCTATGATGTCCGGCATTATTGCGCTGCACACCAGAACAACTTTCACCCCTTCAATGGCTTCCAAATTCATGAAGGCGATTAGACTTGCATTTATCACGTTTGATTTTGGAATTATTTTTTATTAATACTACTCTTAGCACAAAATGCTTTGCGTGGTGTTGCAGGAAATTAACCTCTTAATGCGCTAATTGTGCACAAAAGAAAGTACCAAAAATGAGCATTTGTAAATACAATAATTACGAGATGTACGTTCTTGGAAAAAAATATATCGTTGTTCTGTAATGGTGAAAGGCAACACTGTGTTCTGTACATATCCATTGAAGGGCATGTGCTTCATATTTATGTTGACTTGCACACCAATAATTCATAGCGATGCATGACTTTCTCCATTAATTAAGCTTTGTGTCGGCATTCACGTTAACTTGATGTTCATTATGAAGTGAATTGCTCATTTTTTATTACATTTTTTTTATTTAAACAAAAAAGGGGGTGGGGAACGGTTAAATATAACCTGTTGTAATAGCGATGTATATGTTTTTAGTGGAATGAGGAATTAAACATTTAGAGAAAGACATCTCGATTTAAAGCTTTCGTGACTGCAGGAATCCATCTTCTTGGTTCTTTCGGTAAAGTCACGTAGAAGGGAAGCAATAAAAAAATAAAAATAAAACATAATAAAATAAAATAATTCTCACGACGTTTCGGCCACAACGCAAGCAGCCGTCCTCAGGTGAAGAATGAGACACTACCAAGCTAGGAGCTTATATATACGCTGCGTTGGAGGTGCAAGAGCGCCTTGCACCTCCAACGCAGCGTATATATAAGCTCCTAGCTTGGTAGTGGCCGAAACGTCGTGAGAATTATTTTATTTTATTATGTTTTATTTTTATTATTTTATTGCTTCCCTTCTACGTGACTTTACCGAAAGAACCAAGAAGAAAGACATCTGTAAATGGAAGGCACCAACTTCTTGATTGGCATATTTTTAAGCCCCAAGTTAATTATTTTAATGGATGAACCGAGTGAGCCTATTTAAGTGAGAGATTACCAATTTACGTGCTTGAGTACTTTTAAACTTGGGCGTTAGTATCTTAATATATACATTTCAGCATACTTGGCCATGCTTATACATGTAGAAATAACGTCTTTATTTTAAGTGTAATGTACATATACTTGAGCACCAGGAGATATGTGTGTAAAAAAACACACGAAAGTGGAAAATGTTTTGTGTGGGTTGACACAGATGCGCGCTGATTTGACCACGTCTGCATCTGCAATGTGCTTTGCGTGCGTGTGCACTTATCCATAAATCATCGTCTTGAACGTTTTCCTGTTATGCGTGCACCATCTTTCGTGTGTCCGTGTATGCGCGTGCGTGCTTTGTGGGGTGTGTGTGTGCGCACGTGCGTGCTTTGCGTGTGGTGTGTGTGCGCGTGCGTGCTTTGTGTGCGTGTGTACAGAATCTCTGTCTCCCCGGCCGATGTCCGCTTGCTCGTCCCCAACGGGCCGCCCGCCTCCCATCTACGAGAGCCGTGAGAGTGCAGAAGTTGTATCTCGAAGACGGCGGGAGGACAAGGAGGTGAGCGCGTGGCTCCTCTGCCGTCGTCACCTTCCCACGTCCCTTCCAAATTTATCCCATCCACTTAAGCGTCCGCAAATCGAGCATTGGGCACGTAATTAAAGACTTTGGCGATATTTTTGAGTGCCTTCTTGGTGATTCACAATCGCGATAAGTATTTTCAGTCCTTCACGTGTCTACTACTGCTGCTGCTGCTGATTACAAACATTTGGGGGCAAAACATGATATGAAAGGGGAAAATATCCCATGGGAATGTAATAACCTGAAGCAGCTGGATGAAGAATAGTGAAACTTCATGTCGGCAGTGCAGTTTTTTTTTATCTCAACAGCCAGCAGCATTACTCATGGGGCTCAGTCCCATCTCACGTTTCAATTGCTGGGTAGCATGAAAAGCCTAAATTATACTGCTCTTAATATCCACATCATCAAGCCGGTGTTTGAGGGTGGATCAAGAAGTTTACTGTGCATTGTATCAGACTATTAGTCATTAATTAACTGCAATGGGAATAATTAATTTAAGCGTTCTTCAATCGGATTCATATGTGAAACAATAATAGAAACCTGTACACATTTCTGGGTAAGAAACACGTTATTTATATGGCGATTCAAATATGAGCTGGAGCTACAGTGTTGGTGATGGGCCCTCTTTGGATCTAATCCCGCCTTTTGAATTTGCCCCATTTTTAATATTTACTTCAAGGGCCCAAGCCAGATAAATTACCTTTTTTTTAGATATGAACTGAGGACGTCAAATCTTCAGGAGCACTATTTTCTTAATATCATCAATAACCGCTTTTATTTACTGTAAAATATACAATTAAAGTTCTCAAACTAGCAGATCATCACATCATTCACTTTTATTGAACTTACAAAGGAATTGGAACCATTTGGAGTTTTGCACTTTCAGATGGTATTAATTTCTAATCTGGCCAAATTCTTGTTTCTTGAACTCAAGTCCTTGTTTCAACCTCGTATGCCGATTATGTTACAGGTTAAATAAAACCAGGCCAATTCCAGAAGACCACGTGCTGTATTGAAAGAGGTCACTTTGAGTATAGCCCCTGGCTAGGGGCATTGTAATCGGTGAGGTTCTGTGTTGTTGATTGGGAATCTATTGCCCAGTATGAAAGGGTGATTTTTGCCTTCAGTAAGAATGTTCAGGAGATGTACAAAACAAATAATAACTTTTGTCAAATTTCTCCAATCAAAAGCCTGCTTATGGAACCCTTCAATGAGTTACTTCTTGGTCATTTTTGTCAGCAATGGCAAGGATCTAAACCATCGTGTTTTGAGTTTGATTTAAAAAAAAAAGCCTTTTTCAAGAATATATTTATCCCCACAGGGGTGGTAGCTGAGGAAATATATGAATGCTGTCTGAAAGTAATATAATCTAATTTTGTATTTAAAGAGCATCTTCAATAAAAGTACTTAACATAGTTTAAAAAAATGGTGACAGAAGCGGATCGAATGACAGGGGCTGGCAAGGGTTGTGGAATGAGTGACCTTGATAGCGGGTACTTGAGGATCACGAAAGGGGAGGGGAGGGATGGGAAGGGGTGAGGGGAGGGAAGAGGAAAAGAATGGGCAGTAGAGAAGAGGTGAGGCTTCGAGAGGAATAGAAGGAGGGTAAAGAGGGTGACTGCTTAATGTACAGGGGAGGAGTGCAAGGAGGGAGAAGGACCGAAAACGGGAATGGGTTCAGGGATGAGGGAGAGAGAGACAGAAGATTGGGAATGAAGCAGATGAGAAGGGACATTAAAGCAGACGAGTGAGGCAAGATAAGGTGGGGGCCATGGAGAGATGTAAAGACTAGCGTCAGATATACTCACCACATGCTGGCCAAGACACTGGGGCCACTTGAGAACCATTACAAACTTAGCCAGCAGCTACAATAACATCGGGTAGATATAAAATTCCATTTGGCAAATACCTACTATTTACATTCTTGAGTGGATATCAGCGCTTCGAGTCTCATTTTCATAAAATAATACTGGAAAATTCTCACATTCTAGTTTGCACTACAAGGCCAAATGCACAGGGATTCTAATAATAATGTGTGTACATTGTTATGTTTGCTGGGTTGCAGCGTGACCTGCATATAAAGTAGAAAACCAGTGGGGCAGTTGCACATTTAAAAACAAAAGGTAAACATATCCCTTAATTGGCATTTATATAGGAGTTAAGGGAATGTACTTTAGTTGTTTTGTGCAGCTGACTCCAGGCCCTTAATATATCCTGAATTATAATCCTGCAATGTTTTGCTTCCAAAGATGACATGTTATATTTAAAATGGAATGTTTTCGAAAAAAAAAATATCAAATACATCAGGATTATCGTTATTCGTAACAAAATGGCATATGTTAAATATAGTTATAACTTAAACGATAGCCAAAACATCTAAATACATTTCCACATCAACAGGATTACTGTTATTAGTAACTTAATTACATGTGTAAAGTAATGTTATCACTAAATGATAGCTAAAACATCTAAATACATTTACACATCAACAGGATTACTGTTATTAGTAACTTAATTACATGTGTAAAGTAATGTTATCACTGGATGATAGCTAAAACATTTAAATACATTTCCATATTAATACTGTAAAAAAAGAATAGCACGTGTAGGGCACACATGACGTTTGACTGATGACATATAACTGGGATGTCTGACATTTGCTAGACGTGTGGACACGTTTCGATTTAAAGCTTTCGTGACTGCAGGGATTCAACTTCTTGGTTCTTTCGGTAAAGTCACGTAGAAGGGAAGCAATAAAATAATAAAAATAAAACATAATAAAATAATTCTCACGACGTTTCGGCCACAACGCAAGCAGCCGTCCTCAGGTGAAGAAACAGGTCTGTCGAGAAGAAGACGCTCGACAGACCTGTTTCTTCACCTGAAGACGGCTGCTTGCGTTGTGGCCGAAACGTCGTGAGAATTATTTTATTATGTTTTATTTTTATTATTTCATTACTTCCCTTCTACGTGACTTTACCGAAAGAAGCAAGAAGGTGTGGATCACGTGTTACAGATAGTGGGTGTCCAACGTGTGTCCATTTGTCACAACAGCGCATGCTGGAGGAGCAGCGCAGGATAAGGCGCGAGCAGGAGGAGGCCGACATCGCTTCCCGGCGCCACTCGGGAGTCTTCCTTTCCCACCACCAGTTTATCACCAACGATCGCTTTGGAGATCTCCTCAACATAGATGACTCCTGGAAGCGGACATCGGTGGGAGAGGTCTGTCCCAGCTCGCCATCGCCAGCCCAAGTTAGCAATTTTCATTTAATTTTAGTTTCCCTTTTCCCCTTCTTCACAACATGATCTTCTTCCACTCCGTGCTGTGATTAACCTCTTTTCACCTGCAACGTTGTTTTTTTTTATGTTGTGATAACAAGCTTCTTTGAGTGATGCTCTTCACACGTTTTGCCTGGCTTTATAACTCATAGCACCAACCGTTAAATTTGAATGACCTCGCTAATCCATCTGACTGTTCACGGTGTCATTTGCCCAATTGTTGCATGAGACTTACCTTGCTTCTCTGTCAACACGTGTCATAATTAACACTTTCCTGGTCAAACGTAGTGCTTTTTTGTAATTTCAGTGGTGGTTCTCAACATTTAAATTGCAAATTTTTTGTTTAAATCAATCGGGTGTTTAAGTGACCATCTGTCTGACCTTTTTAATTTCTCAGAAACACACGGTGTCTCAAGAGTGTAAGGAATTAATCATAAATTGTTTAATCTCTCCAGAGTCGTTTCCGTTGAGAACTACTGCGTAATAAATGTGCTGCAGTTGTGATGTGTTTCTAACAGTGGTTGTTGACTGGTTAGTATAATATTAATTTAACATGCTTTAATAAAGCCCAGCGGTGTGCACACATTATGGCAAATTATGTCAATTGTGATCCATTGCCCCATTTATTATTGCAAAATAATGTTCATTGGAAAATGTGCTTAATAACAAGGATTATGAGTCCTTTGTCCTGTTTACATAGATGTTGTTAGGCATTTTAACATTATATCATATCTGTCGACAAACACGTTTAAAAACATTACTCATTGTTTACGCATATAAACATTACACAACATGTACCGTGTATGGTATTTAGGAAAACGGTAAATATTACAGCACAAGCTTTGTGAGAGCCGGTGTGTTATCGTGTATACATTGGCAAGGCAAAATCTGGCTAATTGACCTGAAACACCTTAAACTTGTACGAGAGGTTGGCTGAGATTGTTGTTTTAGAAGCAGCGTGAGTTCTATTATACCTTGATCCTGTTTAGACGGTAACAATCAGCCCACCTTGTAGGGTACTGTACTCGACTGTTACTTATACCATATTTTCATGCCAGAGATTATATAATGTGCAGAAATGTACAATAACATTACAGTTTAACTCAATGGATGTTTACCTATTTCACAAACATTTTTTTTATCATAATTGCAAAAATTTATGGTTTCCTCAATTTTTGAATTTATTATTGTAGATGTCAATGTCTTTGTGCAACTGTAGATTAACATGGTTTGCTCTGTTCAGCCCACTCGACAGACTGCAAGAGCAAAATATAACTTCAGAGCCCAATCACAAAAGTAAGTCTGTAATTTGTGCACGAATCGTCAGATTCCGTTTTAAGCTTCTGAATTTTTATTCATGCATTTTCTTTACACTGTGGGTTGATTACTAACAGGTTAAATAAACCATGACAATGGGAGACGTACATTAAAGCAGTTCTGGAGGTAGCCGAGGGGCTAATGGCTCCAATTTGCATGACTCAGCGCCAACAAAACCGCTGAAGTCATGGTTTTGGATCGAGCAGCAATCGCTGTACAAAAAAAAGTCTTATACCGTTTGGTTCTTTCGGTAAAGTCACGTACATAGAAAAATAATAGATCACGACGTTTCGATCGCAACACAAGCAATCGTCATCAGGTGGGACAACCACAGCAAGAAAAAACTGCTTCATGCCAGAGATTATATAATGTACAGAAATGTACAATAACATTATAGTTTAGAAAAAAACTGCTTCAGCAATCGCCACCTGATAACGATTTCTCGAAACGTCGTGATCTATTATTTTTTATACCTATGTGACTTTACCGAAAGAACCAAAGAGAGTGGATTCCTGCAGTCACGAAAGCTTCAAATAAAAAAAAGTCTTGTTGCTTGAAAAACAAAAATGTGTATTCAAATAATGTAGGATCTTGCAAACTTGCCGATGATATGGATGTAAGCATGAAGGTGGCCCACCAATACTGGCTTAAGCGGCAAGCTGCTGGTTTCTAAATCCTTTTATCGCAGACTGATTCTCAAAGCAAAAAAAAATGCGTCAAAACAGGTTTTTTTTTCTTTCAGAAATATTATTAAGTGGATTCTTTTAAAGTTGGTATGTGGGGGGGGAAATGGTCAAGTGTGGTACCACGTTGCCTAGCATAAAAAAAAGGTCTTAATCGCTGCTGCTTGCTCTGTTTGCCTGGTCCAGGGAGCTTCCCCTCCACAAGGGGGATGTCGTGTACATTAACAGGCAAGTCGACCAGAATTGGTACGAAGGGGAGCACCACGGCAGAGTTGGAATTTTCCCCGCAACTTACGTGGAGGTGAGTCACATTTGAGTTGGTGAGCTCCATGCCTTTTGATCCACAATAATGTGTCACACATTCTCAAGCTTTTGCAGCTTTAGAGCTAAAAGTATTTGTTCGATGCTAATGCGAGCATGGGGGCGTGGCGTTTATCTCAGTTCATGACCTGGAGCTATGAACAAAAGTTCCATATTCATATGATAGAGGCCAGTCACTCCAAATGGTAACTACAGTATAATAAGAGGTATTGATAATCCGGTAATATACTTTAACAGCCCCATCGGGAGAGCCAACCGGTGACATCTGCATTACCAGTCTGGTGTGGCAGCAAGTTTAATAACTCCCCCTTTGACTCTGCTCACCCAGCAGTATAAATCAGTCGATCAGCAGGTCATGTGTCGTGGGGTAAAGTGTTGGCACTTCCACCTCTTACCAGGCATTTTGCCAAAATTGAGGAGTAGGCCAAAATACCCTCTTCCGCCAGTCGTGGCACAAGTGGTGAGAAATTGTAGGGTTGCACCGATAGTGTTACTCATCAATAATTACTTGTTGAAAGTGATTCTAACAACGGTGTACTGTGGTTTGTTGTGGCACCCTCCTCCCCATCATCTGCTTTGCGCTCAGCTGCAGCCGACTCAGGAGAAAGCTCCGTTGAGCCCACTCCCTGCAGCCCCCCCGCAGGTGATCCAGTGTGGCGAAGCCATGGGAAAGTTTAACTTCACAGCCGACTCCCACCTCGAGATGTCCTTCAAGAAGGTCAGCCCTCTGTTCATTCTCTTTTATACATTGTCCATGAACTCATGACATGTTTAATGTACAGCATAAATGTGAACCCCCCCAGTGATATGAGTAGTATTTTCTCAGACATTGTCCTTGAATGTTCAAAACTATTGATATGTTTATCTATTGCATAGCTTTCGTCTCACCACAGTGCCAACAGATGACAGTACAATGGATTATTGAGACTGAGACCAAACAGATGTCAAGCTCTGGCTTCATTATCAAAGGCAGTCCAAATATACAAAACTAAAAGGAACTACAATTAAGTAGAGTAACATATGCAATGAGACAATTATCCCAAATCGCAAAAAAACAATCCAGATTTTTGGGAATCAAATGCAGAAAGTTGACATTTTACACAACTATGAAACAGTGCATAAGCGTGGAAAGGTACATGCTTAGAATTGCACTGAGATACAGAAAAGCAAACATTGATCAGGGCACAAATTCAATTGGAAATGGCAAATTGACTAAAGGAACGTAAGTGAGTTTTGTAGGGACACATCAGTATGAGGGACGGTGGCCAGTGGAAAAGACTGGTGATGGAATGATGGCCAAAGGAATAAATAACATGTTTGAGAGGACAATCACCTCTGATGATATGTAGTAATGAGATCAGCCCATGTATAGGAGATAGATGTATTGTAAAGGTTGATAATGGTGTTGAAAAATCTGCATCCAATACTGTATAGTCCGTGGCTAAAAATGACTAGTTCGTCTATTCCTCAGTCCACTTGTCCTGGTGAGGGTCGTGGCGGCACCACATCGAGTAGGGCGGTCCAGACCTCCCTTTCCCTGGCGACAGACTCTCGCTCTACTATACACTACACTATACACTACACTATACACTACTAGACACAGACTCTCGTTCTTCCTGAGAAATCCCAGGCCAGCTGAGCGACATTGCATACTCAAGGTCACATGATTACTGTACTGTACTTTAAAATGTCTCATTGATCATGAGGAGTTATTATTTTAATGTGGATTTTTTTCGGGTTCCGCAAACATTGATGCTACCATTGTGAAATGGGTAGCACACTCAACTTACATCTCGGACATCATCAGTTCAACTCGGTCTTCTGATGCTGAAGTTGAAACGATGGCAATTATCCTAAATTGTCCTCCTCTGTCCACCAAAGAGTGTACGTGAATATACAACAGTCAATCGGCAGGTGACGCGTAGTGGGGTAAAGTGTGGATACTGCCACCTTTTCCAAAACATCTGGCCACTGTGGAAGATTAGGCCAAATACCCTCGAGTGGGGCTGTCTCGAGGTACCTCGAATAGAAGCTGTTCTTCCAGCAGTGGCATATGCAAGTCATTGTAGGACTGCACCTTTACCACAATTGCAGATGAAGTTGAAGTTACATATGACAAAATGAAAACGTATTTATTTTAGAGATGCTTTTTTGTGTTTAGAGTATTTTCCTTTCCCCGCACCTCCGATGAGCACGGTTGGCTACGTACAGTGCGATAGAAGTTCTACGTACATACATACAAAGGCAATGATGTTGTTGATTGTGATGATGGTACATTATTGGGTGCAACGGTGGCGAAGATGTTAACTACCTCGCCTGGTACACAGGAGGTCATGGGTTCAGTCCCGACTCTGACGCCTGTATATTTGGAGTTTGCATGTCTCTCTCTCTCTCCCTGTGGTTGTGTGGATTTTTGTCCAAGTCCTCCAATTTATCCCCTCCACATTTAAAATAAACATGCGTTTAAGATTATTTTGGCTGCTATAAATTTCCACGTGACGATAAGCCACTTGGCTGCGCTATCAATTGTGGCTGGGTTTGCTTCTGAAAAATAGCTATACAGCTCAGTGGGCCTTACCTGGTAAAATAAAAAAAGTTTGTTTTAGGTATTTGGGACATACCCTGCCGGATGTTGAACGAGCGCTTTGCGAGTGTTGACACCCCCCGGTGCACCTTGCGTCCTCCGGCAGGGTGAGCGGATCGCCGTTCTGCGGCGAGTGGACGAGAACTGGTACGAGGGCCGCATCCCCGGCACGGCGCGGCACGGCATCTTCCCTGCGTCGTACGTCGAGGTGCTGAGGAAGCCCCTGGTGAAGAATGCCGCCGACTACCCCGACGCGCCGTCGCCTCTCGGTTACGGCCACCACCAAGGGCAAGGAGGGAACGCAGAGGTACGGGGGCTCGCATCAACGCCCCCGCTAACCCCCCCCCCCACTCCCAACCCCCACCCTCTACCTGGCTCATCTTTTGCATTGAAACTGGCGGACCAGCTGCTCACGCTTAGTAGATAAAGTTTAGACAATAGTGGGTCACCAATCTGCTTAAACTTTTAATTGGATATGCAAGTTGCATTTTAATACATTTATATAGTATATAAGCATTTTTTTTCAAGTGGTTTGCGAACCTAATTCAAAGTCAGATGGATGTTGCTTTGATTTAAAATAGCGTTTGGAAACTGTCCATCATCTCTTGACATATTTTCATATGCCAATGTATTTTTCTGGCATTTTTCAAGCTATTCTTTTTACTTTCTTCAACACATGCATACTGTGCTTTTCTTTTACGTTGAATATCTTGATCAACAAAAATATATTATTTTATAATGCATCCTTTCCAATGTGCTGCAGTTGTTTTTTTTATCTTTCATTGTTTGTCATCTCCATGTTCTTTTCTTACCCACCATCCCTCTCTCTTGCCCTGTGCTCCTTTTCAAGCCTGGTCGTCTGAGCAGAAAGTTCCCTCCTCGCTCCTCCACCCTCCCCTCTCATGCCGCTAAAGGCACAGACGGCTCCAGGGCCCTCTTGCAGGCCGTCACGTCCGAGTGGCTCGACCTGACTGTTAGGGTGTCGCCCTCAGGCACCCCCACTCCTCCCCCCCCTCCATTGACTCCTGACCTGCTCGCCTCTGCTCCTGGGAGAAAGGTCAATCCTCCATCTCCTTCCTCGGTGGCCATTGTGAGACACGGATATGTTCCATCGCCAGACAAGCGTAGCCTGTCACCTGTCGATTGCCAGATGGTTTCGTACAAAACTCTCCCAAATATCTCGCACTTTGATCCCAAACAAGTGCCTGCGTTTGATGGATATACTCTGCGATCTGTCAAGGCCGATCATCCCCTGAAGGTCTCCTGTTCCTCCTCCCCGTCCTCGCAGGGATGCGCGCACAAACAGCTGTCTAGGTCTCTCGCAACCCTGCCAATAAATTCTCGCCATGGCAATGTTACGACTCGTGGCAGACCAAAGGTTTGCGGTCACGCTCAAGCTTATGGAATGCATCGAACCAGCCCCACCATGCAGTCCCCTGTCACTTCATCGTCACCCGCTTTGTTTTCCCCTCCTCTCCTCGTTGTGTCACCACCAGAAGACTCGGACAGTGCAGGTGCAGGCAGGCATCTGTGCCCAACAGGATGCCCAATGGCCGCAGCTGGCAAAGAGCATTGCAATGGGCAGAGCCTAGACAGATTGTTTCAGGAAGTGGAGCATTACATTGATGATGACAATGGCCTTGACACACTGGTGGTGAGAAAGGCAGCTAGCTCGGCACAGCCTGGCCCAACCAAGGAAGTCGTGAGGCAGCGTGTTAGGCCCCAGAGAAATCGAGTCATCAAAGTACCTTCGATTGAGCAAGGTGCTATCGAGGAAACGTCAGGGGAGCCTGTGGCAGATAGTGGCACCCGGCCACGGGAGGATAGCCAAAAGGCACCGTCGAGACCGTGGCAAAAGGTACACGCACGGCGTGGTGTTTGCTGCTTCCACAGCTGACCGTGTTCCCATCTGAATTGCTGAAAGCTTCGCCTTGCGCATGGCTCCACCACACGTTGTGAGCAAATCACCTGTTTATCTGCAAACCCATTTCCATTCATACTTCATACATCGGAGCTTTGCTTGCTGTGTTATCAGATATTGGGACAATGCGATTGGCTAAAGAAACACTGTAAAGAAGCTGTAGCGCTTACAATAATATGTTATAAATCATTTTCATTAAATTGGCAACAAACAACATCACAGTGCGTTAATTAATAAGAGCTTGGCAAAAAATATGCTGCACAATAGTTGAATGGAACCGTGATGGCTATTAGTCTTCATTATATCTCCACAGGCGATAGCCAAAATGAAATCCTTACAGCTTGTCACTCCTTCCCTGGCACCATCACTCATTCGCTGTGTAAGGAGGTGTGCGGTGTCTGACACCAAGGAAGCACCCTCCCCTCTGCCTCACTCCTCCCACTCTCCTCCCGTTCCCATACGCAATTCCTCCAAACCCTTTCACCGCTGCAAGCCCTGGGCCCCCCAGGGAAAGGTACCTTCATGTTTATTCCTACAAATCGTGCGACCACAAGTACTGCTGGGACCACCCGTATCCAGGGCTGGTTTGATCGAAAATGTTTAGGTGAAAGCGTGGCCTTAAATCAGGGTGTAAAATTAAACAGAGCCTGACAAAATGAGCCAGGAATTCTCAGAAGTATTTTTGGGAAATTTCCGGGCTGTGCAAGGACCACACCATCCTACGGTTCATGATTCACTTTTAACGAAAACATTATTTGTATGGATATATAATGATCGGGGTTAAGCGAAGTATCATTAAGTTCCAGCTTATTCTTTATGTTTTGAAATAATTTGCATGAGCTGTAATGCAAAGTATATTTCAAATGAAATATAATTTTCAAATGAAATATTTCAAATGAAATATACTTTCACTTGTTAAAACAAAACCTTTCAAGTAAACTCTTGGTTGACGGAATGCATTGAGTCTTGTACTTTAGGAGGAATGTAATACACAGGTTAAAATATATATAATATTTATTCATGTAAACATTTAACAATATTTCCGAAAACCTATCTCTATAATAGAGTCCAAGATAGCACATTTTCGTTCAAGGGTGACCAGTTTGATGTCACATCCTGATAGCACATTGTGAGCAAAACAAAGGTGGCCTATGGTGACGTTGAAACAGCTGTGACTGACCAGCTCTAGGCAAAAGACGGCAATCCTGTGATGATGATCAATAGATGGACTGTACATTGAATTGGTTTTACAATAACACTGTATTATGCTCAGTTTCCATTTATTCTTCAGTAAAACGACAAATCTCACTTTGTTGGCTTCAATTTCATTAAAGCGCATTGAGATATTAGCCAAGGCTCAGCTGCAATTGTTATTATTACTTCCTAACCGTGAGTGTTATGATTAAAGGATAGTGTTATAGATTTAACGAGACACGTGGTCTCTGTTGTACTTATCAGCATTAAGGAGGGTGGTCATTTATTGTAAGAGCCACGCTGCCTGGCATGTATCATCCTCACACTGCACAACATTGCAATCAGTACATTTCATGGGTGATTGCCACCGCCACATTCTCATCAGACTACCGTAAGACAATGTGCTGCTTTTAATACTTGCGACCATTATAGAACTAATCATTTTCCAACAATTTTGACATTCATTCACTCACCGAGTGCCCTTTTGGTTCATTAGTTGCCTACTAATCAATGCATTCATTGCACACATGTAAGGAGGCTTACACGTACTCGTGGTACTTGAATGATAGTTGTTGTTTTTATTCACAAATATGCATCGCCGTACTTTTTCTCTGTCATTGTTTAAGTTTTCCAAACACATTCACCCTTGGGTATTCCTATTCATCCACAACGTACGACTGCTTCCTTGCAAGCAGCTTGATACATTGAGCTGTAGGTGTGTGTGTGTGTGTGCGCCGGGTGGCTGGAGTGTGACGGCAAGGCGGGGTCCGTGTGTTGTGGCCCCACAGCCCGGTGTGTGGAATGACGAGATGATGTGGGGTCGCCGTTCCCGCAGCCCTGTGCCTTCCCAGCCTCCCAGTAACTCGTCCCCATTGCGAGGAGCAGGCACCCACTCCATCAAGGTACTGACCCTTATAGTCCCATACCCTCATCATCCCTCTCTCTCTCTATCCCACGCTCTTTGCGTTGTCATCCCGACTATGCTGTCGGTGTCTTCTTGGTTCTTTCGGTAAAGTCACGTAGAAGGGAAATAATCAAATAATACAAATAAAACATAATAAAATCATTCTCACGACGTTTCGGCCACAACGCAAGCAGCCGTCGTGAGAATTATTTTATTATGTTTTATTTTTATTATTTTATTACTTCCCTTCTACGTGACTTTACCGAAAGAACCAAGAAGATGAATCCCTGCAGTCACGAAAGCTTTAAATCGATATGCTGTTGGTGTCACGTATGTATGTATGTTAAACTTCTTTCACCACCATGCATAGCCAAGCGTGCTAATCGGAGTTGCCGGGATAGATACTTTGTCACAAGATAAAGTGCCTATTCGAATCTCTGGCACAGCAGTGCAACCCTTTGTGTTAGAGAGTGATCCGCACAAGCGTGTGTTTTCTAGCGCTACCTCTGAGATTCTTGGGAACGACCTCTAGTCAACACAGCAGCGGGAAGCATGTACCTACCGCATCTGAATACGGCAGTAATGTTGATCACATGACAGCCACATAAATATATTCGTGTTTGTAAATTGTCTAAATGTCTCCTACATGTGTGCGTGTAAATGATTAGTCTTTCATCTATACTTGTCAACGAAGTTAACAGATACATAGAAACTGGTTTTGAAGTGTATGTCTGTGTACAACGGTGTGGTGAAATTATTTGATGCATTACATGCTTAATGTGATTAATGTGATTAAGCATGTCAAGACCTTTAACGTTTCTTTGCTCGTCATGCTTTTGCTCATTTGTTCCTGCAAAGCTGTTTGTTTAACATATGCTCCAGCGCTAGAGCTTGCATGTGGGTCATGTCAGTTGGTGTTTCTTGGCAGATGTGTGATTGTAATGGCCCCATAAATCATGAACAGTGACCTGTGCTTATTTGAAAAAAAAATTTCAATGCAGCTGTCATTGCTAAACTGAGTGGCATGGCTGTTGGTTATGGAGTGAGGTAACTACCTCATAATGTGAATATACACTTACCCCTTGTAACAATAATGGAACCTTCTCACAAATAATGCCCAGGTTTTTTTTATCATATCTGAAATATTTTATTACTTTAAGGACGTGTTCAATATTGGCATCTTCCATCCTGTATTTGTTAATATAAGCTATCCTGAGGTGGAGGTGTGATTCACTGCAAAATAAATCCGATGGCAGATAATTTCACCGCCGAGTAATATCTGAACTGGTCCAGTGTTGATCCTTTCACCAACCAAATCAACATTTGGCATCATTGGCAAGTGAGGTCAAACACCCACCCCCCCTGACCCAACACCCCCCATGAGCAATGACATGAAAAACTTGCTTCCAGCAGTCGACTGAGAAAGGGGCTGTGAATTGTTATATTTTGTAAGCTATTTTCCGCACAGCGGGGTCTACGTCTGTAGGGAGAAATGCGCACTGAGTCACGTGCCAGCAAGTGGCGTTCAAACGGACTGTGCTGCAATACCTCCACGCGAGCTGCCCACTGCCTCTAAACCGTTCTTGGCTGCTGCATCCTCCTGCCCTTCTCATTCTTGCGGCTCCATCTGTTTGTCTGCCTTTGCCCCCCATGGCCACACTTGCCTGCTCTCGTGCCATCAGCTGCTGCCTGCTGGATTGCCACTAACCATGAGTGAGGCCAGCTATGTGGTAAGCTTATAGCTCCTAACCCATGCGCTCCAGTTGCATTGACATGCTTTGCAAATGACCTTCATGCCATTTCAGCAAAACACTTTAAAATATACGATTTCTCAAAAATATATTAAGAACATCTTGAAATGACCATAAGTACGATAGTATTTTCATTCCAAAGTACTACATTATTTAGGAATTGCAAATGTATGGTTTTAATCTAAAGCGAAGGTTATATTATCATCTTCATTTTTACAAAGCTAACGTTGAATGACTTCCATATAGCTAATTTATCAACAAGCATAGATTTGTGTCCTTATTTCAGTATAATAGTAGATAATATGACCATGACACTATGCTACAGGGATGGCTTTGTGAAGAATGGCAATTGTGTTGATGAATGACAATTGAAATAGATTTTTTGGTTTCAGGAAATAATGTAGTCAAGCACTGCAGTAATTAATAGTAGGGGGCAGTATGCACATTAAAATGTATTATTATTTAAAGAAGCCTTGTGCCACATCAACTCAGACTGCTTTTTAAGTTTGTCATCTCTGATTTGTCAAGATCACACTGCTGTTCACAGTGAGAAATATTGTGCAACAGAGATGCCCGTGCCTGTGCATACGTAATTAAAATGTCAATACCGTGCACCGCTAATCTTACTTTAAATCTTACGTAATACACTTAACCCTCTGGTTCTCAAAAGACTGCTATTTCACAAAATGAGGCATCCATGTAATTATCACAGCTTATACATGATAATAAATTAAAAGGAATGTATACTTAAAAGTAGGCTTTATTTATGATGAAGCTTCCATAAAGAATGATGACATTTAGAATTTAAGGTCCAGAATATGCCTTTAAATCGAATAATTAAATACATTCCAGTCCGGCACACACCGCTAGTCTTTGAATTGTGCCTTGGTTAGTGTGTTTGGTTGAGGAGAGAAATGTTTCGGCAAAGCACAAACAGTGTTCATTTTTGTTACCATTATAGCTGATTCATTTCCTGTTTGGAAGCTGTGTGAAGAAAAGTATTCCGCCTACTTAATTAAACCAAGTTATTTTACAAGAAAACGGGAATATTTATGCATTCATTCATCTGTAGCCCAAAAACAGAAGGTCATCAGTGTTTACATAATTGAATTACAAGTTTTACTTTTACTCTCCCATTGAAATGAAAATGTGAAAGCCCTGTTTATTCATTAATGCCTTGGTTTCTTGCACACTTCTTAAAGTGTTTTGATATATTCACGTGTAGTATATGCTCACGAAGATATACTCTCATATATGTAACATTAAAACATACTGGAGTGAAGTACATTTTTACAATAATTTATCTTCAAGAAAATGGAAATAATTTAATCATTGAGCAGAAAAGACTTCGTAATTTTTTTTATCCATAAATCGGAATTCAGATTCGGCAACTTTAGATTTTGTGGCACACAGCAACTTACACAACAACAACGACAAGATGAAAGTCAAAAGAACTTGCATGATTGCATTTGAGCATATGCACTGTTTGAAGCATCTATGACATCCATTACTGGTAATTGCATATGTCAGCATATTACCTTCTTGCTTATAATGCGCTCGCCTTTCTCTCTCTTCCCTGCTCACGCTTCTTCTGGATTTGTCTACAACTCCTGGGCATCAAATCCTTTCTCTTGCCTCTCTTGTCACCATGGCAAAACAAAATTACATGCTTATAACCCACTGTGAAATCGCGATCCGATATGCCTAACCCTAACCTTGTTCCTTGCCGTGCTGTCGCGCCATGCCGCGTGGCTGACATCAGGAGGCCGTCTGTAACGAGATCCTGCAGATAGCCGAGAAGTCGGTGCAGTACTGCAGCAGCCTCTCCCCGTTCCCACAGTCTGAATGGCTGGGCCCGGCGGCCGGCTGCTCGTACGGCCGCTCGGAGACCGAGCGTAGGCCCAGCCCCTCCCACAGAGACTATGGCCTCCGGCTCGTAGAGCCCAGATACAGCCCGAGCTTGATACCCAGCGCGATGCACAGTCCCAGCATGGCCTGTCGGACCAGCCTTTCCCAGCCTGGCTCCAGGACTAGCCTGGCACGTCAGCCCGGGCTGAGGCCCAGCTCATCACACCCAGGCTACGACTCCAGGTTATACGATCCAGGATATGCCTACGCTTCAGTGCAGCGGGGCTATGCATACAGGCCTCTGGAGGTCGGCTATGGCCTTCGGTCGACAGAGCAGGCAGCCTACGAGCAGAGGGGCAGCAGGGACGGCTATGAATATCGGCTGGCAGAGAGCAGCTATAGGTCCAGACTCGCAGAGCGTGACTTTGACCAGAGGGCAATGTCGCGGCCTGGTTCAGGCTATGATAAAACACCATCTCTTATAATCTCTCAGCAGCCCCAGCCCCAGCAGCCAGTCCGCATCCCTGACGACTTCCACCTTACAGGAGAGCCGTAAGTAACATGGCATTTCATTCACACCCCAATGGCAGTTTGTGTTACTCTTGTGTTGTTGTTAGTATGCGCCAATGATTGATAAGTACTGCAGAGAAAGTGACAACAATGAAATGATTTTGGTTTAACCTGCACTTGGTTTTGCTCTCTCCCTGTCTATGTTAAAGTCCAAGTGATATCTCGCCAGTCTGTCATAACGTCTCGCGTTGAATTTGTTGAATGAAGCGTCTGCGCCGATCTGGGGATTATCCCTTCGAGTAAAGTCAGTCTCGTTCCTAAATGCACCATTTGGGCCTCGCCATGTCCATAATCTAGATTCCCTTTAAAATTAAACGTGTTCATAATGTTCATCATCATAATGATGAATCAAACTTTCTAATTAACACTGCAGACAATGTATCGTGATGTCGTCGTGGATTGCGGGCACTAAAGTAATAAACAGACGTGGGTCTGTGTCGCCGTGTAAATGAACAGGCAGTAAGTAATTAATGCGCCGTATATGTAAAAAGGTCATGCCACCGAATGCGGATGTCTTCGCTTTTGTATTGAGAGGAGTTTAGTTAACTCTTTAAAACCGAGCATGTGGATTTGAAGAAGTGAGGGTACCAACACTTTACACCGCCAATGTGTTGTAGCCAGCTATATTTTAATTGATAGAGGCTATCTATTGTGATGCAATGGTTGTAATTCATCGATGTATTATAATAAACAATTAGGACACGTGAACTACAAGCCCAATTAAATGTTCATATTTTAATTTCAAAGATTAAGTTATTTTTTTTTTAAATCAGAGAGTGGTCTTCATCGTAATAATGATTAGTTTGTTATAACGCGTTCGTGATGCCGTGGGGGTGTCTCAAAGTGCTTTACACGCGATAAGCGTGACTCGGCGCCTGGCCTGCAAATGGACATTAGTCTGCCCGGAGTGGGTGGTGATTGCTCGAAATTGAGTTATATGCAGGTCATGTTAGACTTTGGCAAAATGTGGACCGTTTGCATTGCCTTCACCCCACTTGTGCAGAAAGAGGGATTTTGTCCGTACTGTGCGGCTAGCAGGTTCCAGGCAATTTATAACTACAAGCCCCAAAACGAGGATGAGCTGGAGCTACTGGTGGGAGACGTGGTGGAGGTGATGGAGAAATGCGATGATGGCTGGTTTGTAGGTAAGAGCTCATGGCTACATTTAAACTTAATGAAGATGTCTAAAATTTCTACACTACCATCACAAACTTACAGCATAAACATGGCATTAGCGTTATAATTAGTGGCCAGACTGCAATCATGTTTGTTTAATTTTGAATATACACACAAATTACCCATTGGCACGACAAAACATGCCCATTGTTTCAACTACACGCCAAGATTGTGAGTCCAACGCTTTAACCATTACATGGCGGCAGCATCCTCGTTATTATTACAGAATCACTAATTCATTTATAACAATGCCTACTTTTATATGGGACTGATTAGCACTGTTAAAATCCAATAACAGAGGCATGTGGTTGAAAAGGATGGCACGTACGAACCTGGCTGAAAACTGCAGGCGGAGTGCGTGCTGCAGCATGCAGGCTGCTCCTCCGTACGTTGAAATTCTTTCGCACCGTACGCAGCCAACCATTCTAATCGGAGGTGCGAAGGAAGGACAACAAGCTTGAACATAAGCAGTTCTAAATAAATGAGTTATCATTCTAGATTTAAAAGTGCATAGCTCCAGTGGCTTCCTCATACCAGAAGGAAGAGCATTCCAGATGGCTGCAGAAACGCATCTGAAAGCGCGCAATGCAGCGACCATCTTTGTTCGAGGGCTAGGCAGACGACGCACGCTGCGAGGATGACCGGAGTTCGCGTTGATGGTTCTTGCTCGTTGACGAGATCATGCAAGGTCACACACTTTGTATGTAATGCGTGCGGAGATGGGTTTTCGTTGTTTTGGTGACCGTTGGGTTTTCTCACTGCTTCCGCAGGTACATCGAGACGCACAAGGCTGTTTGGGACGTTCCCTGGCAACTACGTGAAGCGGGTGTGAGAGGGAGCTGCCACACGCTACCGCGCGAACGTGACGTGGGAAGGGGCATTCTTTTAATGGAGCTCTCTGGACAGCAAAGGCAGATGTTTGTAGAATTTATTATGCAAGACTGTAATGAGAAAAGCATATTTCTTAAAATATAATATTGATTGAATGATTTATTTTTGATTGCAAATTAGAATTTAAAAAAAAGATCTAAACCATTGCTTTCTTGCTAAATGTTTTGTATGTTATTGGAAGGGACGGTGTTAGGAGAAACGGATGGCTTGCCGAGTTAGGCAGTTGATAAAGTTTTCACAGTTTTGGGAGGATTTGTACTGGTTAAAGATGATGGGAAATGGTGTGACATAATGTGTATATTAAACTGAAGTTCCTTAAACATCGAGGAAACTATTTCTGTTTTAAAAACATAGACTCCCAATGAAACAGTCAGTGTTGCATTCTTCAGTGGACTTTAATATAGCCATGATATTTTATTTGCTGATATGCAAAATAACCTGCATGTTATTATTGCTTTCATTGAGTTATTGATCCTTGTATGAATACGATGCCAGTTTCATTTGTGTGCTCTGTTATTTAAGTTCAGAATGCAATTAAAATGTTTTATTGTTAATGTTTTTCTTTGTTCCGACATTGATTGAAATTTGAGAGTAGAAAATACATGTTATTCAATCAACGTATAAAACAATATTTCATATATGAACGTTTTGCTTTTGAATAATAGATCTTAACTTTTACTGATCTGCCAATGCTATTGATTTTAAATCAAACTACTGAACTATCTCAGAATGCCTCCTTCTGCTCTGTTGTGGCTCATGGTAATGTGAGAAGTAATATTTTGGAAATGATTCCTGTTACTCGTAATATTTACAAAGCAATTACCAACACGGAAGATAGTCAATGTATCTAAATTGGCACTTGATGGAGAACGCACTGCATCTGACCGCTATTTGATGTAAAATCAGCTCATTATTCATGCATTAGCCGTGCAGTGGCATTGTGCTTTGCCTCATTTCAACTCTAAAGCATGCAGCTTTTAAGGACATGAATGTGCTCTGAACCGTTACACATTCGTGAATAGCCGTCTCTTATTGAGGGCAAAAATTACGCAATTTTTCAATCTTACATTTTCTAACATTTTCACAATACTTGTAGTGCAAGGTATTTTGAAAGCAAATTACATTAGGTGGACAGTGTTTTACTTCTGTGTTATTCTGCAGTGCCTATGTACGTCACTTCGAAAATCCCTGCAGGGTAAAACTGTATAACAATTGTCAAGGTGTGATGTGACCAATACAATATAGTATGGTCTCATATTAATTATATGTATCGCAGACTACAGCAAAAAGGTGACATTTGTCAATTTATTACTATGATACAAACGCAAACCCGGCAGACTTGTAATCTAAAGGCCTATAAAAGGGATTCGTCATAATGTTCTGGTGAAGGCCCCGATGGCCAAAGTGATGACGCATATGCTTTTGCATCACAGCATTATTGTAATCGCCTTATTTTTTCCACGTGTTTAAAGATGCAACACAGCATCTCAAAGAGTTTTTTTTCCCAGTATTTTTCTTTGGCTTTATGTGGGCAATAGGCAAAGGCTCCTTGCGGTCTATGCTTCTGTAAATTATTTCGCCGGTTAAGTAAATGACAAACCTTACATTCTCCATGAGGATGTTGAAAAGCCCCCAATTTATATGGTGGTAACCAGTGTCACAGTGTATAATTGTCCTGCCTTAATCACCACAATATTTTTCTGGTATTCCCCTGGCGGAGTGCCTTAATCTTTTGACTGCATCTAAGGGCAGCGTTGGGGGTGACTAGCAAGTGTAGCATGTCAACTGGGGAGTACTCTTAGTTATGATAGTGTGCTTTCCAATAAATCGTCAAAGGAATTGGGAACAGACACCGCACTAAGATGCACCTGCATGTAATCAAAACACAGGTGCACCGGTGTTATCTACCCATCAATGCCTGCAGGTGTACCAAACTACAATTATACATTTGAGCAAATGGAATTGTATGAAACTGCTCTCCACAGTTATTAAAACAAATCGGCGTGAGTTTGTCCCCGCGCATAATTTTGGTCGAAAACATTTGGGTGATTAAATATTAACCGTAAAAAACTAAACTAAACATGAAACGAAGTTATTAATATCCCCCGCTTTTAATGTTGGTTAAAACTCTGGCTTTAGGCATCAAGTGATCATTTTCTAGACTTATCAAGAAAACAGAGGCTGGAATATCTCAGATGTCTACGCAGCTGCTGCACTGTTGTATATAACGTAAACTTCAACAAATAAAACGTTTAAAAAATCCTTCAAATGTTTAAATATATATGATAAAAACAAAGCTACTTTGTATAGAAAGCATTCTCAACTCATAGTGGTGTTTGTAAAATGATATTTTATGTAAACTCATTTAAAAAATGTTTCATTTTGGTTTGCTACAGTACAGTATATGCAATATTTATTATAAGTGAAACTAGAGTATTACTGTATAAAGCGACTCCATTATGAATGCTTTTTTGTCTTGAAATTATTTTTTTTGCTTTGGCAGTATATTAGTTATATCATCCAAATATTTTTGTAATGTCTTGCTATAGCAGTAATATATTTTGCATTATTTTTTTTCTCACTAACAGTGGCTTGCTGCATGTCTAACGTTAATTAAAAGCTTTGAGCAAGTCACATGGCCTTATTACATACCTGCCAACCCCTTATCAGTGCCTACCTTATTACAGACCAATTCAGATTGGTCACCCCGTGCCCTTATAAATCTCAACGTTCAGCCTACAAAGTCCCATCACAGGGGAGAAACGCAAACAAATAAACAAAAAATGTGTTGCCCGTATTGAACCGGCCGTACGCCGTATGGACCTGAAAACTAAATTTCCCTGTACAAGAATACGGGTAACCCGTATGGGTTGACAGGTATGTTATTAAGCCATTATTTATATATCATAGCTTTTTGCAGTGTAAAGGCTAAATCACTTCTCCCACTTGACGTTTCTAACACAATTTTCCCAATATAAATTCAAATACAGAACTGTACTTAAAAGATAGGAAACAAAATTTCCAACGTGGCCATTACCCAAAGCATAAAGCGTTTTGCCTTTGATACTCCAGATTAAGATTACAGTTTTAATTACGGAATTCTAGTAATTGGTATCGCACATGGACTTTAGGACTCCTTTGTACTTATGACATTATCCTCGCATACAATATGTATCCTTTATATGCCTTGGAGATCCATTATCTGTGCGCTGCTGTTTTCAATTTTGAATTTGCAATGTTCAATAAAGTTGGAACTTTAGAAAACTTTGCCATATTCTTTTTGTCATGTTTCGTTTAATATTACGTCAGAGCACTCGCAGACCTAACTAATCACGTGATAAAGGATTCAATACTTTTACTCATCAATATGGTACCCGACATGTGTATCTGGGATTTTAGTGCCACTCGTTAATTAAATTGGAAACCCCCAATGCAGGACCCGCCGAATTAAAGTCTTGTCATTCCGGTTTTTCTGTTAAACACTTATGATTATTATTATTATTGGATTATTTTGCGCATTTTTAACAGCCATAAATATCTGCAAAGTGAACCTGTACTGTATTTTACCAATCTGATTTCATTTATAGAGACGATGTGAAAATATTTTTGTGCGTACAAATTATTGTTCTCTGCTTCTAGGTTGTACCACGTGTTGTTCGGCATGATGTCTTGAGGTTTCGCTCCACGTATTGAGAGCTTAAGAAACATACATCTGAGAGCTACACGGCACAAACAAAAAACACCTACGCAGTCACATATAAGCATAACCACAGAGTAACGTGTATTTAACTTATTTACACTTGGTAGCTCCATTTTACTTTTTTTTAATGCACAGAGGGCATTTATCCTGCCCTCATCGTTTGAAGATTCGGCTCTGCAGCCGTTATCTTTGGAAAATATCCATAACTGGGTTAAGAGGTACACTGCCTCTATTGTGGGGAATAGCGTAAGATAATTATTTATACTTAAAATGAATCTGGCAGCACACAAGGCTGAATATTGCTGATTTATCTTGAAAATTATAAACGTTTAATTACCCGGTAAAGTTCATTGAGCTCTTTAGCTCTTTTTCAGAAGCGACCTGGCCACGAATGAAAGCTTAACGAAATGGCTTATGTGGAAATGTATAGCAGCCGAACACTCTAAACATGTTTCTAAATGTGGAGGGAATAAGGTTTGAAGTCGAACCCACAACGTACTTATACCGGCCGAGAGAAATAACAGCTCGTTGCCGCAGCATCTTTAGTTTCTGTTACACATGCTGTGACATTAGTCCAACCACAGGGTGAAGCCGAAAGTGAGGCGTTTTGTACATCATGAGTGCACAACTACAAAACTGAAACACTCAAACATTCTTCAAATACATAAAGAATTGAGCTTCTAAAACCACACTTTTTCAGAGCCCAGGTTAAGTTGGAAACCACAAATCCATTGATGTCGCCTGAAAGACTATAAAAGGCTGATGGGAGGGAACAAACTTGCCTGTTTGTAACGTATAGCCCTGCCACTGCCTAACCTTGGCAATTGAGACGTTATTACCCCTGTTTGATGAATGCGTTCTCACTGGAAGCCTACAACATAGTGTACATGTTTACAAGCGATAACGAGGAAGTTCTGCATGGAGGTCTCCGAATGATAAATCCTGGTTTTGAACTTTTCATTTGCCTTGCCCTTCGGTGGTAATCATTGTTGTTTCAGTGAACGCATGCGAGCTTGATATTTCTCCCCTTCATTCGTGGAAGGGCCATGCCCAGGTGATAAGACGATAACTTGTAGGATTCTATTCGAGCCATGTTAAGATTGGCTCGGTTCTCACCATTCATCTCGCGCACAATTGTATTACGGTTACTAGCTAATCACTTGTGAAACATTTTTTTTCCTGAATGTTGTTTTTTGTCCTCTCAACCATTGGACATGGAATTTCCATCCACATTCCACTTTAATCGTTCGAATCGTAAATTGCACACATTTCACACAGGTTTACAAATTATACTCGTACAATTCGCATCCAGTGAAATTGCTATATTCCCTACACACACACACAAATGGGTTATTTGCTGTTATAAATTACCGTATAAATCAAGCCACACGACTGTGATTGTGTTACTATCAATGGCTGAATTGTCAAGGCAGCCAAGGTGTTGACGTGGAGTGCATTAACCAAGTAATGTGCGGTGGTGAAGGTATAAGAGGTGGTATTGTTTTATTGCTTACATTGGCCATTTCCTTTCTGGCCCTCGTTGCTTTTAAGGAAGGGCACGTTGCCTTCGTCCTGCATGACTCATCAGGGCGCGCGAGCCGCACACGTGTGTGACTTAGGTGTGTGACTCTTACCTGCGCGGGTCGCATGGCAGGTGATGAGCTAAACGATGAAAGGGCGTGAACGCCCTAGACTCAAACCCAAACACACACAACACCGTCGTCTCGGTAACAGGAAGAGCGCTGTTTTGTGTTTGTTATCGTAGACGTATAGACGATTCACATTGGGCCAAATGCCAGACGGGGCTGTCCGCTTCAGTGGAGTTATCGTGATTCCCACGCTGCATCCTTATCTGCCGTGGATGTTGTGTCTTCCGTGGCGTTTTATAAACGACGCCTCTTACTGCGTTATTCACAGGTGTCCAAAATACTTGTGCAAGTGCTGGAAGACTCACGCAGTATACACGGCGACCTGTGTGTGTTAGACATCACAGAGGAAACAACATTTCACCAATCTAAATCGGATGGATTACCGTACATAATTTAACACCCTGTTTGTTGGAGATCCTGAGCCATGACTTCCACAGTATTCAGTGGCCTGTTGCGAATAAAGTAAATAGGGTAATTAGAATTCAGTGGGGTGTCTCTAACGTAATGGGCCTGAAGACACATCTAATACAGCATGACGTGTTGTCAGAATCATCGCACACCTGTGTATTTTTATAATGGCGATGATGGGCAATTGCATAGTCTTCTTTAGGACTTTAAGGGTTTTAATTTGCATTAAGATTTTGCCAACGCAATGTTTTGCGTGTAAGCTCCGCGTCTTGGGCGTCTTCGATTGCTGTTTACTTTCACATTTATTAAAAGGAAATGTTTCCATTTGTCAACGTCTCATTACTGTGCCCACTTCCTGTTAAATACCTTTCCAGTATAGTGTTTACATACATATCTCGCCAGGTGTGTGGTCTGTTAGCGCGCACACACACACACAAATATATGCTTTGTAGCCTGCATGGATTGTTCAAGTGGTGTTACCCATCACCTATTAATCCCAACACAGCACACAACCTGAGTAACGTGCAGAGTTTGCAGAGGATTTCAACATTTTTTAGAATTCTTTTTTTTCTTGGGATCTTTCGACTTTTCTGTTTCAACATACGAGAATAACTTTCAAGCACCTCCAACGTAACCCTACTTGCTGTACCACCTCACGCAGACAACCGAGTTGGCTAACTCGGAGCCATCTACTTGTGCAATCTCTGAATAGTGCACGAGCACTACCTAAAATCCTCTGGATTATACATCGAACACGGAGTGGGATGATGACAGGAGGTGTGACGTGGATGTTTTGCTACTGTCATTTACTACTATGATGAGCCAAGAATGTCTGTGTGTCCCGCGCGTAACGTCACTCCACGTCGGCCAGCCCCCCTCATTAATAATCATGAGCAGGTGACGTCACTCCACATCGAACAGCCTGCCTAATTAATAATCATGAAGAGGTTCACGTCTTACAAATTGACACCCCCCCCCCATAATAATAATTAGCGGCTGACGTCACTCCACATGGGGGGGGGGCGAGGCGCCTCCTCCCCCCTCCTCGGCGTCAACTGACAACCCTCACTACGTCACGCGATCTCCGTAACGCTGTTGAGACGTCAAAGTAAAAAGGACGTCATGATGAACAAGGGATTATAACCTTTAAATGAAATAGGTCTGTCACCGCGCCCTTACAAATTGCACACGCATTAATTTTCGTTTGCAAGTTTCAAATTTACTGAAATACACCCGTCCTTGGACGGGCAAAAGGTTAGTTAGAGTATAACTAACTAGTTAAAGTATAACTAACTAGTTACAGTATAACTAACTAGCCTTGTAAGTTGACGCTGAGGAGGGGGGAGGAGGTGCCTCACCTCCCCAGGTGGAGTGACGTCCCCCACTAATTAATATTAATGAGGGGGGGGGTCCATGTGGATGACATCATCTATTCATGATTATTAATTAGGGAGACTGGCCGACGTGGAGTGACGTCACGCACGGGACACACAGACATTCTTGGCTCATTATAGTAGTAAATGGTTACCATGAATTCATGTGGTGGAGTGGTGGCGTAGTAGTTGTCACATTCCCAGTAAATAAAGGCAGACGATTTCTTGTCTTCTGTCCGGGCCACTTTATTCCAGTTTGTTTATATAACACTTGTTTAGTTAAGCCGAGGATCCGCCGCCCGTCGCTCGTTCGCTCCCTCACTCGCCGCGTCCCTATCCTATTCTCTACTGTCCTTCCCTATCCTATTCTCTACCCTCCTTGTTTCACCCCTCCCGGCTGCCGTGTCTCGCTGTCTCAGCGGGTTGACACCACGGCAGCCCCAGGGGTCAAGCGTGCCGACGTACGGACTGCGCTTGCCCCTAGCGAACCTATCCTAGCCTACCCAGGTCCACACAGGACTACTCTCGCCCAAGAATACTCTAACTAGCTTGGTGGGTCCGTTTTGCCCGTCTTATAAATCCCTCGCGACCTCTTCCAGAACATTCTCCAGAAGATCCCTCTATGATTGGCAGATACCGGTCTTTTGAATTCCGGTCCACCTCCCACCTTGTTTACTCCAACGGAATTACCCCAAAGGTCATCCTGACCTTGGCTGCTCTTGACATTCCCATGATGATGCTCACCAACCACCTTTTCTGGCTGCCCAGCGTGGACATGCAGTCGTTCTCGAATATGCGTGCGTTGAAGCACTACACATGTAACGTCGGGGCCAGCGTTAGCATATGTGTAGGGGTGTCAGGAGAATGATTCCCACCAATAGGAGTGTTAGTGGGAGGGGTAATCGAGGAGATATAAGGGGAGAACGGGCGGGAAGAAGGGGCCTTTGGCGGGAACGTGATTGGGACGGCTGGGGACAGGTGTGGATGGGAGAAAAAGATTAAAAGACGAACCCCCTGCAATCTTGTGTCGGCTCTCCTTTACATATGGTTGGAACCGTACGACCAAAATTTCCCCAATATTAGCCCGACGCTCTATGTTTACTGGGTTTGCGCTATGAACCACCCGAGTTAAATTCCTGGCCACGGCTAGCATCTGTGGTTGAGTTATATCTGAAGCGGTCGTAGACGACCTGCATGTCCAAGCGTGGTATGGCCAAACAACCCCCATGACTGAAAGGTCGGTGGATTGACAAAGGGCTGTACACTCCGAGGCATTCACCGTCATCAGCCATCACAATAATGACCTGGGCTCCTGTCCTCCCTCTCATATGCAGGGTGTTTGTTGAATCACAGACGCGTACAACAACAGCAACAACCCCGCGTGCTGCAAGGATCACGCGAGTGAACCGGGTCGTGTTGGAATGAACCCAGCCGCAGGAACACGCGGTGATGACGGTGGTTGTGATTCGCGACACATCACTACACCGGGCACTTTTTCTTTCTGTGAGCCGAATGACGAGCTATCAAATACCTTTGGCGGGCCAAACAATAACACACACACCTCAGTGGTATCCAATAGTAATAATAAAACAACGTGCAAATCAGCGAAGTGTAAAGAAGCTTTTGCAATCAAATAAGTGACTGAGCGCCGTACAATCCGAAGGTGTTGTAAGGTCGAAAATATGCCCCTCTAGTATCTGTTTAGTGCGTCTAAGATGCGTGCATTGACGCACAAATGTCGTAGGGGGGCGTCCATAAACGACGTCATGCACCTAGGGGAGGGAGGGGGGTCAGACATTTGTGACGATGTGTGACGAGGGGGGGAGGGGGGGGTTTGAGAAATGTGACATCACATCAAAATGCGCAACTTTAAATAAATATAAACAACACGTTCTACTTCATTAAATTGAATTGTTATAACAACACTAATTTTTATAAATTTTCATTATTAACTTTTTGATTATTTAAATGTATTAAGGTCACCTTTTATTTAAAGTATAGATTATATTATAATGTTAAACATAAGAACCAGAAGTCAAACTACGCCACACTTTTATTGAGAATAATATTTCGTCAGAAAGAGGAAGTGTAAATCAATTTTAATGCAGTCGTTATATAATTTTAGTTCTTTGTACCCAGAAAATGGCGTCATGCTTCTTTTCGCCATTCTCCTACTATGAACCATGAGTGACTGAATTTAACCATTTGGGATCTTTGATTTAACTACGGACTTCCCTTATGGAAATAAAAACAAATTTGAACCGCTCACGATTCAGTTATCGTATGCACGATTTAGTATTTTGTGTGCAAAAAATTGATTGGTTTTTTTATTCCATGAAGGAGCATTTTGCTTCTCCATGGGAGAATGGAGAAGCATTAATTTAGTACATTTTTTAATGATTGTTATTAACCATTTTGATTCTAATGATTCGACCAGGGCTTGTCATTCTGTGGAATGAATGTAATTGTGATAATTGTACTCTCCATTTTGCTTCGTTCTACTACAAAGTTTCAAGTATTTTTTAAAAGTTATAATTACTTTTAATATTTTATAATTATAAGATAATTTCAATATAATATTCTGAACATCTGCAGTTTTAGTTAGACGTTGGATATTTTCAAGTGAATTTTTTCAGTTTTCCAACGCCTCCTTTTGAATACGTGTTTTCTCCTACAACAGAGTGCAGCGCCACAATAAATACGCACTACAATGACAATGGTTTAAAGTGATTTGAAGCATGTTTTATTTTCAAAATATGGTTTTGGGGGGGGGGCAGAGCTTTGTGACGTCATATTTGAGGGGCGTCTGACTTTTTGTAACGCCGTGTGACGAGGGGGGGGGGGGTCAAAAATCGGCCAAAATCGCGTGACGTCATTTATGGACGGCCCCTAAATGGAAAACACGTGGACACTGTTTACTGCCGCCTCTTGCAATGCGTCTGACGTTCGTTGGAAGAGTAGGCCAAGCACCCTGGATAGGGGCTCTCTATGGACCCCCCCCCCCTCCCCCAAAAAAAATCTACGAATTGATGGACAATCGCTGTGTGATGGCAAGAGAGGAAAGCGTTGTGGCTGGGCTGGCTTGATGGTGAGGGTAGTGGGGAGGAGGAGGAGGTGGTGGTGGGAGGAGGAGTTGTTGAATGCTGTCGCCTCCGTCCGTTGGTTGCACCCCCTCGTCGTTCATAAAGGCGGCATCTGGCGCAGCAGCGCTTTTCAACTCACTCCGAGAGGCGCGCCGTGCAGGAGAGGACGCGCCAGGAGCTCTGCTGCGTATCGCCATAGGTGAAGGCTCGCACGCGCTCCAAGCTGCTGTTCGTCTCAGGTTAAACCACACACGGGCACGAAGCTGATATTGTTCTCAGGTTAAACCACACACGGATCTAAGCTGATATTGGTCTCAGGTTAAACCACACAGGGCTCTAAGCTGGTATTGTTCTCAGGTTAAACCACACAGGGCTCTAAGCTGGTATTGTTCTCAGGTTAAACCACACACGGCTCTAAGCTGGTATTGGTCTCAGGTTAAACCACACACGGCTCTAAGCTGGTATTGTTCTCAGGTTAAACCACACACGGATCTAAGCTGATATTGGTCTCAGGTTAAACCACACAGGGCTCTAAGCTGATATTGTTCTCAGGTTAAACCACACACGGCTCTAAGCTGGTATTGTTCTCAGGTTAAACCACACACGGATCTAAGCTGATATTGGTCTCAGGTTAAACCACACAGGGCTCTAAGCTGATATTGGTCTCAGGTTAAACCACACACGGGCTCTAAGCTGATATTGGTCTCAGGTTAAACCACACACGGGCTCTAAGCTGATATTGTTCTCAGGTTAAACCACACACGGGCTCTAAGCTGATATTGGTCTCAGGTTAAACCACACACGGGCTCTAAGCTGATATTGGTCTCAGGTTAAACCACACACGGGCTCTAAGCTGATATTGGTCTCAGGTTAAACCACACACGGGCTCTAAGCTGGTATTGTTCTCAGGTTAAACCACACACGGGCACTAAGCTGATATTGGTCTCAGGTTAAACCACACACGGCACTAAGCTGATATTGGTCTCAGGTTAAACCACACCGGGCACGAATATGATATTGGTCTCAGGTTAAACCACACACGGGCTCTAAGCTGATATTGTTCTCAGGTTAAACTACACACGGGCTCTAAGCTGATATTGGTCTCAGGTTAAACCACACCGGGCTCTAAGCTGATATTGGTCTCAGGTTAAACCACACCGGGCTCTAAGCTGGTATTGTTCTCAGGTTAAACCACACACGGACACTAAGCTGATATTGTTCTCAGGTTAAACTACACACGGGCTCTAAGCTGATATTGGTCTCAGGTTAAACCACACCGGGCTCTAAGCTGATATTGGTCTCAGGTTAAACCACACACGGGCTCTAAGCTGATGTTGGTCTCAGGTTAAACCACACACGGCTCTAAGCTGATATTGGTCTCAGGTTAAACCACACCGGGCTCTAAGCTGGTATTGTTCTCAGGTTAAACCACACACGGGGCTCTAAGCTGATAGTCTCAGGTTAAATCACAACACACCGAGTCCCTAAGCACGCAAATCCACATACTTGGGAGCACTTTCTCAGGTATATACCCTACACCAAGACTATAACGGCATCTCACGTACGCTCCTCAATCCGCAAAGTACAAACATCACTCAAATTTCGTGCGAATAAACGTTGCATTGTGCATAGCCACACCTAGTGCCTGCCGTATCGAGTGTGTACGCTCTGTGTGAACGCGTGTGTGTGTGTAGTGGTGGCGGGGTTGGACTTGAGTTGTCCCTTTATTGGTTATTTTGTTTCTTTGACGTTTCGTTACACAGCCACGAGTAGAAGATCACTCCTCCCAGCCGTCGCCCAGCCATGCCGCAGCAAGTCATCTTGACGGGTCCAGCGCCGTGGGGGTTCCGTCTCGTGGGAGGAAGGGACCTTGACCAGCCTCTCACCATCAGCCGGGTAAGTCGTCGTTCTCCCCTTGGCAAATGGCAACAAGTTTCGCCCATAACTCGATCATCAACTCCTCCAGCTGTCTCATTCGCCGTATCTTTCGAGTTCCTTTTGGGGGCCGTCAATGCGCGACTACGTAACCGCGTTCACCTTCACCGACACCTCTGAGATTTAACTCGCCTCTTCGCCCGTTGCTGCGGCTTTCAACAGAGATGTATGTACTGCACATTGAACTTCTTTTGCACCCTACGTTGCCAGCCGTGCTAATCGGAGGATGCGTGGGAAAGAGATGGCAACCCTTCCATCACGTCCATTGATGTTTGATGTCCATCCATTCGGGACAGCCTTGACGTCCATCCCATTCGGGACAACCCGTGGGGAAATGCATGCGTGATTGTAAATGGTCCCGAGTTTTGCACGTTAGGTGATGAAACTCTAAGCAATCTTCGCCTGATTTCTATGAGAGGCAGCAAATTGATTCGGTGTGGGAAAAGGGAAATTCTGCTGCATGCGGTGTGTGCTGAACTTTATAAAATTAAACACCGTTAATTATTGGTGTTTATGTTCATGTGGTGATGTATTTTTTAGTTTTTTATGCAGTTCAGTGTTTCAGAAATGCGGTGGGAAACCAGTGGCACATAACGTGGTCAGCTTTTAGAAGCTGTTTTTTTTCCACGCTCAAATATAACTACTTTAATGACATTTCTACCTTAAGGTTTGTAATTCGGCTGTAAAACCGCAGCCTTTTAGGCACTCGTTTAATTACGCAAAGCCAGGGTGCACCATGTTGCTAATTAACCATTTACAGCTACGTTCGGTACATTACCCAGTCGCCTTGTTGTTTCGGCAATTTTCTTGTGTTTTGCTATTTATTGGGCTTAACCACATGTCGGGCAAAACTGGCTGTCTGCTGGAATCCACCTGATTGCTTTCAGGGCATGATGGAATGACCCTCGGAATGTGTGAGCAGCTGAAATGCACGAAATAGTTTACCACTGTCGTCATTAACAGACGCTTCTTATAATTACCGCCGAGGCTTTTTTTAGCCCATCCGCCCAGACAATGGTTCCAGACTAAGCGACCGCAAGCATTCTGACGAATTAGCGTAGCATACTTGCTGATAAGGGAAATATTCCATTATTCAGTATTGGCACGGTATTTAATTACAAATTAAATAATTTTGAACGTGTGCATGTACAGAGCCTTGTCATTGCACTGCTGGATGAGGGCCTCGCCACACCATCAGGGGTCGCTAAGGTTATTTTACCATACTTCACCACGCTGGTCAGTGCAGGTTGTTAGAAGGCGGGGGAGCAGAGACACGGGAGCGAACACTGGCTGTGACGGTCCCACCTGATGACGGAGACTTGTGTTGCCTCCGAAACGTCGTGATTTTTGTTTTTATTTTATTTTATTTTCATTAATTTTGATGTTTTACCTACGTGACTTTACCGAAAAAACCTAAGAATATAAGTCCTTGGAGATTATTCCGGTGTAGTGCAAGAGGAGTAGAGGGAGACTGAGGGTTGATGGAACAATGTGGTGGAATGAGATATCAAGAGAGTGGGTGTGTTGTAAGGAGAGGCAGAATATGGGGAGCAGTCAACACCGTTGATGATTATCTGAACGGGTCCTGGGCCTCCCCTAGGTCGACTCGGCCTCAAATGAGTACCTAGTGCAGTGTGTAAGCATCGCTACAAGGAAGATGAAGGCAGCCATGCGTGGTGCTGGCCATCCACCCCCTCGTGTGCCGTGCCGGCCTTCATAGGTGCTTGCTAACAGCACTTGCCCAAACAGTTTAAGGCTACACGGGGGATCTTTGTATTTGTATTGAATAGAAGTACACTGATAAAGTAAATGCAAGCAGCTGATCCCATGCAATAATGAGACGTTTGGCTTCGAAGAAGATACATGATTGTATATACTTTGATAAAAATGGATATAATGCTGCTGACAACAACTCTCAAGTTGAAGCTACCAACTGAGGAGGACACTTGTGCACGTTCAAGAGCAGAGGGCAGTGTTATGATTTGTCCACAATTGTGAACAGCTAACACAGTAAGTGAAGATATGTTTGCCACATAGTTTGGTGAATGTTTGCCCCAGCCAGTGTAAATGATGTTATTGGCCCTCTCCATTGTAACAAATCTGTACTATATAATTAATTACATTTGCGACTGATTCTTTCAAATACATTCTCAATCACACCCAGTGGCTACATTTTGTTATTTTTATTTTTATTAATTTACCAGGTAAGGTCCATTGAGCAATACAGTTCTCTTTCAGAAGCGACCTGGCCCCAAATGATAGCCCAACGAGAAGTGGCTTATCACGTGGAAATCTTTCGCAGCCAACACTCTAAAAGCATGTACAGTATCTAAATGTGGAGGGAAAAACCTGAGGCCCCGGACAAAAAATCCACACGGCCACGGGGAAAGAGACATGCAAACTCAAATATACAACAGGCGTCAGCGTTGGGATTTAATCCACAACCTCCTGCATACCAGGCGATGTAGTTAACATCTCGCCACCGTGGCGCCCAGGCTCACTGTCGTTGCCTCCTCCACCTGTGTCCAGTGGCACGAGGGAGTCCACACGGCTGGAATGTGTCTTCGCCGATGGTTTCATCATTAAGCAATACTCTTAATTTGCGGATGAGTGAACCTATCGGTTATCTCCACCAGAGCCACCGTGTACATATGTATATATATGTTGACCTTTCGCACCGTAGGTAGCCAACTGTGCTAATCGGTGGCACCTCCGCACCTCCATCAAAGCAGACGTTATGGTCCGAAGGTGATATTTAACACACGTGTTTATTCACAAAAGATTATCTTTGAGCGCCCCTCACATAATTTTACATGCGAGCCGATAGTATATGGCTGCTGCCATGCTGACAACTGCCGGGGAGACATATTTTAAGAGTTTAATTCAGGACAAATCAGACGTACAACCCGAAGGGTACAAGTGGTGCTTTACATTTTCCGTTGAGTGCCCCGTAATCCCCCGTTTCATTGATCCCGTGCTGGCTCGGTCGTTTATTGAGTTCAAGCAGGTCAGTACGTGGGCGGGCATTCTACGTGGGGTGATCGTTACAGATATCACACCATTTTCTGTGCGGTTTTACACCCTCTTAGCATGAACACAAAGGTGACCGGTTCAACTTAAAGTTCATATGCTGGTCACTGATTGTACGTGTTGCCTTCAGTTTTAGGATGACAACTTATGAGGGTTTTTTTTTATTTTGCTCACATTTACAGCTATATAACTGCAACTGACCATTGTTATGGTGGACACCAGCATGTATTTTTGAGGTGTTTATCCTCGCCTTAAAGTAACGATGGCATGGTTTTACACTGACGTGATGTTCAGTGATGTGACAACCATTTGTTACAGGGTAAAGTTGCAACCTTGTACATTATATCATCTCCAGTCATGCATGCTACCTTTTGCTAAAAATGACTGGGGGATGCCTGCCGTCACTTAAAAACAACTCCACTCTTCTTAGCATTGTTTCACGGGTAACATGGACACGGCGTGTGGGTACAGAGGACGATCCTCTTTGGTTCTTTCGGTAAAGACACGTAGGTAGAAAAAATAATAGATCACGACGTTTCGATCGCAACACAAACTACGTGACTTTACCGAGAGAACCAAAGAGTATGGATTCCTGCAGTCACGAAAGCTTCAAATCAAGATTACAGAGGACGAAATTGCGACAAGGCTGGCAGCCCCCCTGATCTTCCATGCTACCGTTGTCAGATTTTTCTTCTCAGCAATATAGCAGTCAGAGCCTGCCTAGCGAAACATGTTTATATCTGCCGTACAGTGCAATTATCTCACGGCCTGCTAGGTTCCGATATTGCGCGTAACTCTGGCCAACGCAGGAAATTCCACAAATACCCCCGGACTTCTAACATGGCACCAGCAAACCCGGCAGGACTGGCGAGGCCTCTCCAAGTTGGCATTTAATCTGTGACCCGTGAGCGGATGACAAGAGGGTTGACCAGCCATTTGCAGACCTGAATTTGTAATCGAGAATTATGTTTAGGCCTCTTACTTTTATTTTACACCTATGCGGTTAGTTGGCTGTCAATGAAATATTACCCGATGGGTACTATATACAATAATCGTGAGTGTAGTGCCTCTTCATCACAGTACGAGGTATTTTAATTATTTTACAAGTATTGCTACGTAACTACTATTCTTGGGGAGAGTAGCAACCTTTTTTTTTCAAATAATTGTTCAGTTTTAATGTGGAACAGCTGGCCACTGTAATTTGTTAGACGTTAAGGGATGACGTTGTTAAGTCTCAGAATGAATGGGCTTTAAAAGTGATCACCCAAGGCTTCCTGCCTCATAAGTTTTTGGACGCATCATCATCATGCATCTGTTTCGAATTTGGGTGCCTTAGAGCCTAACAATATACCGCATTTTCCAATACAGTCATCACGAACATGAATTTTTTCAGAATTTTTTGTCTGACTCCAACATCATTCCTCGTGCCAAACTATTAGTCAATTAAAAACACACGGGACTATAATCACCGTCTAAAAGCGCACACATTTATAAAGTGAACTCTCGGTTTGGCGAAGAAGCATCCAAAAGCCTAGCGTGTTAACCGTTGCCGTTGGCTTCCACGTGCCAGAACCAGAAACATTTGCACAATGTGCTTGTTGTTTCCCTCGCACGTGCCGCGCAGTCCCACGTTCTGTCTGCTTTGCACGCTGTTGAAGAGCCTTGTTGAATGAGAACTTAAATGTAACAACGAAAAACGTTACCGCCCAGTTGCCATGTTTTTGAAAACGACGGCTTCATTGTTTGTTGACTTATTCACGATTGTGCTTCACTGTTTTGTGTCGAGAGTCAATGGGGGACCCTGCAAGAAAAAATAAACTCGAGGGCGGTGGGGAAACAAAAAGAGCAACCAACAGTGGAAATGAGCCAAAAACATTAAACCGGCGCATGCAGATATTGCATTGTGATTGATATAATTTACGTGCGTGCAA